GAACGCCAAATATATGGGTACATGTGACTGTTTTTTTCTTTCTTTTGTTCTTTTTTTGGTGTTTATTGGAATTCGGATACATGTAGCTCAACATGAAACAGTACAGAAGTACAACTACAAAGAGCAGCGAATAGAAGGCCCCGGGAACGGGAAACCAAAAAGAAAAAAGAAAAAAAGAAAAAGAAAACAGCAACATCAATTTACTGATTATGATTCTCCATGGCAGCATGAATCCCAGCACCATTGCTGTTTTGTGGCACGGGTGGTCGAGTCAAGGCTTCGGCTTTTCTCAAGCGCATTGCATCTTTGCTTCCCAAAACCGTTCTCCGTGGCAAGGGCTCATCTCCTGTTACATGGTATTCAGTATTAGTTAGTTAGTTTTTTGTTTGTTTGTTATATTATGATAACTGTCCACCAACGTAACCAGATCTTTATACAGTCAGCGAGTGCGACAAAATGGCACAAAACTGACAAGGCCGGGAGTACTCGTACTGAGACATTCAGCGACCTGACACCTGGGTCCAACACTTCTCCAAGGCGCAAACCAACAACCTTCCAACTTGGAAAGCTCAGGTTCGGAAAGGTCCCCTGTGTAGGCTTTCCCCAAACCGGCCCGTTTTTTCCGCTTGTTCGGCTTTTCGTTCGGGTCAAAAATACATCAGATTCGACTGCAAAATCAGTTGATTGTTTGACAATCGGCTGCAAAACTGGAATATATTGGAAAATCGGCTAAAAGAACTGTTGGCATGTTGGCCTCAAAATTTGTGAAATTATTATTAGAAGAGTTGGTCGATTTTCGGCGATTGTCAAAGGAACCCTCCAAAATCGGCGAAAAGCGTAGCGATTTTTCGATCAGTCTCATTTTCGGTGAATTTTTCGCAGCCTGAGGATTGTACTACAGTCCATTCATCGGAAACAGTCCCGCTGGCTTTTGCAAGTCCAATTTGGGCCGAATTGAGGATCAAAAACCCACTTTAAATCTCCAAAACCTGGGTTTGGGATCTGCTTCTCCACACATTTTGCATTGGTATACCTGTCCTAATTTTGTAAAACCTGGGTCAACCAAGACCCTATCAGTATCAGCAAGAGTTGGTATCAGGGACTATGCAGGGCTGGAACAGGCGTTGCACACTCTGGGGGGGGGGGGGGGGCTATGTACTTTTGCTAAGCTTTGTTACAAACAGCAATCTGTGTCGTATTTAGCGCGTGCGACACCTTCGAGTACTAATTTGTTGACCCCGCCAATCAAAGTGAATGGCATGTAGGCTGGTACGCGCCTGATGCGCGCTGCAAATTCCAACATAATGGAATTTCCATTTGGGCGCGTTTCCGTACTCATGGAGCACCAAAAGCCAGCAAAATACGCACAAACGCATGGTTTCACGCGTACACGCACCAGTTGTGACCACACAAAGTCCGAAGATTGAGAACTTTTCCTCAACTTAGAAACAAGAGTTAGAAATGAAAAAAGAAAAAAAATGGAGCCAAATGACTTGAGCCCAAACTGCCAGATTTTCAGTCAAAGAACTTGGGGAACACATTAAAAGACTAAGTAACAACTGAGAACATCTGTTTATAAATAAGTAATGTAGACGACTTATGTATATGTGCTAGTACAATACACAACAACAAAACTAAACCAGTTAAGGTATGCTATGTCGAGATAAACCCTCATCATCTTGCAAATAATAGATGCATAATTACTAATTAAAATACGACATAATTACTCAGCCGTAGCGGGTTATGGGATATCGGTCTGCCTCAGATTTCCACTGATCTGAAATAGCAGATTTGAAATTTACAATGGGAGGAAATTATCAGGACTGGAAAAACACTTGGTTAGCAGGGGCTCTTCACGTCCTGGAAACGTTCTGTTGGAGTTACACTGCATGTGCCTGTCGAGTTTCCTGGACCGAATTGTGGATGCTATGGAAGATGGGTGGGTAAGTGGAAGGGCACCAGGTCAGTCCTGTCGGCAGTATTCCCCCAAGTTTATGAGTAACTAGTTACAATTACTGACACTTCATGCACTGCACTGTTCATCACCGTCACTCTATTAGACGACTTCGGTTGGAGTAGTTGTGGCTGGGTCGCTTGTTGGTTTGGTTATTGAGTAACTGGTCGTGGGTGTAGCAGCCTGGGTAGTGTTCGCGGACTCGTTGCTCCCTGTTGCGGAGAAACAGAGAGGACACACACAAGCATCTCAGCAAAGCAGACAACAGCATACCATCTCCTCTTCGCAAAATCTGATTTCAAAAATTACTATGGAAACCCACCAACATTTTGACTTTAGATCTTCACTTTTTTGTTCCATATTGCTCTCCTGAACTCATAGTGCTCAGGGTGATATTTGAGAGGGGAACACTTAGGGCCCGGTCCCACGTGCACTTGGGTTCGCTTCGGCGTGGAGGTTTTGCGACAGCGAGCCTGGTGTCGCTCCAGCGACACCACGTGTGTATGGTCACGCATACAAACAAGGCAAACTCCTACTTCGGCGGAAAATGAGAATAAAGTGGACTGTGGTGCATACGGTACGGAGAAAAGACGAGGTCAATGACCATCTTGCACGCATTTTTGTTGCATTTGGCATCATACGCATACAAATTTCTTGTAGTAAGTCCTTATACTGCAGACCGTGGTGCTTTCCGCTGAAGCGAAACCGCAGAAGCGACAGTCTTGGTTCGAAAATTTTGGAGGAAGCGGATTGGAGTTTCCACCGAGGCGGAAGTTCTGCTTTTCGCCGTTGCCATGGTATTGTTCGCTCCTGCGACGTCGCTTCAGCGGATCCACTACTTCCGAGTGCATGTGTGACCGGGCCCTAACAAATGACGATACAGATGGCACCGAAAATTAGGAATTTCCTCAACTCTGAGGTCACCGGTGCTCCTGCCTATGCAGTCAGCTCAAAACCCGGAAGGTTGTCCCGAGCTCGGTCCGCTTGCCATCAAGAGTAGATAAACAAGTGTGTGCAACTCGCGGATGGGTAGGCCCACGGCAGATTTTCTTGTTGACGTAATCTTGTCGACGACGCTCGCGCTGCGAGTCTTTCGGAAAGTTTTCCCTCGTGCTCTTGGCCGGACTTACACTACAAGCCCAGTGCCCAGCACGTGCCCCAGACTAGGCATAGCCCGATTTTGCTAGCAATTATGCTAGCAAAATATCGAAGAATTCTGAAAGGGAATTTGCTAGCAAAACGGAGCAAAATATCGGTGTGTTCGCTGGAAATTTGAAGATTTTACACTTACACGGTGCACGTGACTCAATTTCGCACAGTTTTAGCAAAACGTGACTCACTTTTTCTCATTTTTGCCAACACTTGACCCACTTTCGGTCACTTTTCCCACATGTCACACAATTTTTTTTTGGGGGCAAAAAGGGAGCAAAAATATCGAGTGGCCTGGCAAATTGAAAGCAAAATATTAACGATGAGAAAGCAAAATGTTGCGGCAAAATATCGAAGCTTCACTGGCAAAATCGGGCTTTGCCTACTCTGCCCTGCTCTGCGGCAAAATGCGCGTTTCTCTGAAAAAAGGTGACGCCCACAAAAATTCTGCAGTGGGCGGGGTATTTGCAGATTGTGCAGGAGAAATCCGGAGTTGCGCACTCTTGTTTATCTACTCTTGCTAGTAACTAGTAGCTACCACCATTTCTCTGGTTATTAAAGGTATGTCTTAGCCACCGTATCATTATTACTCAAAAAACTCTTTTCAGGAGCTGTACTGAGGCTTTTAAAACTCTTGTGAAATTGCAAAATCTGGGTTTGCGTTAGGGCTGAAAACCCCTCAATATTCGAACCTCTGTTCTTCTGCCTTCCCAGCTCGAACATCCGCGATGTGAGGAAAATTCAAACTGAAAAACGTGATCCAATCCGCACACAACTTCCGGTCCTTCTGCGCTCGCACTGCACATGAACCATCCTGACAAACAGTCCTACAGCGCAGTACCACAGGACGTGCTACGAAGTTGTTTTGCGAATTCCGTGTATCCACACGTAACCATATCCAAAGCTCAGTGGTTAGTATACCTGGCAACCATACCGTTTTTTGCCGGGCCTGTTTCAATTGCGAGGACAGTAATAGCGCGAAAGAGCGAACCACAGATACGACCATTTTTTTTACAAATTGCGTGTGAGGCGAGCACGTCTGTGAACCGCATGCCCAAGAAAGGGGACGTTCCCTGTAGGTCATAGTTGCATGGCTCGTGCAAAGTAGAGGTCAGAATAGCTTGAGCCTCAGGAATCTGAGGACTTTGAATGACCATTCTACGTTGAGCACGTGAGCCGATGAAAATTTTGGTTGGAGGATACAGAGTTTTGCTCACACGCAGTAAGGCAGCTCTCAAAAAGGCGTGACGGCTATTTTTGTTGCTTGTACATTGCATGTAGCAGCAATAGTTTGAGAGCCAAGATCTGTAGCACATCGCATCCATATGCCAACTGGGGGCGCATTTGGTTGGTACGAGCTAGAACAGGATTCACCAGAACAGCGCGTTTGGTTGGCACTGCACCTGTTCTGGGTCGGCCAGAACATGTTCTGCTTGCTCCGGCCTCGAGGCCGGAGCAAACCGAGCAGTTTCACTTTTTCACTGTGAAACCTGGCGGGAACATCGATTTTGGTACCAAATGATCACGTGCACACACTTTGGGGTTGGACTCTTCGTACTGTACACAGTCACCATGGTGACACATACACAGTCATTTTGAAGTATGTACTAAGTTTGGCATATTTTTTCACAAAAATGAGCTCTGTTTCTGGAGTACCGTGTAGTTGGCATGGGGCTGCGCCATGTGCACCAGCTGTTCGATCCTGTTCTAGATCGTACCAACCAAACGCACCGTGGACGTACAGAAATTAAAAATGAATTGAAAACACACACTATGAGGGTAACTTAGTAAAGATGATTCGGAGACCTTTGGTTGGAGGAGTTACTTTTGCCCCGCCCCCATTTCCATCCAATATGTCACCGCCCCCGCTGTGCAGCATCTGATGGTTCTGTGGTATTCAGTGAAAAAAAAACTTGCCAGGTGTGGGTTGGTAAAGGCAGGTTGTTGCATTTGTACAGACACCGACTCCACCACACTCTTTGCCGCTGTCAGCATCGACCGAACACTGACTGGTGACTCGAGACTGGTCCACGCAGCGTTGCTTGTGGCACACGAGGTCCTTGTTAGCGCCGCTGGCATCACAGCGTGTTCCGTCCTTCACGAGCGATGGGTCATCGTGGTTTCTTGGCGGGGACGCGTACAAACCATTGCACCTGAGTACACCGCCAACGCCGCGTACGGGAATAGTTTGGGACAGAACGCCACTACTGGGTTGGTTCTTTCGAGCAACTGGAAGGCAGAACAAACTACCACATAGGGCATCTCCAGCCGCACAGGCTGCATAGGTTCCTGGGGTGGAATTGGACGATTTGAAACCACAGTTACCCGTACGTTCTCCAAATACGTTCATGATTGCAAAGCAATCCTCAGGAGCTGACCCTTGATCCATATCGTTCCAGACACTCTGACACTGGCCAGTTCGTGATTGGCAAACTCCACTCCAGCAGGATGCTTGACTATTGGAGCAAGGCCAGCCGTTGCGTGCGGTCAGGTCCTGTGGACATGTGGCATTCTCGCCGTCGCAGTACTCCGCCACGTCACAGTCGCTGGTGGCGGCGCGGCAGACCTGATCCCGGCGTGTCACGATGCGCTTGTTCACGCAGCATGGGTCCATGTCCGCACACCCTACATTAAACCAACACACAACAACAACATAGGTCAGTATGCCAGACATTGGCATAACAGTAAGAAATCAGTCTACGAACCTCCCAAAGAAAAACGTGTGCAGCATGCAAATTATGCCCGCAGCAGACATCAAGAAAAAAAAGATGTGAGGTACTAATTAGGGACTTTCACAGTCTTTGAGGGGCACGGCATGACAGATCGAGCAGACTTTTGGCTTGTAAATCCACGGCCAATACTGTTCTTTATGTCGAGATGCTGGACGGGCTTGAGTAGGAGCTGATTATATCAATCCATTGGACCAGAAGACATCCCATCCAACATCTACAACGGCCTGGCTACCCATTCTATGGGGTCTGGTGATGGCGAAAACTCACATCAGGCGATGTAGTGTGCGTGTAGTTCCAACCTGTTCTAGTGACCACTGGGGAAAGCTTAATTTCTTCACTCCACTCGGCCAGTGGAGTAGAAAATTTGCATTTCCCTGACATAAATCTACTCGGCTTACATCATCGACAAACCATTCACGGCGGCTGCAAGCAAGGTCAAACCATTATATCAAGAATCCATAATCCTCCAGAGTGCGCAACTTCACTGATCAGATCTGGGACGAAATCCGTGTTGAACGTCATAGTGTGACATCATGAGTAGGGAAAGTGTGAACCGTGGTTGACCGCGTCGACGTAATGACGCAAGTCCGACCCAAACATGACGTAAATCACGGATTACGCCGTCCCACAACCCCATCCTAGTTGCGCACTCTGCGGGATTATGGACTCTTGATGATATTAATGAGGCAGGGACACTCCACTTCTCAAAATCCGCTGTCATCAAGTCCCGCTTATGTTTCCCGGGTGACACAAAATGGGCATTTTGCAACAAGCCAGGAGACCAGAAGTTGCTGGGGCAATGACCGCCATTCATGCATGCAAGTTGGCTCAACTAGTCCAACCGACGACAGGCAAATCAACTACTACAATGTACCATACTTTCCAGAGGAATCGCCGTACCTGAGTATTATCCGTGCCCAGATTATACCCATCCACCCTTTACATCGTGGTGTATTTAACCACTGGAGTGTGAGCAGCACAGACCTTTTATTTTTTGGGGGTGTAAATTAGGAGTGTTTAAAATGCGGACTGTAATCCAAACACATGGCATTACTTTCACTGGACATAGATTTACAAAGCGAAAGAAATGTAACTGCAACATGCAGTACGCACGCCGAAGGAATGCAGCGTATTTGCTTCATTAAGTAGACACTTACGAGTCTGGCACCGGTCACCAATCCATCCTTCAGCGCAGGTGCATGTGCCGTCTTCATTACAGCGACCCTGGTTCAGACATGTTCTGCACTCTGCAGCAATTATTGTGTGCAGTGCATGACGTACATATTGTTTCAGTGCACAACAAAAATAGCAACAGAACAGCACAGCATGGTTAGTACATGATTCATGATCATCATCGGGTGCGACACGTCAAAGCAGTTTTTTTAAACATCCAGATTACACAACACCCCAGGTGCACTGGGGGGAGATCCACCACATTCAAACGGAATGATTATAGTAGTAGTGGGTGGGGATCTGGATCAGGGTATGAAGAAACGATCACAACCTCAGCCTTATATGCAATGAGTGAAAATAACTGTTTGCATTGACAAAAATGAATATCTTGCTACCTACCGAGTTGGCAATGTTCTCCGTAGAATCTTGTCGGGCAGATGCATTTACCCTCGTTGTCACACTGACCTTGGTTCAAGCACTTGCAGTCGTCTGTAGAGATACGATATGTTCATGCATGTGCAACAAGAGCAGGGAATGGCAAGGAAAAGCATCACGGCATGCTATGCAATGAGAAGCATGACGGGAGCAATTGAACCACAAACAAGTTACCAGTGGTTGAGCCAGACTGTCCAAGCACCAGATTTCCCAGAGTATAAAAGCCACACATCACTAGTTCAACCCAAAAAAATTAGGGGTGAGGCCTATTCTGCGTCAAATTAATTAACGGCGATAGATAGGGTAGTAAAAGTGGGGAGGCTTCCTGCAGTTTCCTAAACAGTTGAGAGTAGAGCCCACACGCTCTCTTCCATTAACACTGCAATAGTTCAACTCATTTCACAACAATTATTCCAACGTTTCGGCAAATTGCCTTCATCAGGTTCACAATGATGTGCAAGCTTCCAAACTATAGGGTAGGTAGCTGCATTTCGTGGCAAAAATCTGGGTGTGGAAATACGGTCGTGATATCAGCACCTGGTTATGTACAGTATTTTCCAGAGTAAAATCCACACTCGAGTATAAAGGCCGATTCACAATACAACTTCTAGCAACGCGACATGCGACTTGTGACACCTGCGACGAGCTGCGACAAGCCGTGACAGCGACACACAGTTCACAATCTTTTTTTCATGTATGCGAAATCCTTATGCACTAGTGTGCAGAGGCCACTCGTCAAGATGGCAGCAAATCCGAGAGTACAAACATTTCGACTCTGGCTATGTGCGCGGCGGATGCGAATCTCGCACGTGCATGCAAAATCTAGCCTACTACAGATCTGGGTAGAGCAAGTGTGTTGGAACGACGACCTTTTCCGAGAGAGAATGTGGCTCTTTTTATCCTAACATTTTACTGGCCACGCTCTCCCTCCCAGCTTATTGATACGAGTATCTGCTACCGAGTAGAAGTCTCCATCTTCACAGCAGGCCAGGCAAAAGCGAAACATTGAAATACTTTGCTCACTTGGTTTTTTGGTTCTTTGAGGTGTTGATGTGGTTGTTGTGTACAACTCAAAGTGACAAACTTGAGACCCCCACGCCACAAAGTTTCGTTTGGCTGTTCAATGAAAGGACATATGGAACCAGGGATAAAAACTATCGTGGCTGCCGGCCAAACTCCTAGTAATGTAATAAACGGGGGTGTGACATTGGTAATTCCAAGGAGAATGTACGCACGGCCATTCCACAATGAAGACGAAACTACGAGCTCAAAAACACTCCTCTTGTTAGCGCACTTCAAATGTACATCTCTGAGGTACACATTCTCACGTGTGCATATGTAACAGCAAACAAGTAGGCCAGCATGCAGTGTGCAGCAGGAGTCATACCTTGACAAGCTGGTATTGATCCAAAATCAGCGACATCACTCAAGACGGAACAACTTAGCACGTTGCTCGTGCCTGTTGAAAGCCGATATCCCTGATTGCACTTATACACAGCTGAAGAGTAAAACTTTTCTGAAGAGTCAGAAACAGCAACTTGAATTCCCGGATTCACAATACCATTGGTGATTGCTGCTGGCTCGCTGCACAAAGCTGCAAAGTACAAAGATTGCCCGAATACATGCCATTAATTATTATATTGCAGTACAATGGTGCTGATTTGAACCTCAATATTCCGGCAAGTAACTTCTAACTATCCAAAACTGTATGTTAATTAAACCCAATATCATGTATGTCAGATTGAAATAAGCAAGACCTTCAAATTAAATTTGAAAGCATTGGGACACCTTTAAATTCAAAGGATAAATCAGGGAAGTGAACTGCCTGAAAGGTTCGAGTCCTGGTGAGGTTGGCATTCTTTTCTCTTTCCAGACAGTTCACTTCCCCGACTGATCCTTTGAACCTTCAAAACCATAATTTGAATTATTAGTACTGTAAATCAACAAACTTTCTACGAGACTCGGAGAGAGACAGCATAAAAATGGACTACAGTCTATTCATTGGAAACTGGAACCCCAACTTTCTGGTGTCTCTCTCACATAGTTGTAGATATCGTGAAAACAACAGTACATCCTGCGTTGTGTGACCCGTGCAATTACTCCTTGCCACATTTTGAGGCCAGAAAAGTCCAAGAACAGGGAAATAGAAATTCAGCCAGGTTTTACAAAATTAGGACAGGTATGCCATGGCAAAATGTATGGAGAAGCAGATCCAAAACCCAGATTTTTGAGATTTTTGATCCTCAATTCGGCCCAAATCCGACTTTCAAAAGCCAGCGGGCCAGTTCCCAATGAATGGACTGTTGAAGGAGCCATTGGTAATGTTACAACGACAGCCGTGACTGTAGTATACACCTCGATGTTCTAATGGCTACTACTCAGAAGTGTCACAGGTAAATAATGGAGTGATCATATGCAATTATTTAATCAAAACGATGGTTGGATGTTACAGAAACTCCTGGAAACAGGAGCTGGACGTTGCAGGAACCTCGCATTTCGCTTCACAAGAGTCTCAAAGTGAAAACAGCCTTGCAATTAAGAGTGTCTAAAACTGATGGAGGCAAAAACTGCAGTGAACTCATGGTACGGAATCATACCTGATGATTAACACCAATCGAAAGAAGAGAAACAAAAAATACGTTATCGGCAAGCCACCACAGGTGTGCTGCCCTCTTATGTAACAAGGAAGAGAAGGACGTATATAAAATATACCTCTGCAGTTTCCAACTCCTTCCCAATTGCCAGTTGCTGAGTTCTTGGGGCATGTAGCAACTGAGTTGCCTTCAACACGTGTATAGCCAGTTGCACAGGTTACTTGGCCAGTAGTTCTGTTAACACTGGCGATGTTCAATTCATGGAAGTTACAACCTGAAGAGAAAAAAACGCAAAACAAATACCAGTAAGGCGACGTGGAGCCAATAATCTCAATAGTGCAATGAATAAAACTACAGGCGCACTCATAATAAATCACAATCATGGCAATGAATAAATTGTTCCAGAACCAGTTAGTTGTAGAACGTCAGTACTGTCGGTCAGTGTCGTGCAATGTTATCGCATGAGCTGATTGTTTAGTACCCGGCGGTGATAGTGGACATCATAGCGTAACTTGAGGTTCCCTGGTCCTTTTTTATTTTTTATAAAGAACATTTTCTCATCAAAATATTATTATCAATGGAAACTCGTGACTGAAGATAGTATCAAAATAACAAAAGGATTTAGACGCTTAGGGCATGATCGATTGGGCGAATCCTGAGCAAGTGTGCTCAGAGTGAGCGGGATCGTTTGGTCGAATCCGACCAAATCAGGAGTAGGTGTACTTAGAGTGGAATCCGACCACACCGGCCCACACACCGGGAGTGGCTGGTGTGGAAATGGACTTTGCTGTTTCTGGACAGCTTTCACAGAATCTTTGTACGATATGCGTACATTTTGCGTACTACACCCTTGTTTGGTTTGGGCCAGCGTTGCTCGGACCACACCGCCTGCTCGCACTCAATCCAGATTCGCCAATCGATGACACGCTTAGAGTGACAAAAATAAGGATACGAGTAAATATGTGGCACATGATGGAAAAGAGAATATCCTGGTAAGTGAGAGTTCCCATAGATAATTGTGACGAGAAAACGTTCTGGACTAGTTTATTCGCTGCTATTATTGTGATATGAGTGAGCTAATTAGTTTTATTCATTGCATTATTGAAATGGAAGTAAAACTCACCAATCTGGCAAGATAGCAGAATCGTTGCAACAAAGGTTCAGACAAACGATTAACTGCTGACGAATTACGTTAGTACAGTCAAACCTCTTTAGCCCGAACACTAATAAACCGAACTTTCCATTAGTACGAACTAGGGCCAATCTCCTATGGTTGGCCAGGTATCAAATCAAGTCGAAATTATTTGTCAATGACAAACTCCTGAACGATGATCTATTTTCAAACGTGGTTTGAACAAACTGCTGACGAAACACGTTAGTAACTTAGTACCACAAGCAATCAGTCAGTCTGAATCTCCTATCCCATGCAATGCGTACAACTCCTCACCCTGACAAGAGATTCCATTTCCATAGAAACCATCGTTGCAAGCGCATGAGAATGATCCAAGAGTGTTTATGCAGGCTGCTGATGAGTCACAGTTATGTGCAGTGGATGCACATTCATTGAAATCTGTCATAGGAAAAATTGTAAAAAAGAACATAATTTTACACTGCACAGAAACACACACTTCCATATTAACATTAGTGCTGAAACGATTATATCGATTACTCGTTACTTACTCGATAAGAAATAGATCGAACGGTTATTTCGATTTTATCGGCTAAACGAGTAGAATGGTACATGTACTTACGCTCGGTGCGGGATTTCCCCCATTTTGGGGTCGCACAAAGCGTGCATGCATCGAAAGTGTTGCGAGTACGACACGAATATGTACATGACTGTCCACTTGCAACATCGATCTACGTGTAAAGTAGATCTACAAGCGCGATCTGAGAAACATCGACGTGATCACCGTCGCCGTCTTTTGAGCTGACTACTTTTCTTACCAATCCCGAAAAGATTGTTGGAGGAGAGAGAGACTTTTGCTTGCCGAGCTGAAGCTAAAGGATTTGATGGAGTCCTGCCAGCAGCTAGTCAAAGGCCCTTCGGTACCTTAGGCAGACCCTGACGGAGTTTGGAGGCCAGCAAGCTCTCGGTGAGGAGCGAAACATTCGCGTGGCGATCGACTCTCCGTAAAAAAAATACAAGCTACATAGCGCCGACATACTGCAACAGCTACGATTTCAACTAACTTCTCGATCTGCTGCTTCACAAAGTTCAACTATTTACAAGTCCTGACTGTTGTAGTCTGAAGCTGGAGTCTCATCGCCCACCTACAGGTAGCTTTTGGAGCTGATGGATTTCCCGACTTGGACTCCTTCCGCAAATTCTCGCAACAGTACTACAGTGTATGCTGTGTTCCCGCACGCTCGTGTCTACATGTCACCTACTGCACATGTACCGAATCGCGGAGGCGGAAGAGCTTGACGAACTCCGCTGACTCCACGTTGCCGAAATATCGCCGTCGTCTTCGTTCTTATCGCTGGAGACATTCTCCCCTTCCAGGACCGGCGCATAGTTGTCGTCCCGGAGGTAGACTATGTTGTGTTTCGAAATAGTTCTTCATCAAGCTCGCGCGAATTCTCATCATGAACTCTTTCCGACGTTGTGATATGGCGATGGTCTTTGGCGGGGCACTGGCTTGGCGAAAATGCAATCTTCTTGCGCAGTAGAACATTGATCGGTTGCAGATGAGTACAGTTACTTCGTGCTTGGTCCTGTTGGAGGAAACCTGACAGGAAAGAGGCAAGACTCATCGAAGACGAAGCGCTCGCAACAAACAATGGCGCTCGAAATATCTCGTACGATTTAGGGCCTATCGCTTTGAGCCACAGCTCTCACAGCCTTGCCTACTTCATCAAAGTGAGCTCTACATGTTCGTTGCTCAGTATGTGTCTACACCAGCTGCAGGGGCTGGAGTTCCCTCCACGTGCAAGCAGTCTTGAGCTAAAGACAGTATTGTGGTCTTCAGTTTCATGTTTTCCGTTCTGTCGATGGTTCCAGAACCAGTTTGCTCGACGACGAGCTAGGCCTGGCGTCTGGGCCTATTTTGAGCATAGACAGGAAAAGCCACTAGTTACTTGTTGGTGCGCCGCGCGTCAGCTCATCCGTCAAAATCCGCCGATCTGCACCCCTGGCCGGCTTCTCTGACTTCATCGTCGGAGTCAGCGAAGTCACCGGCGAAGGGCACCATCAGCGCTTGGGTTGCAACTAGTGAGTTGCCTCTGTCTTGTCTGTATTCGTCTGGTCAGTCCGAACAGCTGACAGACTTGTTGCGGGAACATCGGAGCTATGCACCCGCTTTCCGTCGTTGGCGATGTTGGACTCGTAAAATTTTGAAATTCACAGAATGTACATGACTTGTACTCATGTAGTTAAAATAATAATCGTTTAGCCGATAAGCCGATCGTTATGGTATCAGCTAAGCCACTAAGGAAAAAACGTAATCGTTTCAGCACTAATTAACATATTAATTATTATTATTATTATTATTATTATACTGATACAGGTGAACCGACACTGCATAGTTGGTAGGCAGCTGCCATCTACAATGGAAGTTTGGCTATGAATTAAGTTCCATAGGTAAGCACCAATGAAAACATAAAAACAATTATGCAATTGCTCACCATCACATGTAGGTCAAAATCAGACATCAGGAAAATAGCAGGTTTGGTGATGCACCTGCGTTCTGTTTTCTTATTTCGAGCAAGCACTTGATGAAACCATTTGTTCATTCTGTCAACTTTCACTCAGAGTCGAAATGATAACAAGACCTACACAATCAAGGCCACTCGCAATAGCTCCGAAGCCTACACACTCAGTCAGGGAGGCCACGTCAACTTGGAGGTATGCTCTGAGAATCCCATACGCACTGTAACAAAATATTCATGTATACTTACCCGTTTGGCACTTGTTCCCGGTAAATTCTTTCGGGCATGTGCATTTGCCCTTGTCGTCACACTGACCCTGGTTCAAACACTTACATCCTGCAGCATCCATCGCATACGCACAAAGTGACACAGAGAAAATGTGAATGCATGGGACGTTAGGGGTCGGCCATAAGAACTGATATTTATCACACACACGCACGCACGCACGCACGCACACACGCGCACGCCCACGCCCACGCACACACACACACACACACACACACACACACACACACACACACACACATACACACACACACATACACACATATGTACGAAATACAGCGCTCCTAACCCTGACTGGCGCTGGCACTACTACGTTACACTTATCATGATCTTACTTACTGACACAGAGGATTTGGGCTCTGTCATTGCTTCTGGTGCGGTGAAAATCTTGATTGTTCTCGCTAAATGTTACGGTTCTGTAAAGGGAATCACCATCGACCCGGATTGCCTTGACGTGGTAAGCGGCTTGGTCACGTTCATGCTTCAGAGCCAACCTCTCGAGCCCGCGCTCTCTTAATACATGGCCATGTGCTCGCAGCCAGTCTTCGGTTATGAGGTGAAGTCCGTACTGCTGACATGCCTCCTCTGCGAACGGCTCGGTGACAATACGTCTGGATGCTGGGGTTGCTGCGGTATATGCTGAGTTGTTGGCGTGAAGCCACTTGGCTGCAAGACAAGGGCACATCCAGGGGTGGGTAGAAAATACATATACGCAATATGAATAAAGGGTGCACTGGAATCTATCTCAATGCAACCGGATAAATCAGTGTAATTGTTTTTCCTTATTCCGAGCCAGGTTAAGGTATCGGTCAATATTTGCAGGCATGGGGCTGGGAAGACTTCATGGAGCAGCACCGTGCCATAGTTGCAAATCACCCAGCGAGTATGCCAGGAGTACATAACCCTCAGAGTGTGCAACTGCCACATACCCTGCTGTCCCAACAGACTTTCAAGTTGCTCCTTGCACCAGTGATGTACAACATGTGTGCGGGTGTCAATGCATCACACTTTTTCCTTGCAAAACAATTGTACAGGATCAGATAGGCTTTGGTTCATCGTCAACTTGAAACTCTTTGGGGATTGTGTACTCTTGGTTATACCAAAGGAGTGGAAAAATATTGGCAAGAGTACAAAGAAAAACAAGTGATGCGTTGACACTCGTACACATGTTGTTAATCACTGGTGCAAGAAGCATTGCATCATATTAATCATGTCACCTTGAAATTCTGTCGGGACAGCAGGGTATGAGGGAGTTGCACACTCTGCGGGTTATGTACTCTTGATGTCGGGTTATTACACAAGTGTGTTCACCTCATGACCTTGCTCGTTCCTCATTTCTTTGGTCAAATTGGGCTATGCGAAGGCTACCCAATTACGTTATGCGGAACCTCTCTAATAACAATACTCGAATATTCGAACATGATTCGTTCGGTTTGTCGCATTCGAATATTCTCGAAGTCGCATTCAAGTACTTGTGGCGTCACTTTGAATGCAGTGCATGTACATACATGCACGCCAAACACAGCACAGTGCAGTGTGTACAGCCTGCCTGTGATTTTGTACTGCATGTTTGCACATGTATGTGCATACTGGACTGCCAATGTTGCACATAAGATTTCGAAGTAGCCTTATGTGGCAGTGCATTTTTATGTGGCACTAACATTTGTCATACCTAATAACAAGAGTACATAACCCCCAGTGTGTGCAACTCCCACATACCCTGCTGTCCTGGCAAAATTTCAAGTTGGCGTCATTATTTATGACGCAATGCTCCTTGCACCAGTGATTTACAACATGTGCACGGGTGTCAACGCATCACACGTTTTTCTTTGCAATGATTTGCACAGGATCAGATCGGCTTGGGTCAACCACAGGTTCCGGATTCGTCTGATAATCCGTGTACAGTGTGCATTGCATCATCAAAATGATGTCAACTTGAAATTCTGTCTGGACAGCACCCATAGTCGAGTTGCACACTCTGGGGGGTTATGTACTCTTGCTAATAATAATCACATGAAATGTTTCTCTGCACATGTGGTCAGTTGGCTACTCATGTGTGGATCTGACCCTGGCTAGAACCGTAGGTTTCCCATTGACGTGAGAAACCTTGGTTGTAATCGCTCTTGCTCTCTGTTTCAGTCCTCTAATATTGTCAATGTCATTGTCTACTCTAACCACCCATTGCTGGCTACTCAGCACCTCTCTCACATGTTCTTTTTCTATCACAATGCAACAGCATACCTTCGCAGATGACATCATGATGGCCTGCTCCGGTTCTATCATGTACCTCTTCTCTTAAGCCGTTCTTGCCCTGCTTGTACAAGAGATGCTTCTTGGAACCATCCCTCAACTCTCTCAAGAAAGATGTCCATATTGTGATAGGGCTCTTGAAACTGCTCTCCATCATCTCGTTGAGCAATGCTTCCATGCAGTCGCGCACATTCAGAGCCCAGGAAATGAAGGCATGAAATTCGACCACGTCGTATCCTCTTCTCTTGCACATCTGGCGGGCATGCGTCAAGTTCGTTTTCTTCTGGCAGCTGTCACCGTCCAGGTCTGGATGACACGGCAAGCTGGCGAGAGCCATCCAGGTGTACGTTGCGTTATCTGTACCCAGGCACTTTGTCTTAAAAGCTGAACATAACACAGTACACATGCAAAGTACATTCTTGTACAGTAGAAGTAGTAGTAGTAGCAGAAGTAGTAGAAGTAGCAGTATTAGCAGTAGCAGCAGTAGTAGTAGCAGCAGCAGCAGCAGCAGCAGCAGCCGCGGCAGCAGCAGCAGCAGCAGCCGCAGCAGCAGCAGCAGCAGCAGCAGTAGTAGTAGAAATAGTAGTAGTAGTAGTTTTTATTATTTTACTTGGGTATACCCAACAGGCCTATGGCCTTCTTACAGGGTGCCTAAGGAGAAATTGTTAGCAGCTAGCGCGAAAGCAGGCAAAGTACGCTGGGATGGAATGATAGCGGGTAGTGCATGAAAGCGGTAAAAACTAAGAAAACTAATGGGAGACTGTAAAGGCCTGGCCGGGACATGAATGGGGGAAGAAATATACTACTGAATGTTTGGCCTCTGGTTTGGGAGGTAGTGTGGGTAGCATCATTTCGGGTCGTGAAGATTTGGGAGATGAGGGGACTGCCAAGGGACCTGATTCACCGAAAAGTAAAAGTGAAAAGCTTAAGAGTGAGGCGTAGGCTGAGTGGGTGGATGTACAGTAGAGCATGACTGGAGTACACACTCTATTAAGACATATACTGCCCCCCCCCCCCCCCCTATTGATACCGTAGTCCATTTCAAGTATATCCGTGTTTATCTGAGTAAAATGCACATCCCCTGAGCAAAATTTTCACATTTCGCAGCTGCATGTGTTTCAAAGAAACATGCATAATTATACACTTCATTCAGAAGTTACTTACTCTGCTGACACAGGTCTCCATGGAAACCTTTCTGGCAGACGCAGGTACCGTCTTCAGCGCACTTCCCATGATTCAAGCAATGGCATACTGCAGTAGAGATTGGGTGCATTCACGTATTTCCCAAAACAGAGATAGGAACAGACCACCATACAATATCAGACCCTAAAGAAGTTAGTATCACCAACTCAAACCCATAATAAATAATATGGTATCTATTATTGCACGTAAATAGCACAAAATAGGTTGGAGGTTTGAGTTTGCACCGCCGAGATAAGAGAGAAAATTTTTCCTTACAATGATGAGTATGATTCTAGAAATTGTAAATATACCCATGGGTCATACACTCGTTGACACGCGGCCTAAAATGACAGCAGCTTTCTTTTCCCCTTATAATTCAAGACTATTACAGCTGTTTTTTTAGCCCTTACCTTCTGTGCAATTAGGTCCATCTAGTCTGGGTTTACATTCACATTCTTTGTTCTTTTTCACCCAGGGATTCGTGCACACAACTGCATCGCATATCACACACCGAGGGGAAAGAAAACAGGAGAGCAAATCAGCCAGACACAAAAATGGACAGACAAAAAGACTGAGAGACAAATAGATGTTTTACTCAGTAGGCAGCCATTGTCCTATAAACAGTCAGAAGTCCAGTAGGGAGTGGAACTCATCATACCGTCATATTTGCACGACTTCGTTAAACGCGGGCGACTTTCTCTGTAGAAAGTCTACACATTTCCACAGTTCGACACATTTCCAGTGCGCAGTCTGAGTTTTCGTCAACTTGGATCATGTGCCCACTTCATCCATCAGCCATGGACTGGGTGCAGAATAGCCTGAACTTCGCACCAGCACTCAATGCAAGACAGAGCAGCTATAACGACAGTCGGAGTCTTGGAGTCTGCGTTTGAGCCGCTCACACGCGGAGCTGAAGCCAGTGGAAAGGACACCATCGCCAGCTAGTCGACATTCTGGCAGAACTTGACGTAGCGTGGAGGCCAGCCATCCCTTCGGTGCAAATACAAAGCTGCACGTATAGCACTGGTGTACAGCAATGGAGACGGTTTAAACTCATTGGTCTTTACTTCATTGGTTTGAGGGAAAGATGTAAATGGGAACAGTCTGGAGAAAACATTGACCATCACCACCAGGACTCGAGCCAGTGACCGCTTTGGTCTTTTCTTCTGCTTCAAGGCAATCTTAAGTCTGTAGTCTTGGCTGCTGCAATATTAGAATGCGTTTGGTTGGGCATTTCCAGAATGTAAATGACAACCATTCTGGAATGGGAATGGGTAAGAATCACCTGACTAAACAAACGCGCCAGAATCAACTAGGAATCACTTGACATAACAATTCCATAATGTCGTTGTGGAACGGCGGCTCTATTCACTTTTCCTTGGCAGAGTCAAGGTACTCCCGAGTGCATGATTTGAGGCACTTGAACCTGATGCTGCATGTATTCCTAGCAAGAACTTGAGCAAAATGGGGTTCTGCTTTCTTCACACATAGTTGAAACACAGACAAAGGCTGCATACTCAGGGTCACTCGACACAGCTCCAAAAGATCGCGGCGCAAAATAGCTTTTTGTCGGGGAATTTTCTGGAAACAATTGTTGATGTTAGGTCTTTATAAGGCACAGTAATGGTGCAAAATTCAAGACTATGTCCAGAGCATTGCATATGTGCCATTTTATCAATTGTCAAAATGGCCACCTATGCTCCTGTTGGAGCTCTAGAGACACTGTCCAAAGTGAATCGTGGCGAAGACCTAATGTTTTCATTACGACATTAGCCTGCCAAGGCAGTGGAATGCAAAATTCCATAGTACGTTTCCATGGTTACCATGGGCTATTTCCATAGAATTTCATAGTATACCTTCTGCGATCACGTCTAAAATCTGTGGACTCCTTCATTAATCCCATAGCAACAGTTTAGGGTCAGGTTTTAGGTCAGCGTCATAACAGAGACTGTGCAGCATGTCTCTGTATGATGGTCCTACCGGTAGGTCCTACGGGTAGGACCGAGGTCTATGCAAGCTATCAATTATGTTACACAAATGTTGGCTCAGCTTATCTTTTCAATTGTTTTATTAAACAATTATTCGTTGGTTTTTGAAACGGAAACGGCTCACGCAGTCACTGGATGCCACGTCAACATGGAGGTATGCTTCGGGAAGAGCTGTAAGCATTCATACTTACCCAATTGGCACTTGTTCCCGGTAAATTCTTTCGGGCAGATGCATTTACCCTTGTCGTCACAATGACCTTGATTCAAACAGTTGCATGCTGCATCAGCCATCGCATACGCACAAACAAGACGTGAGACAGAGGAAATGATGGTATGTTATAGGCTACTCATACTACGTTACAATACGCGTGACGTTTTGGAGCACGACGTTCTGGCATACGTCGTTTTCATGCAGGTGCATTCACACAGGCACTCACACGCTGCTCAAACAGCTGCGTGTTCAGCTTCTTTTGGACACAAACTGCTGGGAACGACAGAACAAAACTCGGTACAGGAGTCTGGATACGTCGTCTACGATTTCGTACCAGAGGTACGCTTTTCCCGCCACGTTCCATGTTGTCATGACTATCCGGACGAAAACGTCACGTACGCCACGTTCTGGGCGTAGTGTGAATGGCCCATTAGGGGCCGGCCGTAAGTATCGATATTTACAACTCAAACCCACCCTATACCCCTCCTCTCAGAACGTGCATTTTTTTTTCGTCAGGCAACCAGTCTGACCAGGCCCTAAGGGTATCTGTCTAATAAGGGCCGAACGCTGCACCGCAGCCTTTTCGGACCAAAACCAGTCTACTCAGCGCCCAAAAGACTACAACATATGGGCTAATTGCGATCATCCGCGCTTTTAGAATCCCCATCTAGTAGGGCGCACTCACCCAGTTTTGTTGGAAGTGCGCGAATTCGATTGGGAATAAAGGAGGAAGGGAGCGTCTCAGCTTCCTCGGACCAAGACCATTCGACCCAGAGCACCCCGAAGACTACAACTGGTGAAAATGTGATTCAGGATTCAGCGTATACTTCCTTTTAAAAACGGTCATTACAGGGTGGGGGGGGGGAGGCTATTATTCCAGAGAAGACTTCTGATCGTGTGAGCGTAGTAGCATTCAAGTTGTGAGAATTCTCAATGAAATACACAGAGTTGTATGTGAAACTGCAGGCTACACACACGTCAGGCATTACACACTCCATCTAGCTATAAATAGTGGTCACATTACACTGACGGTATCCCAACTCTTTAATTACCAGATTTTGTATGCTCCGATCTATTTCCTTAGCCTATCCTCGATTAACTGCTCCCTCTACATAAAGTTTCCATTTCATTCTTCTTGCAGGAGATCCCCTCGACAAGCCCAAAGCCTTTGGGAAATCCAAATATAATATTAATTCAAATACATCTGGCAGATCTCTGCTGTTTTCCCGCTATCTTGTTAGTGTTCTTCACCTTCTCTAAAATGGGTGTACTCAGATTATCAAACACGCGCACGCTTGCACACACACACACATACACACACACACGAATTTTAAGGCCTGCTGTCTTACCCTTTTCACATCGTTCGCCGTAGGATGTGGTGCGGTTACACACACAACTCAAGTTTGCTGCAACACCATTGTTCTCACAGAATTCTGTGCAGAAAAAGAATACGAGCAGCTCAATTGCGTTACTCTTCTGCAGTTTATGAAAGTAGAATGCCAATTATCTAAATGATTGCTTATCCAAAAAAGTGCTGTTCAAGACATTTGTGTTATGTTCCCTGACGGAAAAGCATTCTCTCTCGTTGAATCCTTATACATGCTCCCAAAAACGATCAGTCAAAGGAGGTTTCTTTGTTAGGTATTCCCACCAACAACAACAATCAAAATTTAAGCATGCACAATGCATGGTATGATATGGGGGGCAGGGGAGAGGGCAAGGACTTTTGCTACAAGGACATGTTTGAAAAGGACATGTTGAAGCAAGACACAGGGATAAGGGACAGGGAATGGCTATACTGCTTGCGCATAGCCAGTCATTTATTATCGCCTCACTTACTGACACAGAGGATCCGGGCTTGCTCATTGCTTGGGGCGTTGTGAATCGTATGACTTCCGCTGCTAAACGTTACGGTTCTGTAATGGTGTTCGCCATCCGCCGAGATTGGTTCGACGTGGAAGGGCTTGGTGCCGTGATGAGAGTTATGCTCTATAGGCAATCGTTGTAGCCAGCGCTCTCTGAATACATGGCCATGTGCTTGCAGCCAGTCCACGGTTATAAAGTTTAGTCCATACTGCTGACAAGCTTCACGCGCAAAAGGCTGGGTAACGGCACGTCTCGATGCCGGTGTTGCTGCGACGTATGCTGAGGAGAAAGCATGAATCCATTTAGCTGCAGGACAACAGACAGGTATAGAGGCATTTGGAGAAACATTAAAAAAGCACAGCAGGAAGCAAGCCTGAAGAATGGGCTTCCTGGAAATTGCTGGCACGTTCCATGAATTTCGACATAATGGATAGGTCAGGCCCCCGAAACAGTGCATACCGTATTAATTAGAAAAGCAATCCTGTCAGCTTTTCTATTATTGTGGTCACAATGCAAGACCAAACGGCACCGATATTTGACACGTTGTCTACGTAAGTTTTTACGTAAGATGCTCGGTACGTACCTGGACCAGGGAGCACTACTCCATGGCTTGTACCATCGCGTGGCCGGTGGCGTGCGTGTGCATGGCAGACATTTTTTTGCAATCCGTTTTCTCAGTTGTACGCACTACGCCATTTCCCGCCTCAGATCTCCGCCGTGACAGACACCCATAGTAGAAAAGGCCCCAAGCTGCACACTCTGGGGGGTTATGTACTCTAGATATCATTCATACCCACCAAAAGATGTGTAACATTTTATTATTATGGTGTGCCTTGTTTATCTATCAGTACCTCCAACCATAGCCTTGCCCCTATATCCTCAGGAGCATCAGTGTAGTTCTTGGAATAAGGTGTTCGAATCAACAATTTATTCGTTTACATTTCTATAATACATATCTATTATTCCTCCTTTGTCTCAAAATAGACAGAAGCGGAAGGGTTAGCATTTGCTGCCTTGTACGCGAACTGTTCTATTATTATTATTATTATTATTATTATTATTATTATTATTATTATTATTATTATTTGAACTGGTTTTGAGGGAAAGAGACATTTATTATTATTTGTATTATTATTGGCAGTAGCAGTTGGCAGTAGCGGCAAGGAATGTCAGGTCGGTTTCATTGTCACGTAATTCCAAAGTATGTACTGGTTCTAGTAGCGGTGTTAGGGTGTATGAATCTTCTGTTGCCAACCATCTTGTTCAGAATAGTGATTGTCGTTCTAGTTATGCTGATGAGTGCTTTTCTGTTTGGTCTCGTTCACGTAGTCAAAGGTATTTGCGTGTATTGGAGTCTATCTACATTTTTACCACTAAGCCGATTTTGTGTAGGCAGAAAAAGAATTTGTTTACGTTGAAATTGTTTGTGAATTTAGATCAGTAGTTCTCGTTTGTGGTTGCATGGTAACTTTCTAGTGGTGAATTTATCGCATCTGTTGTCACCTGATATCGTTGAATGGTGTAATGTTTCTTTCAGCTCTCATTTTATCGCGCTAGTTAGGGTCTAAATTATTACTTGCATTGTGCGTATATATATTGAGTTAAGAGCTATTGTTGATTTGCCAGTAATCCTCTGATGAGATGGCGACGAAAACGTTTAGGAACAAGCTTCTTTATTTACATGAAAACAAGTTTTGCTTATGGTGTTTATACTGAGTGCGCAGCTTACACTATTTATTGCGTTGATTACATTTTTATCTCCACGGAAGCTTTTTGATTATTATTATTATTTCTCCTTTATTCACTTCTTTCGAAGGCGATAAGCCAGACCCGCCGGGAAATATTTCCATGGGTGGGACAGCAAAAAGAAAGTGAAAAAACAAAAACAAAAATAAATAAATAAATAAAACCTAAAAACCAAAGTTTTGAGGGAAAGAGACAAACGGGAAAAGTCTGAAGAAAAAATCGACTGTCACCACCAGGACTCGAACCAGGGACCCTCGCTTGTAGCCAGCGATGCTCTAACCACTGAGCTATGGTGAAGTCGTCATCCATTATTATTATTATTATTATTATTTTAACTGGTTTGAGGGAAAGAGACAAACGGGAAAAGTCTGAAGAAAAAATTGACTGTCACCACATTATTATTATTATTATTATTATTATTATTACGAAGTAGTGGTTGCGACTTCGGCGATGATTTGTAAGAAAGGGTTTGCTAGCGCGAGCTCCAGTGTGGGGAGCAAACCCTTTATTATTATTATTTTTATTATTTGGAAAGGATTGGGAGAACTTCACCCGACTGATACTTTGAACTTTTATTATTATTATTATTATTATTATTATTATGACGACTTTATTCACTCCCAAAGCAGAAAAAGAAAGCTTGAAAGGAGGCATGAAGCACAGCACCGGGATCCATATGACCCAAGGGTGAAGCACCAATCAATGAAGATAAAAGAAAATCCTGAACAAAATTTTGATAAACTTCATGAGAGAAAAATTCAACTATACCAACTTCGATACTCACATAAAATCACAGTCATGTATAACAGAACTACTCAAGTAGTAAACACCAAGCATGCTGCACATGGGACACTCCAAGCAAGACAAACTCAGACGAGATAAAACGGCATATGCAGAGAAAGACAATACATGACTGGGGGCATATGGCAGAAATTCACGCCTCTCGGCTCGTCACACAGCACATGATGCACCACAATCATAAAACACACAGACTGAGACACAACGAGACATTACGGGCAGGCTAACATAAGGTCAACCGACCGTTCCGACCATGCCACTCTCCCATCCATGACCAGTCACCGACCGCACAATTCTCAGGGTGCCCAGAATAGCACATTGCTGCAGCCGCTGGATCACGGACGCGTGGAGCCCAAGGCTTAAGATGTGGCTGCGACTCGTTCCTGACACACCACCCAGAGCACCAATGATAACTGGAACAATAGTTATCTTTTTGTTCCAGATCCTCCTCAGCTCTGCTGCCAAGGGCAGGTATTTGCTGATCTTCTCCTGCACCTTCTCATTGACCCTGTGGTCCAATGGGACACTGACGTCCAAGAGCAGTGCCCGATCATCCAGAACCAGCACCAGGTCTGGTCTGTTCGCTTTTATTACTCGATCTGTGGGAATGGAAATCTCCCACATCAGCTTGCAACTGGCAGAACTTGTGACCTGCACCAGCTGCTTACTGCTGGGTAACCCATGCTGCTTACACAGCGCACGATGCAGGGCCTGGACCACAAAGTTATGCCGGGCAATGTATGCAGTCCGTGCCAGGGCTGGACAGCAGGCGATGATGTGGTCCATATTTTCTCCGGGTGCACCACATACACGACAGAGGTCCACGACATCATGCCTCTTGTGGATATGGCGCATATTGTTTCTCGTGGCAATCACCTGATCCTGGCAAGCAATGAGAAAGCCTTCCGTTTCAGGACGCATTGTCTGGGATCTGAAACAGGAAAACGAGAGCTGCATGTCCAGGATACCACCAACACGCGCCCAATAGCGACCATGAAGAGGCATCGCTCGAAGTTCACGGCGGCGGTTGTCATTGAGGGCCTGTTTAACAGTCTCTTTGTTAGCGGTGTCCAGGCTCGTCAGGCGAAGGCGCTGCAGGACAGTATTTGCCAGCTTTGGTATTGATTTTCTAGAGGCACGTGATTCATGGTGCTGGAGAACAGCGGCCAGGGCAGGGACATCTTCCCGATCCTTCAGGTACTGAGCGAGCCGGATGCAAGTACGGTCATGGAGATCTACGATGCATACTAGGCCACGACCTCCCTCACTCCGCGGTAGATATAGGCGTCGGATTGAGGCACGTGGGTGGTGGGCCCTGCTAGCAGTCAGAGCCTTCCTCACTGTCCTGTCCAGCGAGCGGAGCTCATCCGCGGTCCAAGGAACGACTGTGCCAAGGCCATAGGACACCACTGGCAGAACGTAGGTGTTGATTGCTCTGATGAGGTTTGGTGCACATAGTGAAGCATCCATGATCAAGCGAAGACGGCGACGGAACTCAGCGATGGCAGATTGTTTAACTTCACCAGCCTCGATTCCCAGGAATTCCCGCAGGCCAAGGTAGAGGTACGCCGCGCCATCTTGCAGAGGATGAATGATCGACTCTGTTAGCAAGGTTGACGAAGGCTCTGCATCCTGGGTTGGCTTAGCGGCCGGGCAGACAATCTTCGAGCACTTAGTGGGAGATAGTTGCATGCCAACCGCCCCACCAACGCACTCCACAATGTTGATCAAGGAGTCCAGTCCAGTACTGCTAGCGGCAAATAGCTTGACGTCATCCATGTACCATAGATGCGACAACAGGGAATCACGTGTGGGTCCACAACGATATCCTATGCCGCTTCTTGCTAATTCGTTTGAGATTGGGTTGAGACCGATGCAGAACAGCAGGGGAGACAAAGAATCACCCTGGAAGATACCCCGTCGGATGGATATTGGCTCGCTGACACCGCTGCTAAGGCACAGTTGTGTGCTCCATTGCTCCGACAGCGTTTGGAGTGTGCGGATGATCCTAGGATCGAACTTGTAGATGGTAGCAATTTCCCAGATCCACTCTTGGGAAAGGCTATCGAAGGCCTTTCGGAAGTCTAGCCATGCCATACTGAGGGAGCGCTGGTGGCATTTGGCATCTTCAATAATCATGTTGTTGATCAACAACTGATCTGTGCATCCTCCTCGGCCACGTGCACATCCGACCTGTTCCGGGGCCAGCAGACTGTTAGCGGTGATGTGAGACCACATAAGCTCCGATACTACAGATGTGAAAAGTTTATACATAGAAGGCAGGCAGGTTATAGGTCTCCAGTTCTGGGGTTTCGACAGATCACCTTTCTTCGGTAGGAGTACGGTTGCACCAAGGGAGAACCAGGGCGGTGGCACGACTTCCGAATCCAACAGCTGCTGGAATATGCGAAGCAAGGCAGGATGCAGTGCACTAAACTTCTTCAACCAGAATGGTCTGATGTTGTCAGGCCCAGCAGCATGCCAGTGAGGCATCCTTCCAACTGCCAGTCGGAACAACTCCGGCGTTATGACTGCATCCTCTTGTGGCTGGACATCTTGATAGGCAAGAGCCTCCCGTTCAATCCATCCATGTCTGCTCACCGCAAATGGCTCGGACCAGATGCCTGACCAAAAATCATGCAACGCCCCCATACCAGGCCGAGTCTGGTCACTGCAGTCAGCCTCCTATGTCCCCAGAGAGCGGTAGAACTGGCGCTCGTTCTCTCTGAATACCTGATTCTGTTGTTTTCTCTTGATGTTATCTTTATACCGTCTGATTCTGGCGGAAAGCGCCAGCAGCTCCATTTTCTTGCTTTCGAGTAGAGCCGCGGCCTCATCACTGCTCTTGACAGGATATCTGGTGAACAATCTTGGGTTTCCAGCTTGGATGAAACTTGTGAGGCGCGACACGTCTTTCCTCACATTCTCAATTTTGCGTTGTATTCGCAACAACCAGCCTGGCGCAGTCTCCCTCCCATGATCACCACCACTCAAACGGCAAGGTGCAACACCAGACACCACCAAGACCAGCACCGCCGCTGCATAGGTGAGCTGATTGGCGAATTCCAAAGACAGAGGCAGGGGTAAACCCAACAGGAACAGTCTCATGCCACCGTTGACCAAGGCAACATTGCTGGAAAGTGCACGGCTAGGGACCTTTCTGGGGACAGTGAGTCTTGGCCGACCTGTCAACTGCAAGCTCTGTACTCCAACTAAAACACCGCTCAGAGGTCTGGCAACGTCATCAGGTGTGGTTATTTTGCGATTGATGCAGAGGTGCCTGATTGACCACTCCAGATCCATACTCAAACCACCAGGGCCCAGAATACCAGATTCACTGAGATTGGTTAGAATGCCTCCAAGCTTATCAGGGTTGGAATTACTACAAGGCGAACAAGGCGTCTCCCTTGTGCAGTGACTTTGCTCTGTTTCAGGCACTCCAACAGCCGGTCCATCCACAGTAGGCGTTGATCCACTGGGAGCAAAGTCGCCCTCCACAGGTGGCTGAGGTCCTGCCAGGCCATAAACAGCCTGTTTATTATTATTATTATTATTATTCCTCCTTTGCTGTGCTGCTTAAGGGTTGGTTCACATACGCAAAATCGGTGCCGCAAGAGATCGCAAGAAATCGGCGGTGAGCCAGCTCTCGATCCGTTGCGCATACGGTGCGAGTACCAAATCTACTACAAAGTAGTACAGAATGCGCCCAAATGCTACGACAGATTTGCCAATTGAAGCCTGAATTTTTTGTTTCTTCCGTAGTTGCCGTAGTTGCCGTAGTTGTCGTTCGGTGATGGCCACTCGGTGCTACCTTTTACCGGAGATCATGAAACTACTTCTACACGTTTTATTGCAGTCTAGTAAGCAGTGGTGTCGAAGTTATGCGTGCAAACGTTGATGAAGTCACATGAGCTTGTCTATGGATCCTTTGTATTTCTTTACTTCTTTCAATTGTATTTGTCTCGAAAGTTGCACAACAGTCATGTAGATCATCCGAGAAGGATGGGTTGATATGCTGAATTAATTCGCCACCTTGAAACGACTACAAGAATGGCGAATGGACCTCATCTTTAGCTTCAATTTAGGAAAATTTAGGATGAGTCTTGGTTTGAAATGTTGACAAAGTCTGGCTCCCGGCACCGGCGATCACCGGCGTGAATGGTTCACAGACCACTGTTGGCCAAATTTGTATGGGGCAGATCGCAAGAGCTGGGCAATGTCCAACTTTGCCGGCGGTCCCCCGGAATCTGAATTTTGCAGGTAAATTACTGATGAGAAAGCTGCAGAAAAGCTACTTTGGGATCTGTTTGAACACATTGCTCTTGCCAGTCAAGGCGAGTGAAGGTCTCTCCAAGATTCTTCACTCCTAATCAGTTGGTGGAAATAGGAAAGTAAAAAAAGCAAAGGATAGTGCAAAAAGTACTCCTTTCTGCATATTCTTTACAAGGAGGATGAAAAACATGCAGAAAATGCCGCAGATTTTTGATGTTACTGCAGAAAGTGCCGCAGAATTACCCTCTTTTCTCCGCGGATTTTATTTGCCGCGGAATTCAGAATTCTTGTCCGAGTTTTTCTAATGGGACAGGATAGTCCATGCGATGGCATTTCACTCTGTACATAAAATGGAATGGGGATAGTTCCTTCACTGGTTACCCAGTTTATGTCGCCGGTACGACCTACAACAGTAAGTCGCCCATTAGAACGGGGAGCCCGGGTTGTGAGGCACACATGCTGTTGTTTATTTCTCTGCGGTCATGCCTCCTACCCTGTTAATGTCCCTACCCTGTGCTTTCACTGCTTGCCCTGCTGCCCTGAGCATTCCCCCATGTGGCTAAAAAGGCAACAGCCTACCTTCGCAAATGACGTCATTAAGGGTTGTTCCAGCCCGGTCAAATACCTCTTGCCTATGGTTGTTCTTGTCCTGCTTGTAAAGGACATGATCCCCTCTGAACACGTGCGACGTCCATACAGTGATAGTGCTGCCGTAAGTGCTCGCCATCATCTTTCGGAGCAATGCTTCCATGCAGCCGCGCACGCCCTTGGTCCTGTTGGTGAAGGCGTCAAAATCGATCACGTCGTATCCTCGACGCTGGCATAAACGGCGGGCTTGCCTCAGATTGGCCTTTTCCGTGAGGCTGGGCTCGTTAGCGTGCGGATGAACCGGCAAGCCAGCGAGAGCCATCCAGGAGTACATTGCCTTATCTGTGCCTGGGCAGATGGTCTTGAGAGCTGAACACAACACAGTGCATATTCAGAACACAATCAGGTACTGTGCAACTCACCAGGCACATGCTCCGATAAGACATACACTCGAGCTCAGATACAAAATTTGAGAGAACACTTTAAGGGGCCATCCGGCATTATCGATAATTTTCACGAAACGAAAAAGTATAATTATATGATAGAAAACTGCTATTCAAACTGACCACGATTACCCAACCATCAGTCTCCTGCAGTGTTTCAGGAAATGTTCCATAATATATGGACTATCCAAGGGCTGTACTTTTAAAAATAACTTTGCGTCACCAAAATGAAGAAAAGTGGACCCATTAGCCGATGTAGAATGGTTTTGCCAATATGGATGATCGCACAAACATGAAACTCGAATCGCAGCAAATGTAGGCCTTATTCCACCATTATTTGAAGCCAATAGGGAGGCATGTCCAGGGTACTAGTACTGGAATACTCCACGGCAAATACATAAATGCATACTCCAATGCAGTCCATTCATACACGATAGTCCCGCTGGAAAGTCAAATTTTAGGCCGGATTGAGACTATCCACAGTTTGAATCTGGGTCCGGGATCTGCTTCTCCATACATTTTGCCATGGCCTACCTGACGCAATTTTGAACACCTTGCCTCGATCCCTTATTCTCTGTCCTTAGACGTTTTGGCAGATGTGGCAAGGGATCAGGCCCCGATCGCACTATGTCAGAAATAGTGCGTCAGCGTCTGAATCGTGAATTTTTTCCATGGCAACTGACGAAAACGCGGGAAATTTCAGAGTCAGACGTAGCAGCGCCTGGGGCAAGCAAATCGGCTGGGTTGCCACTGCCGCTGCAAGCCCTTGCATGAAGAACACAGACCCATGAATAATAGCGTGCCGTACTACACTCTATCATTGCAATTTGGCTCGTCACAGAGTGGTTTTGTAAAGTGCGTCAGGCCCCGAAGGCAAGAGCAAAAATGCAGTGTTCACCGGATTCAAACTTATCATAGTGCCACCAAGGCCAGGTCAGGAGTAGAGGTCAGACCTGATCAAGATGTTGGGTACAAGCTGTACATTGTGACAACTTACGAACACAGGGGCTGGAAGCATAATTTTCACATTTCGCAGCTGCATGTGTTTCAAAGAAACATACATAATTATACACTTCATTCAGAAGTTACTTACTCTGCTGACACAGGTCTCCATGGAAACCTTTCTGGCAGACGCAGGTACCGTCTTCAGCGCACTTCCCATGATTCAAGCAATGGCATACTGCAGTAGAGATTGGGTGCATTCACGTATTTCCCAAAACACACAGATCGGAACAGACCACCATACAATATAAGACCCTAAAGAAGTATAATGTATCTTTTATTGCACGTAAATAGCACAAAATAGGTTGAAGGTTTGAGTTTGCTCTACCGAAATAAGAGAGAAATATTTTCCTTGCAATGATGAGTATGATTCTAGAAATTGTAAACATACCCATGGGCCATACACTCGTTGACACGCGGCCTAAAATGACAGCAGCTTTCTTTTCCCCTTATAATTCAAGACTATTACAGCTGGTTTTTTTAGCCCTTACCTTCTATGCACTTAGGTCCATCTAGTCTGGGTTTACATTCACATTCTTTGTTCTTTTTCACCCAGGGATTCGTGCACACAACTGCATCGCATATCACAAACCGAGGGGAAAGAAAACAGGAGAGCAAATCAGCCAGACATAATAATGGACAGACAAAAAGACTGAGAGACAAATAGATGTTTTACTTAGTAGGCAGCCATTGTCCTATAAACAGTCAGAAGTCCAGTAGGGAGTGGAACTCATCATACCGTCATATTTGCACGACTTCGTTAAACGCGGGCGACTTTCTCTGTAGAAAGTCTACACATTTCCACAGTTCGACACATTTCCAGTGCGCAGTCTGAGTTTTCGTCAGTTGGGATCATGTGCCCACATCATCCATCAGTCATGGACTGGGTGTAGAATAGCTTGAACTGCGCACCAGCACTCAACGCAAGACAGAGCAGCTATAACGACAGTCGGAGTCTTGGAGTCTGCGTTTGAGCCGCTCACACGCGGAGCTGAAGCCAGTGGAAAGGACACCATCGCCAGCTAGTCGACATTCTGGCAGAACTTGACGTAGCGTGGAGGCCAGCCATCCCTTCGGTGCAAATACAAAGCTGCACGTATAGCACTGGTGTACAGCAACGGAGACGGTTTAAACTCATTGGTCTTTACTTCATTGGTTTGAGGAAAAGATGTAAATGGGAACAGTCTGGAGAAAACATTGACCATCACCACCAGGACTCGAGAAAGTGACCGCTTTGGTCTTTCCTTTTGCTTCAAGGAAATCTAAAGTCTGTAGTCTTGGCTGCTGCAATATTAGATTGCGTTTGGTTGGGCATTTCAAGAATTTAAATGACAACCATTCTGGAATGGGAATGGGTAAGAATAACCTGACCAAACAAACGCGCCAGAATCAACTAGGAATCACTTGACATAACAATTCCATAATGTCGTTGTGGAACGGCGGCTCTATTCACTTTTCCTTGGCAGAGTCAAGGTACTCCTGAGTGCATGATTTGAGGCACTTGAACCTGATGCTGCATGTATTCCTAGCAAGCACTTGAGCAAAATGGGGTTCTGCTTTCTTCACACATAGTTGAAACACAGACAAAGGCTGCATACTCAGGGTCACTCGACACAGCTCCGAAAAATCGCGGCGCAAAATAGCTTTTTGTCGGGGAATTTTCTGGAAACAATTGTTGATGTTAGGTCTTTATAAGGCACAGTAATGACGCAAAATTCAAGACTATGTCCAGAACATTGCATATGTGCCATTTTATCAATTGTCAAAATGGCCGCATATGCTCCTGTCAGAGCTCTAGAGACACTGTCCAAAGTGAATCGTGGCGAAGACCTAATGTTTTCATTACGACATAAGCCTGCCAAGGCAGTGGAATGCAAAATTCCATAGTACGTTTCCATGGTTACCATGGGCTATTTCCATGGAATTTCATAGTATACTTTCTGCGATCACGTCTAAAATCTGTGGACTCCTTCATTAGCCCCCATAGCAACAGTTTAGGGTCAGGTTTTAGGTCAGCGTCATAACAGAGACTGTGCAGCGTGTCTCTGTATGATGGTCCTACTGGTAGGTCCTACGGGTAGGACCGAGGTCTATGCAAGCTATCAATTAAGTTACACAAATGTTGGCTCAGCTTATCTTTTCAATTGTTTTATTAAACAATTATTCGTTGGTTTGTTGAAACGGAAACGGCTCACACAGTCACTGGATGCCACGTCAACATGGAGGTATGCTTTGGGAAGAGCTGTAAGCATTCATACTTACCCGACTGGCACTTGTTCCCGGTAAATTCTTTCGGGCAGATGCATTTACCCTTGTCGTCACAATGACCTTGATTCAAACAGTTGCATGCTGCATCAGCCATCGCATACGCACAAACAAGACGTGAGACAGAGGAAATGATGGTACGTTATAGGCTATTCATACTACGTTACAATACGCGTGACGTTTTGGAGCACGACGTACTGGCATACGTCGCTTTCATGCAGGTGCATTCACACAGGCACTCACACGCTGCTCATACAGCTGCGTGTTCAGCTTCTTTTGGACACAAACTGCTGGGAACGACAGAACAAAACTCGGTACAGGAGTCTGGATACGTTGTCTACGATTTCGTATCAGAGGTACGATTTTCCCGCCACGTTCCATGTTGTCATGGCTATCCGGACGAAAACGTCCCGTACGCCACGTTCTGGGCGTAGTGTGAATGGCCCATTAGGGGCCGGCCGTAAGTATCGATATTTACAACTCAAACCCACCCTATACCCCTCCTCTCAGAACGTGCATATACAGCACCCTGTCACGCGTGTGTCAATGCTCCTACTTCTCTGGACATGTTTCAATGTATCCCGTCCCAGCTCATAACAGAAATAATTTGTATTCAAAAGAATAAACCTTCATATCTACGAATGACCCCTTACTCAATGAGCAGTGGAAATAGTGAAATTTGACCACCCATAATGACCGAGCAGCTGACACAGAGAAAATGCAAGCAAGCGGTCACGAGTCACCTGGTCACCATGCATGCAGGGCAAGTGCATGCTACAGCTTTTACACCAAGGTTAAAATCAAAGGTTCAAAGGTGCAACTCGAGTGACAGGAACGCTGTCAACGGCGTAGCCTGCAGGCACGGCGACCAGGTAACTGTTGTACGCATGAGCACGTGACCGCTTACTCACCCTTGATGGATTGGGAATTTTTTTGGGATTGGGAATAGACACCCTTATCAAATAACGGTAACGCACCTTCATCACCCAAATAGCGCTGAAACTGCAGCGTAAAAACGTTATGGAGGCTGATTTATCGCTGTGACAAACGGTATGCTTTTTGGCCAAATGTTGCATAGTCTGTACCCATTTCACCTTGTATCGCGTGTATGATGACATAAATGGTTGTACCGCACGAAATAAAAGCTATTCTCGTGGCAACAGCATACTAAAAATAGCATGCATCTTGCTAAAGGTATTTTCCCCCTTGCGGTAATACCATTACAACATAACGTTTTTTGCTAAGGGCCTGGTCAGAAACGAAAAAAATCCTGTGATTATAATCCGAATCTCCATAGTAACTTGCCGCCAGAGCGGCAATACCATGCTTTTCTGCTCCATACAGGAGTTTGACTCTGATACGCCATTGACGCTGATATTCACTGATTTTTTCATCTCGATATCGAGGAGCTAATTTGGCCACGGACAACAACAAAACTCATATGCATGGTTGCAAGGTGTTGGCGATCCCCAAGGTGAAGGAATTTGACGTCGATTGCAATTCCAAATTCTGGACGCTTTTCTTTTTTCGTCAGGCAACCAGTCTGACCAGGCCCTACGGGTGTCTGTCTTATAAGGGCCGAACGCTGCACCGCAGCCTTTTCGGACCAAAACCAGTCTACTCAGCGCCCAAAAGACTACAACATATGGGCTAATTGCGGTCATCCGCGCTTTTAGAATCCCCATCTAGTAGGGCGCACTCACCCAGTTTTGTTGGAAGTGCGTGAATTCGATTGGGAATAAAGGAGGAAGGGAGCGTCTCAGCTTTCTCGGACAAAGACCATTCGACCCAGAGCGCCCCGAAGACTACAACTGGTGAAAAATTGATTCAGGATTCAGGGTATACTTCCCTTTAACCCTTTAAGAGCCACAGGAAAGTTTCAAAATTCTGCATTTTTTTAAAACGGTCATTACAGGGTGTGGGAGGGGGGGGGCTATTATTCCAGAGAAGACTTCTGATCATGTGAGCACAGTAGCATTGAAGTTGTGTGACTCTACTTTACTCTACCAGGTAGCTAAAAACCAACGCAGCCAAAGTTTTCATTTCAACAAGCCCAAAGCCTTTGGGAAATCCTTTTAAATAAAAAATTCAAATACATCTGGCAGATCTCTGCTGTTTTCCCGCTATCTTGTTAGTGTTCTTCACCTTCTCTAAAAAGAGTGTACTCAGATTATCAAACACGCGCACACTTGCACACACACACACATACACACACACACACACACACACACACACACACACACACACACACACACGAAGTTACCAGGAAACTATTTTAGATCGACTCGAACCCTCTTAAAAGCTGAGAACCGTTCACAATGCTTGTTTATCGTGATCAATTTGCTGAGAGAGGCGAGCTGAGGCTTTGTCATGTGTCACGGCTGAATGCCTGGCGCTGGCTTGACACACCCCGTCAAAGTGACGACGTACGTACCAGGAACGCTCGCTGTGCTTCCTCTTTACCTATGCCATCATGCATGTTAATTGAATTCTGGACGAACTAGTCACGTTCTTTGTGACCACACACCCGTGCACATACATACACACACACGCGCACGCACGTACGCACACACACACACACAAACACACACACACACACACACACACACTACTATGATACAGCTACCCTAAACGGGTCACGCCGCCCTCCACCCAAGCATGGGCACTATGAGGGGCAGTGGCAAATAAAGAGAATCAGCTAGCAGCAATGGCAAAACAGATGAAACAATGGAGTAGAACGGACAACTGCTGTACTGTAACAACAACCTGACAGTGACAACGACTGAAAATGAACAGGAAAGAAAAGAATACCGCAAAATTTTACGTTACAAAAAAACACTGCCCACGAAAGAATGCACCAAGCAAAAGGAGCGTTGGCATCCGAAATCCCACCAGGATTCCACTGACAGTTCTTCCACGCTGACGATGTTAGCGGCAGAGCAGTGCCTCACAAATGCCACAACGCTTGACCAGTGTGCACTTATGACGACGAAAGATTGAAGTTTCAATTCCCACCATAGGGCTTGAAAGTGCTACGTCACAGCATAGCAACAATTTCAAAAATTCAAAAACTGGATCCACTTGGATCCAGTTTTTGTATGGATCCAAGCACATTTCAAGCGGTTTTACTCACAGCAAAGGTGAAATTGACTGGGTTGGCTTATGGGGATGGGGTGACAATTGGTTGCAAAGAAAAAGTCATACCTGCGTAAGACATGCGTGGGTTGCTATGCACCCACACACAGAGGCAATAGCAAAGTCACACCTTAGTGGATCCAAAAAAGAAATCTGATGTCAACTTACAATGTTACTTCCAATGTAACCCCGCAGCGTAAGAAGAAAAAGCTCTTCTTGCAGCTAAAAAAGAGCGGGGGAAAAGCTGAGATGAAGAAGACATTGCCCTCTGAATCCTAAAAAGGTTTTTTTTTAACTTGCACTTTTTTCTGCTCAGCGTTTCATTTTGTGGCAATGTGTGATTTCTGCTGGATTCATCCCCAGACCTATTCAGTTTGCTGAGCCGTTTTTATTGCGCTGAATGGTTGTACTTGTATAGTGCTGAGAAGTTTTTATTAACAGTCTTTATTTTTCTGATTCGTTTTTATGACCAATCTGTGGTCACAAATCAATGGGGGTCTTTATTCAGTGGATAATTATAACTAAGAATAACTATTATTGTGTTGAAGAAGGGTTTCCTTGAAGGGTGGTGGCGTTCCTACGGATACGGAAGACTGGGCTTCCAGCCGCGTCTCGCGCGAACCGTGAATTTGTTTGCCACAACAATGCATGTTAAAAGCATGGCTACCTGCTAACTGTACACTTTCTTATGTAGTGCAAGTGCCTGATAGGGTATCCGTGCTACCCGGATAAAAATACCCGAACTCGTTGCCCGACCAAACCCCTACCTGTTGCAGCCCTGCTGAAAAGTCAGTCGTACACACCAGTCGTCCGTCTTATCATAGAACTGTCAGCAAAGACCAGCAGTGCTCATGGCTGTACGGCCAGCGCCCCATGGCCACTTAACTCTCAGCGGATTTCAACGTACAGTATAACCAAATTCAAAGTAATGTTAATCACTTTCCAACTGCATAACCCACAATCTCACCTTCTCATAAATGTATCTCTTTTTGGCGATGGGGCCATCGTGAGAATAAAGAATTCAAATTCAAACCAAAATAAACACACACACACCTTCCTTCTTCCTTCCTTCTTCTCCACTGCCATGACTGGCTAAGTGGCCCCATACGGGGCAGCTCTTGGATTAGCGCTGTCTCCGGGAAGCGGCACCAGGACCCGACGACCGACGTGACGGCGCATTCCCACGGGTTATAATTGCTATTGAACGCCGCGATGTACAACGATGCCGTGCGATATCCTGACGGCGGCGGAGGCTTGTCGACAGGCTCTTGACGGGCAAGTACAATACGATCCACCCCATCAAGGCACTGGGACTTCCACTCACGGCGATTACTTGCCACGTCGAGCCAGGAATTGGGCTCAATGCCAATTGCCGCCAGGTCGGTCCGCCAAATTTCCGTCAGTGTCGACAAGAGTCCTGACGTTCCACGTTCCCAGAGACAGAACAACCTTTCGAGCCGCTGGTGCACGCGAGTGAAAAGACTCTGGGCGAGGGTTTGCAAGACCTCTACACCCAGGCGAAAGAGGGTCAGCGCGAGTGGTCACATCCGAAGTGGCCATGTCGTCAACGCTGAATTTTCCTCCTCCGCGGCAGCAAGATGAAGACTGCCTTGTCTAACACCGCGTCACTAAGTGTTTTCTACTCACCAGGGCTGGCCCTGGCCCTGGCACACACACACACACACACACACACATACACACATGGAAACACACGCACGCACGCACGCACGCACGCACACACACACGGACACACACACACGGACACACATGCTACTGCTGGCTACTAACCGTGACAGTTGCGGATACGCCTGCGACACAAGGTTGTGCGAGCCGTGAATTGAAACCATCATTATAGCAGAAGCGAGTCAGTTCGAAATTCGATAAAGTAGCATCGGCATCTATGCAGTAGCCTACAGGGCGATACACCGATTCGGTGATGCTAGAAAGGGCCTGCGGGTCAAAAATGTACTGGACACCAGGGTTGGTTGGACCGCAAACCCTGAAAGGTTGTCCTGCTTGCGTGCTTGTAACGCTGTAACCAAAGAGCCCATTCCTCCGTAAAGCGAAAGGTCCTGTGTAGGAGGTTGAGGTTGTGACCCCAGGTGCTAAGACAGGCCACCAAGCGGACAGCTCCTGGTCCATGACAAGTTGCCTGCAATCGGTCGAACTATTAGAAGCGGTCAAGTCACTACATGTGTAAACCGCTCCAGGCTGCATATTCTCATATCCCATCTCCGTATTAACACCTCCAGGCGCAAGTGCTGTCCTATTTGCGTACGGCGCACCTATAACAAGATATGTTGTAGCCGTTGCAGGGTCGCTGGTGGTTGCATGGAAGGCCACCGATGTTCCAAATAGCTCCCCTGGGTTTCCTGGGTTTACCTTTGGAACGACCTGTCTCACCTCGATATTGAAACCGTGCACTAGACATACGCACACACACACACATACACACACATACACACATACACACATACACACACACACATACGAAATACACATACGAAATACAGCGCTGCTGACCCTGACTACCGCTACACTACTACGTTACACTTATCATGATCTCACTTACCGACACAGAGGATTTGGGCTCTGTCATTGCTTCTGGTGTGGTGAAACTCTTGATTGTTCTCGCTAAATGTTACGGTTCTGTAAAGGGAATCACCATCGACCCGGATTGCCTTGACGTGGTAAGCGGCTTGGTCACGTTCATGCTTCAGAGCCAACCTCTCGAGCCCGCGCTCTCTTAATACATCGCCATGTGCTCGCAGCCAGTCTTCGGTTACGAGCTGAAGTCCGTACTGTTGACATGCCTCCTCTGCGAATGGCTCAGTGACAATACGTCTGGATGCTGGGGTTGCTGCGGTATATGCTGAGTTGTTGTCGTGAAGCCACTTGGCTGCAAGACAAGGGCACATCCAGTGGTGGGTAGAAAATACATATACGCAATATGAATAAAGGGTGCACTGAAATCTATCTCAATGCAACCCGATAAGTCAGTGCAATTGTTTTTCTTTATTCCGAGCCAGGTTAAGGTATCGGTCAATATTTGCAGGCATGGGGCTGGGAAGACTTCATGGAGCAGCAACGTGCCGTAGTTGCAAATCACCCAGCGGCTATGCCAGGAGTACATAACCCCCCAGATTGTGCAACTGCCACATACCCTGCTGTCCCAACAGACTTTCAAGTTGCTCCTTGCACCAGTGATGTACAACATGTGTGCGGGTGTCAATGCATCACACCTTTTTCCTTGCAAAACAATTGTACAGGATCAGATAGGCTTTGGTTCATCGTCAACTTGAAACTCTTTGGGGATTGTGTACTCTTGGTTATACCAAAGGAGTGGAAAAATATTGGCAAGAGTACAAAGAAAAACAAGTGATGCGTTGACACTCGTACACATGTTGTTAATCACTGGTGCAAGAAGCATTGCATCATATTAATCATGTCACCTTGAAATTCTGTCGGGACAGCAGGGTATGAGGGAGTTGCACACTCTGCGGGTTATGTACTCTTGATGTCGGGTTATTACACAAGTGTGTTCACCTCATGACCTTGCTCGTTCCTCATTTCTTTGGTCAAATTGGGCTATGCGAAGGCTACCCAATTACGTTATGCGGAACCTCTCTAATAACAATACTCGAATATTCGAACATGATTCGTTCGGTTTGTCACATTCGAATATTCTCGAAGTCGCATTCAAGTACTTGTGGCGTCACTTCGAATGCAGTGCATGTACATACATGCACGCCAAACACAGCACAGTGCAGTGTGCACAGCCTGCCTGTGACTTTGTACTGCATGTTTGCACATGTATGTACATACTGGACTGCCAATGTTGCACATAAGATTTCGAAGTAGCCTTATGTGTCAGTGCATTTTTATGTGGCACTAACGTTTGTCATACCTAATAACAAGAGTACATAACCCCCAGAGTGTGCAACTCCCACATACCCTGCTGTCCCGACAGAATTTCAAATTGGCGTCAGTATTTATGACCCAAAGCTCCTTGCACCAGTGATTTACAACATGTGCACGGGTGTCAACACATCACACGTTTTTCTTTGCAATAATTTGTACAGGATCAGATCGGCGTGGGTCAACCATAGGTTCCGGATTCGTCTGATAATCCGTGTATAGTGTGCATTGCATCATCAAAATGACGTCAACTTGAAATTCTGTCTGGACAGCACCCATAGTTGAGTTGCACACTCTGGGGGGTTATGTACTCTTGCTAATAATAATCACATGAAATGTTTCTCCGCACATGTGGTCAGTTGGCTACTCATGTGCGGATCTGACCCTGGCTAGAACCGTAGGTTTCCCATTGACGTGAGAAACCTTGGTTGTAATCGCTCTTGCTCTCTGTTTCAGTCCTCTAATATTGTCAATGTCATTGTCTACTCTAACCACCCATTGCTGGCTACTCAGCACCTCTCTCACATGTTCTTTTTCTATCACAATGCAACAGCATACCTTCGCAGATGACATCATGATGGCCTGCTCCGGTTCTATCATGTACCTCTTCTCTTAAGCCGTTCTTGCCCTGCTTGTACAAGAGATGCTTCTTGGAACCATCCCTCAACTCTCTCAAGAAAGATGTCCATATTGTGATAGGGCTCTTGAAACTGCTCTCCATCATCTCGTTGAGCAATGCTTCCATGCAGTCGCGCACATTCAGAGCCCAGGAAATGAAGGCATGAAATTCGACCACGTCGTATCCTCTTCTCTTGCACATCTGGCGGGCATGCGTCAAGTTCGTTTTCTTCTGGCAGCTGTCACCGTCCAGTTCTGGATGACACGGCAAGCTGGCGAGAGCCATCCAGGTGTACGTTGCGTTATCTGTACCCAGGCACTTTGTCTTAAAAGCTGAACATAACACAGTACACATGCAAAGTACATTCTTGTACAGTAGAAGTAGTAGTAGTAGCAGAAGTAGTTGAAGTAGCAGTATTAGCAGTAGCAGCAGTAGTAGTAGCAGCAGCAGCAGCAGCAGCAGCAGCAGCAGCAGCAGCCGCGGCAGCAGCAGCAGCAGCAGCAGCCGCAGCAGCAGCAGCAGCAGCAGCAGCAGTAGTAGTAGAAATAGTAGTAGTAGTAGTTTTTATTATTTTACTTGGGTATACCCAACAGGCCTATGGCCTTCTTACAGGGTGCCTAAGGAGAAATTGTTAGCAGCTAGCGCGAAAGCAGGCAAAGTACGCTGGGATGGAATGATAGTGGGTAGTGCATGAAAGCGGTAAAAACTAAGAAAACTAATGGGAGACTGTAAAGGCCTGGCCGGGACATGAATGGGGGAAGAAATATACTACTGAATGTTTGGCCTCTGGTTTGGGAGGTAGTGTGGGTAGCATCATTTCGGGTCGTGAAGATTTGGGAGATGAGGGGACTGCCAAGGGACCTGATTCACCGAAAAGTAAAAGTGAAAAGCTTAAGAGTGAGGCGTAGGCTGAGTGGGTGGAGGTACAGTAGAGCATGACTGGAGTACACACTCTATTAAGACATATACTGCCCCCCCCCCCCCCCCTATTGATACCGTAGTCCATTTCAAGTATATCCGTGTTTATCTGAGTAAAATGCACATCCCCTGAGCATAATTTTCACATTTCGCAGCTGCATGTGTTTCAAAGAAACATGCATAATTATACACTTCATTCAGAAGTTACTTACTCTGCTGACACAGGTCTCCATGGAAACCTTTCTGGCAGACGCAGGTACCGTCTTCAGCGCACTTCCCATGATTCAAGCAATGGCATACTGCAGTAGAGATTGGGTGCATTCACGTATTTCCCAAAACAGAGATAGGAACAGACCACCATACAATATCAGACCCTAAAGAAGTTAGTATCACCAACTCAAACCCATAATAAATAATATGGTATCTATTATTGCACGTAAATAGCACAAAATAGGTTAGAGGTTTGAGTTTGCACCGCCGAGATAAGAGAGAAAATTTTTCCTTACAATGATGAGTATGATTCTAGAAATTGTAAATATACCCATGGGTCATACACTCGTTGACACGCGGCCTAAAATGACAGCAGCTTTCTTTTCCCCTTATAATTCAAGACTATTACAGCTGTTTTTTTAGCCCTTACCTTCTGTGCAATTAGGTCCATCTAGTCTGGGTTTACATTCACATTTTTTGTTCTTTCTCACCCAGGGATTCGTGCACACAACTGCATCGCATATCACACACCGAGGGGAAAGAAAACAGGAGAGCAAATCAGCCAGACACAAAAATGGACAGACAAAAAGACTGAGAGACAAATAGATGTTTTACTCAGTAGGCAGCCATTGTCCTATAAACAGTCAGAAGTCCAGTAGGGAGTGGAACTCATCATACCGTCATATTTGCACGACTTCGTTAAACGCGGGCGACTTTCTCTGTAGAAAGTCTACACATTTCCACAGTTCGACACATTTCCAGTGCGCAGTCTGAGTTTTCGTCAACTTGGATCATGTGCCCACTTCATCCATCAGCCATGGACTGGGTGCAGAATAGCCTGAACTTCGCACCAGCACTCAATGAAAGACAGAGCAGCTATAACGACAGTCGGAGTCTTGGAGTCTGCGTTTGAGCCGCTCACACGCGGAGCTGAAGCCAGTGGAAAGGACACCATCGCCAGCTAGTCGACATTCTGGCAGAACTTGACGTAGCGTGGAGGCCAGCCATCCCTTCGGTGCAAATACAAAGCTGCACGTATAGCACTGGTGTACAGCAATGGAGACGGTTTAAACTCATTGGTCTTTACTTCATTGGTTTGAGGGGAAGATGTAAATGGGAACAGTCTGGAGAAAACATTGACCATCACCACCAGGACTCGAGCCAGTGACCGCTTTGGTCTTTTCTTCTGCTTCAAGGCAATCTAAAGTCTGTAGTCTTGGCTGCTGCAATATTAGATTGCGTTTGGTTGGGCATTTCCAGAATGTAAATGACAACCATTCTGGAATGGGAATGGGTAAGAATCACCTGACTAAACAAACGCGCCAGAATCAACTAGGAATCACTTGACATAACAATTCCATAATGTCGTTGTGGAACGGCGGCTCTCTTCACTTTTCCTTGGCAGAGTCAAGGTACTCCCGAGTGCATGATTTGAGGCACTTGAACCTGATGCTGCATGTATTCCTAGCAAGAACTTGAGCAAAATGGGGTTCTGCTTTCTTCACACATAGTTGAAACACAGACAAAGGCTGCATACTCAGGGTCACTCGACACAGCTCCAAAAAATCGCGGCGCAAAATAGCTTTTTGTCGGGGAATTTTCTGGAAACAATTGTTGATGTTAGGTCTTTATAAGGCACAGTAATGGTGCAAAATTCAAGACTATGTCCAGAGCATTGCATATGTGCCATTTTATCAATTGTCAAAATGGCCACCTATGCTCCTGTTGGAGCTCTAGAGACACTGTCCAAAGTGAATCGTGGCGAAGACCTAATGTTTTCATTACGACATTAGCCTGCCAAGGCAGTGGAATGCAAAATTCCATAGTACGTTTCCATGGTTACCATGGGCTATTTCCATAGAATTTCATAGTATACCTTCTGCGATCACGTCTAAAATCTGTGGACTCCTTCATTAATCCCATAGCAACAGTTTAGGGTCAGGTTTTAGGTCAGCGTCATAACAGAGACTGTGCAGCATGTCTCTGTATGATGGTCCTACCGGTAGGTCCTACGGGTAGGACCGAGGTCTATGCAAGCTATCAATTATGTTACACAAATGTTGGCTCAGCTTATCTTTTCAATTGTTTTATTAAACAATTATTCGTTGGTTTTTGAAACGGAAACGGCTCACGCAGTCACTGGATGCCACGTCAACATGGAGGTATGCTTCGGAAAGAGCTGTAAGCATTCATACTTACCCAATTGGCACTTGTTCCCGGTAAATTCTTTCGGGCAGATGCATTTACCCTTGTCGTCACAATGACCTTGATTCAAACAGTTGCATGCTGCATCAGCCATCGCATACGCACAAACAAGACGTGAGACAGAGGAAATGATGGTATGTTATAGGCTACTCATACTACGTTACAATACGCGTGACGTTTTGGAGCACGACGTTCTGGCATACGTCGTTTTCATGCAGGTGCATTCAAACAGGCACTCACACGCTGCTCAAACAGCTGCGTGTTCAGCTTCTTTTGGACACAAACTGCTGGGAACGACAGAACAAAACTCGGTACAGGAGTCTGGATACGTCGTCTACGATTTCGTACCAGAGGTACGCTTTTCCCGCCACGTTCCATGTTGTCATGACTATCCGGACGAAAACGTCACGTACGCCACGTTCTGGGCGTAGTGTGAATGGCCCATTAGGGGCCGGCCGTAAGTATCGATATTTACAACTCAAACGACTTCGTTAAACGCGGGCGACTTTCTCTGTAGAAAGTCTACACATTTCCACAGTTCGACACATTTCCAGTGCGCAGTCTGAGTTTTCGTCAACTTGGATCATGTGCCCACTTCATCCATCAGCCATGGACTGGGTGCAGAATAGCCTGAACTTCGCACCAGCACTCAATGCAAGACAGAGCAGCTATAACGACAGTCGGAGTCTTGGAGTCTGCGTTTGAGCCGCTCACACGCGGAGCTGAAGCCAGTGGAAAGGACACCATCGCCAGCTAGTCGACATTCTGGCAGAACTTGACGTAGCGTGGAGGCCAGCCGTCCCTTCGGTGCAAATACAAAGCTGCACGTATAGCACTGGTGTACAGCAATGGAGACGGTTTAAACTCATTGGTCTTTACTTCATTGGTTTGAGGGAAAGATGTAAATGGGAACAGTCTGGAGAAAACATTGACCATCACCACCAGGACTCGAGCCAGTAACCGCTTTGGTCTTTTCTTCTGCTTCAAGGCAATCTAAAGTCTGTAGTCTTGGCTGCTGCAATATTAGATTGCGTTTGGTTGGGCATTTCCAGAATGTAAATGACAACCATTCTGGAATGGGAATGGGTAAGAATCACCTGACTAAACAAACGCGCCAGAATCAACTAGGAATCACTTGACATAACAATTCCATAATGTCGTTGTGGAACGGCGACTCTCTTCACTTTTCCTTGGCAGAGTCAAAGTACTCCCGAGTGCATGATTTGAGGCACTTGAACCTGATGCTGCATGTATTCCTAGCAAGAACTTGAGCAAAATGGGGTTCTGCTTTCTTCACACATAGTTGAAACACAGACAAAGGCTGCATACTCAGGGCCACTCGACACAGCTCCAAAAAATCGCGGCGCAAAATAGCTTTTTGTCGGGGAATTTTCTGGAAACAATTGTTGATGTTAGGTCTTTATAAGGCACAGTAATGGTGCAAAATTCAAGACTATGTCCAGAGCATTGCATATGTGCCATTTTATCAATTGTCAAAATGGCCACCTATGCTCCTGTTGGAGCTCTAGAGACACTGTCCAAAGTGAATCGTGGCGAAGACCTAATGTTTTCATTACGACATTAGCCTGCCAAGGCAGTGGAATGCAAAATTCCATAGTACGTTTCCATGGTTACCATGGGCTATTTCCATAGAATTTCATAGTATACCTTCTGCGATCACGTCTAAAATCTGTGGACTCCTTCATTAATCCCATAGCAACAGTTTAGGGTCAGGTTTTAGGTCAGCGTCATAACAGAGACTGTGCAGCATGTCTCTGTATGATGGTCCTACCGGTAGGTCCTACGGGTAGGACCGAGGTCTATGCAAGCTATCAATTATGTTACACAAATGTTGGCTCAGCTTATCTTTTCAATTGTTTTATTAAACAATTATTCGTTGGTTTTTGAAACGGAAACGGCTCACGCAGTCACTGGATGCCACGTCAACATGGAGGTATGCTTCGGGAAGAGCTGTAAGCATTCATACTTACCCAATTGGCACTTGTTCCCGGTAAATTCTTTCGGGCAGATGCATTTACCCTTGTCGTCACAATGACCTTGATTCAAACAGTTGCATGCTGCATCAGCCATCGCATACGCACAAACAAGACGTGAGACAGAGGAAATGATGGTATGTTATAGGCTACTCATACTACGTTACAATACGCGTGACGTTTTGGAGCACGACGTTCTGGCATACGTCGTTTTCATGCAGGTGCATTCACACAGGCACTCACACGCTGCTCAAACAGCTGCGTGTTCAGCTTCTTTTGGACACAAACTGCTGGGAACGACAGAACAAAACTCGGTACAGGAGTCTGGATACGTCGTCTACGATTTCGTACCAGAGGTACGCTTTTCCCGCCACGTTCCATGTTGTCATGACTATCCGGACGAAAACGTCACGTACGCCACGTTCTGGGCGTAGTGTGAATGGCCCATTAGGGGCCGGCCGTAAGTATCGATATTTACAACTCAAACGACTTCGTTAAACGCGGGCGACTTTCTCTGTAGAAAGTCTACACATTTCCGCAGTTCGACACATTTCCAGTGCGCAGTCTGAGTTTCCGTCAACTTGGATCATGTGCCCACTTCATCCATCAGCCATGGACTGGGTGCAGAATAGCCTGAACTTCGCACCAGCACTCAATGCAAGACAGAGCAGCTATAACGACAGTCGGAGTCTTGGAGTCTGCGTTTGAGCCGCTCACACGCGGAGCTGAAGCCAGTGGAAAGGACACCATCGCCAGCTAGTCGACATTCTGGCAGAACTTGACGTAGCGTGGAGGCCAGCCATCCCTTCGGTGCAAATACAAAGCTGCACGTATAGCACTGGTGTACAGCAATGGAGACGGTTTAAACTCATTGGTCTTTACTTCATTGGTTTGAGGGAAAGATGTAAATGGGAACAGTCTGGAGAAAACATTGACCATCACCACCAGGACTCGAGCCAGTGACCGCTTTGGTCTTTTCTTCTGCTTCAAGGCAATCTAAAGTCTGTAGTCTTGGCTGCTGCAATATTAGATTGCGTTTGGTTGGGCATTTCCAGAATGTAAATGACAACCATTCTGGAATGGGAATGGGTAAGAATCACCTGACTAAACAAACGCGCCAGAATCAACTAGGAATCACTTGACATAACAATTCCATAATGTCGTTGTGGAACGGCGGCTCTCTTCACTTTTCCTTGGCAGAGTCAAGGTACTCCCGAGTGCATGATTTGAGGCACTTGAACCTGATGCTGCATGTATTCCTAGCAAGAACTTGAGCAAAATGGGGTTCTGCTTTCTTCACACATAGTTGAAACACAGACAAAGGCTGCATACTCAGGGTCACTCGACACAGCTCCAAAAAATCGCGGCGCAAAATAGCTTTTTGTCGGGGAATTTTCTGGAAACAATTGTTGATGTTAGGTCTTTATAAGGCACAGTAATGGTGCAAAATTCAAGACTATGTCCAGAGCATTGCATATGTGCCATTTTATCAATTGTCAAAATGGCCACCTATGCTCCTGTTGGAGCTCTAGAGACACTGTCCAAAGTGAATCGTGGCGAAGACCTAATGTTTTCATTACGACATTAGCCTGCCAAGGCAGTGGAATGCAAAATTCCATAGTACGTTTCCATGGTTACCATGGGCTATTTCCATAGAATTTCATAGTATACCTTCTGCGATCACGTCTAAAATCTGTGGACTCCTTCATTAATCCCATAGCAACAGTTTAGGGTCAGGTTTTAGGTCAGCGTCATAACAGAGACTGTGCAGCATGTCTCTGTATGATGGTCCTACCGGTAGGTCCTACGGGTAGGACCGAGGTCTATGCAAGCTATCAATTATGTTACACAAATGTTGGCTCAGCTTATCTTTTCAATTGTTTTATTAAACAATTATTCGTTGGTTTTTGAAACGGAAACGGCTCACGCAGTCACTGGATGCCACGTCAACATGGAGGTATGCTTCGGGAAGAGCTGTAAGCATTCATACTTACCCAATTGGCACTTGTTCCCGGTAAATTCTTTCGGGCAGATGCATTTACCCTTGTCGTCACAATGACCTTGATTCAAACAGTTGCATGCTGCATCAGCCATCGCATACGCACAAACAAGACATGAGACAGAGGAAATGATGGTATGTTATAGGCTACTCATACTACGTTACAATACGCGTGACGTTTTGGAGCACGACGTTCTGGCATACGTCGTTTTCATGCAGGTGCATTCACACAGGCACTCACACGCTGCTCAAACAGCTGCGTGTTCAGCTTCTTTTGGACACAAACTGCTGGGAACGACAGAACAAAACTCGGTACAGGAGTCTGGATACGTCGTCTACGATTTCGTACCAGAGGTACGCTTTTCCCGCCACGTTCCATGTTGTCATGACTATCCGGACGAAAACGTCATGTACGCCACGTTCTGGGCGTAGTGTGAATGGCCCATTAGGGGCCGGCCGTAAGTATCGATATTTACAACTCAAACCCACCCTATACCCCTCCTCTCAGAATGTGCATTTTTTTTCGTCAGGCAACCAGTCTGACCAGGCCCTACGGGTATCTGTCTAATAAGGGCCGAACGCTGCACCGCAGCCTTTTCGGACCAAAACCAGTCTACTCAGCGCCCAAAAGACTACAACATATGGGCTAATTGCGGTCATCCGCGCTTTTAGAATCCCCATCTAGTAGGGCGCACTCACCCAGTTTTGTTGGAAGTGCGCGAATTCGATTGGGAATAAAGGAGGAAGGGAGCGTCTCAGCTTCCTCGGACCAAGACCATTCGACCCAGAGCACCCCGAAGACTACAACTGGTGAAAATGTGATTCAGGATGCAGCGTATACTTCCTTTTAAAACGGTCATTACAGGGTGGAGGGGGGGGGGGAGGCTATTATTCCAGAGAAGACTTCTGATCGTGTGAGCGTAGTAGCATTCAAGTTGTGAGAATTCTCAATGAAATACACGGAGTTGTATGTGAAACTGCAGGCTACACACACGTCAGGCATTACACACTCCATCTAGCTATAAATAGTGGTCACATTACACTGACGGTATCCCAACTCTTTAATTACCAGATTTTGTATGCTCCGATCTATTTCCTTAGCCTATCCTCGATTAACTGCTCCCTCTACATAAAGTTTCCATTTCATTCTTCTTGCAGGAGATCCCCTCGACAAGCCCAAAGCCTTTGGGAAATCCAAATATAATATTAATTCAAATACATCTGGCAGATCTCTGCTGTTTTCCCGCTATCTTGTTAGTGTTCTTCACCTTCTCTAAAATGGGTGTACTCAGATTATCAAACACGCGCACGCTTGCACACACACACACATACACACACACACGAATTTTAAGGCCTGCTGTCTTACCCTTTTCACATCGTTCGCCGTAGGATGTGGTGCGGTTACACACACAACTCAAGTTTGCTGCAATACCATTGTTCTCACAGAATTCTGTGCAGAAAAAGAATACGAGCAGCTCAATTGCGTTACTCTTCTGCAGTTTATGAAAGTAGAATGCCAATTATCTAAATGATTGCTTATCCAAAAAAGTGCTGTTCAAGACATTTGTGTTATGTTCCCTGACGGAAAAGCATTCTCTCTCGTTGAATCCTTATACATGCTCCCAAAAACGATCAGTCAAAGGAGGTTTCTTGGTTAGGTATTCCCACCAACAACAACAATCAAAATTTAAGCATGCACAATGCATGGTATGATATGGGGGGCAGGGGAGAGGGCAAGGACTTTTGCTACAAGGACATGTTTGAAAAGGACATGTTGAAGCAAGACACAGGGATAAGGGACAGGGAATGGCTATACTGCTTGCGCATAGCCAGTCATTTATTATCGCCTCACTTACTGACACAGAGGATCCGGGCTTGCTCATTGCTTGGGGCGTTGTGAATCGTATGACTTCCGCTGCTAAACGTTACGGTTCTGTAATGGTGTTCGCCATCCGCCGAGATTGGTTCGACGTGGAAGGGCTTGGTGCCGTGATGAGAGTTATGCTCTATAGGCAATCGTTGTAGCCAGCGCTCTCTGAATACATGGCCATGTGCTTGCAGCCAGTCCACGGTTATAAAGTTTAGTCCATACTGCTGACAAGCTTCACGCGCAAAAGGCTGGGTAACGGCACGTCTCGATGCCGGTGTTGCTGCGACGTATGCTGAGGAGAAAGCATGAATCCATTTAGCTGCAGGACAACAGACAGGTATAGAGGCATTTGGAGAAACATTAAAAAAGCACAGCAGGAAGCAAGCCTGAAGAATGGGCTTCCTGGAAATTGCTGGCACGTTCCATGAATTTCGACATAATGGATAGGTCAGGCCCCCGAAACAGTGCATACCGTATTAATTAGAAAAGCAATCCTGTCAGCTTTTCTATTATTGTGGTCACAATGCAAGACCAAACGGCACCGATATTTGACACGTTGTCTACGTAAGTTTTTAAGTAAGGTGCTCGGTACGTACCTGGACCAGGGAGCACTACTCCATGGCTTGTACCATCGCGTGGCCGGTGGCGTGCGTGTGCATGGCAGACATTTTTTTTGCAATCCGTTTTCTCAGTTGTACGCACTACGCCATTTCCCGCCTCAGATCTCCGCCGTGACAGACACCCATAGTAGAAAAGGCCCCAAGCTGCACACTCTGGGGGGTTATGTACTCTAGATATCATTCATACCCACCAAAAGATGTGTAACATTTTATTATTATGGTGTGCCTTGTTTATCTATCAGTACCTCCAACCATAGCCTTGCCCCTATATCCTCAGGAGCATCAGTGTAGTTCTTGGAATAAGGTGTTCGAATCAACAATTTAATCGTTTACATTTCTATAATACATATCTATTATTCCTCCTTTGTCTCAAAATAGACAGAAGCGGAAGGGTTAGCATTTGCTGCCTTGTACGCGAACTGTTCTATTATTATTATTATTATTATTATTATTATTACGAAGTAGTGGTTGCGACTTCGGCGATGATTTGTAAGAAATGGTTTGCTCCCCACACCGGAGCTCGCGCTATTCCGCCGACTTTACTTGACACTTGACTGACTCACGACTGCCATCAAGAGCACACGAGAAGTCCATCGAACCTTCGACTCGGCAAACCTGCAAGAAAGCACCACTCCCTGCTCAATACACAGTGTTTCGGGGAATTCACCCCTCATCAGTTGAGCTTGAGTAGGCTGAGGAAGATTGTCAAGTGTCAAGTAAAGTCGGCGGAATAGCGCGAGCTCCGGTGTGGGGAGCAAACCATTTCTTATTATTATTATTATTATTATTATTATTATTATTATTTGAACTGGTTTTGAGGGAAAGAGACATTTATTATTATTTGTATTATTATTGGCAGTAGCAGTTGGCAGTAGCGGCAAGGAATGTCAGGTCGGTTTCATTGTCACGTAATTCCAAAGTATGTACTGGTTCTAGTAGCGGTGTTAGGGTGTATGAATCTTCTGTTGCCAACCATCTTGTTCAGAATAGTGATTGTCGTTCTAGTTATGCTGATGAGTGCTTTTCTGTTTGGTCTCGTTCACGTAGTCAAAGGTATTTGCGTGTATTGGAGTCTATCTACATTTTTACCACTAAGCCGATTTTGTGTAGGCAGAAAAAGAATTTGTTTACGTTGAAATTGTTTGTGAATTTAGATCAGTAGTTCTCCTTTGTGGTTGCATGGTAACTTTCTAGTGGTGAATTTATCGCATCTGTTGTCACCTGATATCGTTGAATGGTGTAATGTTTCTTTCAGCTCTCATTTTATCGCGCTAGTTAGGGTCTAAATTATTACTTGCATTGTGCGTATATATATTGAGTTAAGAGCTATTGTTGATTTGCCAGTAATCCTCTGATGAGATGGCGACGAAAACGTTTAGGAACAAGCTTCTTTATTTACATGAAAACAAGTTTTGCTTATGGTGTTTATACTGAGTGCGCAGCTTACACTATTTATTGCGTTGATTACATTTTTATCTCCACGGAAGCTTTTTGATTATTATTATTATTTCTCCTTTATTCACTTCTTTCGAAGGCGATAAGCCAGACCCACCGGGAAATATTTCCATGGGTGGGACAGCAAAAAGAAAGTGAAAAAACAAAAACAAAAATAAATAAATAAATAAAACCTAAAAACCAAAGTTTTGAGGGAAAGAGACAAACGGGAAAAGTCTGAAGAAAAAATCGACTGTCACCACCAGGACTCGAACCAGGGACCCTCGCTTGTAGCCAGCGATGCTCTAACCACTGAGCTATGGTGTAGTCGTCATCCATTATTATTATTATTATTATTATTATTATTATTATTATTATTATTATTATTATTATTATTATTATTATTATTATTACGAAGTAGTGGTTGCGACTTCGGCGATGATTTGTAAGAAAGGGTTTGCTAGCGCGAGCTCCAGTGTGGGGAGCAAACCCTTTATTATTATTATTTTTATTATTTGGAAAGGATTGGGAGAACTTCACCCGACTGATACTTTGAACTTTTATTATTATTATTATTATTATTATTATTATTATGACGACTTTATTCACTCCCAAAGCAGAAAAAGAAAGCTTGAAAGGAGGCATGAAGCACAGCACCGGGATCCATATGACCCAAGGGTGAAGCACCAATCAATGAAGATAAAAGAAAATCCTGAACAAAATTTTGATAAACTTCATGAGAGAAAAATTCAACTATACCAACTTCGATACTCACATAAAATCACAGTCATGTATAACAGAACTACTCAAGTAGTAAACACCAAGCATGCTGCACATGGGACACTCCAAGCAAGACAAACTCAGACGAGATAAAACGGCATATGCAGAGAAAGACAATACATGACTGGGGGCATATGGCAGAAATTCACGCCTCTCGGCTCGTCACACAGCACATGATGCACCACAATCATAAAACACACAGACTGAGACACAACGAGACATTACGGGCAGGCTAACATAAGGTCAACCGACCGTTCCGACCATGCCACTCTCCCATCCATGACCAGTCACCGACCGCACAATTCTCAGGGTGCCCAGAATAGCACATTGCTGCAGCCGCTGGATCACGGACGCGTGGAGCCCAAGGCTTAAGATGTGGCTGCGACTCGTTCCTGACACACCACCCAGAGCACCAATGATAACTGGAACAATAGTTATCTTTTTGTTCCAGATCCTCCTCAGCTCTGCTGCCAAGGGCAGGTATTTGCTGATCTTCTCCTGCACCTTCTCATTGACCCTGTGGTCCAATGGGACACTGACGTCCAAGAGCAGTGCCCGATCATCCAGAACCAGCACCAGGTCTGGTCTGTTCGCTTTTATTACTCGATCTGTGGGAATGGAAATCTCCCACATCAGCTTGCAACTGGCAGAACTTGTGACCTGCACCAGCTGCTTACTGCTGGGTAACCCATGCTGCTTACACAGCGCACGATGCAGGGCCTGGACCACAAAGTTATGCCGGGCAATGTATGCAGTCCGTGCCAGGGCTGGACAGCAGGCGATGATGTGGTCCATATTTTCTCCGGGTGCACCACATACACGACAGAGGTCCACGACATCATGCCTCTTGTGGATATGGCGCATATTGTTTCTCGTGGCAATCACCTGATCCTGGCAAGCAATGAGAAAGCCTTCCGTTTCAGGACGCATTGTCTGGGATCTGAAACAGGAAAACGAGAGCTGCATGTCCAGGATACCATCAACACGCGCCCAATAGCGACCATGAAGAGGCATCGCTCGAAGTTCACGGCGGCGGTTGTCATTGAGGGCCTGTTTAACAGTCTCTTTGTTAGCGGTGTCCAGGGTCGTCAGGCGAAGGCGCTGCAGGACAGTATTTGCCAGCTTTGATATTGATTTTCTAGAGGGACGTGATCCATGGTGCTGGAGAACAGCGGCCAGGGCAGGGACATCTTCCCGATCCTTCAGGTACTGAGCGAGCCGGATGCAAGTACGGTCATGGAGATCTACGATGCATACTAGGCCACGACCTCCCTCACTCCGCGGTAGATATAGGCGTCCGATTGAGGCACGTGGGTGGTGGGCCCTGCTAGCAGTCAGAGCCTTCCTCACTGTCCTGTCCAGCGAGCGGAGCTCATCCGCGGTCCAAGGAACGACTGTGCCAAGGCCATAGGACACCACTGGCAGAACGTAGGTGTTGATTGCTCTGATGAGGTTTGGTGCACATAGTGAAGCATCCATGATCAAGCGAAGACGGCGACGGAACTCAGCGATGGCAGATTGTTTAACTTCACCAGCCTCGATTCCCAGGAATTCCCGCAGGCCAAGGTAGAGGTACGCCGCGCCATCTTGCAGAGGATGAATGATCGACTCTGTTAGCAAGGTTGACGAAGGCTCTGCATCCTGGGTTGGCTTAGCGGCCGGGCAGACAATCTTCGAGCACTTAGTGGGAGATAGTTGCATGCCAACCGCCCCACCAACGCACTCCACAATGTTGATCAAGGAGTCCAGTCCAGTACTGCTAGCGGCAAATAGCTTGACGTCATCCATGTACCATAGATGCGACAACAGGGAATCACGCGTGGGTCCACAACGATATCCTATGCCGCTTCTTGCTAATTCGTTTGAGATTGGGTTGAGACCGATGCAGAACAGCAGGGGAGACAGAGAATCACCCTGGAAGATACCCCGTCGGATGGATATTGGCTCGCTGACACCGCTGCTAAGGCACAGTTGTGTGCTCCATTGCTCCGACAGCGTTTGGAGTGTGCGGATGATCCTAGGATCGAACTTGTAGATGGTAGCAATTTCCCAGATCCACTCTTGGGAAAGGCTATCGAAGGCCTTTCGGAAGTCTAGCCATGCCATACTGAGGGAGCGCTGGTGGCATTTGGCATCTTCAATAATCCTGTTGTTGATCAACAACTGATCTGTGCATCCTCCTCGGCCACGTGCACATCCGACCTGTTCCGGGGCCAGCAGACTGTTAGCGGTGATGTGAGACCACATAAGCTCCGATACTACAGATGTGAAAAGTTTATACATAGAAGGCAGGCAGGTTATAGGTCTCCAGTTCTGGGGTTTCGACAGATCACCTTTCTTCGGTAGGAGTACGGTTGCACCAAGGGAGAACCAGGGCGGTGGCACGACTTCCGAATCCAACAGCTGCTGGAATATGCGAAGCAAGGCAGGATGCAGTGCACTAAACTTCTTCAACCAGAATGGTCTGATGTTGTCAGGCCCAGCAGCACGCCAGTGAGGCATCCTTCCAACTGCCAGTTGGAACAACTCCGGCGTTATGACTGCATCCTCTTGTGGCTGGACATCTTGATAGGCAAGAGCCTCCCGTTCAATCCATCCATGTCTGCTCACCGCAAATGGCGCGGACCAGATGCCTGACCAAAAATCATGCAACGCCCCCATACCAGGCCGAGTCTGGTCACTGCAGTCAGCCTCCTGTGTCCCCAGAGAGAGGTAGAACTGGCGCTCGTTCTCTCTGAATACCTGATTCTGTTGTTTTCTCTTGATGTTATCCTTATACCGTCTGATTCTGGCGGAAAGCGCCAGCAGCTCCATTTTCTTGCTTTCGAGTAGAGCCGCGGCCTCATCACTGCTCTTGACAGGATATCTGGTGAACAATCTTGGGTTTCCAGCTTGGATGAAACTTGTGAGGCGCGACACGTCTTTCCTCACATTCTCAATTTTGCGTTGTATCCGCAACAACCAGCCTGGCGCAGTCTCCCTCCCATGATCACCACCACTCAAACGGCAAGGTGCAACACCAGACACCACCAAGACCAGCACCGCCGCTGCATAGGTGAGCTGATTGGCGAATTCCAAAGACAGAGGCAGGGGTAAACCCAACAGGAACAGTCTCATGCCACCGTTGACCAAGGCAACATTGCTGGAAAGTGCACGGCTAGGGACCTTTCTGGGGACAGTGAGTCTTGGCCGACCTGTCAACTGCAAGCTCTGTACTCCAACTAAAACACCGCTCAGAGGTCTGGCAACGTCACCAGGTGTGGTTATTTTGCGATTGATGCAGAGGTGCCTGATTGACCACTCCAGATCCATACTCAAACCACCAGGGCCCAGAATACCAGATTCACTGAGATTGGTTAGAATGCCTCCAAGCTTATCAGGGTTGGAATTACTACAAGGCGAACAAGGCAAGGCCTTGTGCAGTGACTTTGCTCTGTTTCAGGCACTCCAACAGCCGGTCCATCCACAGTAGGCGTTGATCCACTGGGAGCAAAGTCGCCCTCCACAGGTGGCTGAGGTCCTGCCAGGCCATAAACAGCCTGTCTATTATTATTATTATTATTATTATTATTATTATTATTATTCCTCCTTTGCTGTGCTGCTTAAGGGTTGGTTCACATACGCAAAATCGGTGCCGCAAGAGATCGCAAGAAATCGGCGGTGAGCCAGCTCTCGATCCGTTGCGCATACGGTGCGAGTACCAAATCTACTACAAAGTAGTACAGAATGCGCCCAAATGCTACGACAGATTTGCCAATTGAAGCCTGAATTTTTTGTTTCTTCCGTAGTTGCCGTAGTTGCCGTAGTTGTCGTTCGGTGATGGCCACTCGGTGCTACCTTTTACCGGAGATCATGAAACTACTTCTACACGTTTTATTGCAGTCTAGTAAGCAGTGGTGTCGAAGTTATGCGTGCAAACGTTGATGAAGTCACATGAGCTTGTCTATGGATCCTTTGTATTTCTTTACTTCTTTCAATTGTATTTGTCTCGAAAGTTGCACAACAGTCATGTAGATCATCCGAGAAGGATGGGTTGATATGCTGAATTAATTCGCCACCTTGAAACGACTACAAGAATGGCGAATGGACCTCATCTTTAGCTTCAATTTAGGAAAATTTAGGATGAGTCTTGGTTTGAAATGTTGACAAAGTCTGGCTCCCGGCACCGGCGATCACCGGCGTGAATGGTTCACAGACCACTGTTGGCCAAATTTGTATGGGGCAGATCGCAAGAGCTGGGCAATGTCCAACTTTGCCGGCGGTCCCCCGGAATCTGAATTTTGCAGGTAAATTACTGATGAGAAAGCTGCAGAAAAGCTACTTTGGGATCTGTTTGAACACATTGCTCTTGCCAGTCAAGGCGAGTGAAGGTCTCTCCAAGATTCTTCACTCCTAATCAGTTGGTGGAAATAGGAAAGTAAAAAAAGCAAAGGATAGTGCAAAAAGTACTCCTTTCTGCATATTCTTTACAAGGAGGATGAAAAACATGCAGAAAATGCCGCAGATTTTTGATGTTACTGCAGAAAGTGCCGCAGAATTACCCTCTTTTCTCCGCGGATTTTATTTGCCGCGGAATTCAGAATTCTTGTCCGAGTTTTTCTAATGGGACAGGATAGTCCATGCGATGGCCTTTCACTCTGTACATAAAATGGAATGGGGATAGTTCCTTCACTGGTTACCCAGTTTATGTCGCCGGTACGACCTACAACAGTAAGTCGCCCATTAGAACGGGGAGCCCGGGTTGTGAGGCACACATGCTGTTGTTTATTTCTCTGCGGTCATGCCTCCTACCCTGTTAATGTCCCTACCCTGTGCTTTCACTGCTTGCCCTGCTGCCCTGAGCATTCCCCCATGTGGCTAAAAAGGCAACAGCCTACCTTCGCAAATGACGTCATTAAGGGTTGTTCCAGCCCGGTCAAATACCTCTTGCCTATGGTTGTTCTTGTCCTGCTTGTAAAGGACATGATCCCCTCTGAACACGTGCGACGTCCATACAGTGATAGTGCTGCCGTAAGTGCTCGCCATCATCTTTCGGAGCAATGCTTCCATGCAGCCGCGCACGCCCTTGGTCCTGTTGGTGAAGGCGTCAAAATCGATCACGTCGTATCCTCGACGCTGGCATAAACGGCGGGCTTGCCTCAGATTGGCCTTTTCCGTGAGGCTGGGCTCGTTAGCGTGCGGATGAACCGGCAAGCCAGCGAGAGCCATCCAGGAGTACATTGCCTTATCTGTGCCTGGGCAGATGGTCTTGAGAGCTGAACACAACACAGTGCATATTCAGAACACAATCAGGTACTGTGCAACTCACCAGGCACATGCTCCGATAAGACATACACTCGAGCTCAGATACAAAATTTGAGAGAACACTTTAAGGGGCCATCCGGCATTATCGATAATTTTCACGAAACGAAAAAGTATAATTATATGATAGAAAACTGCTATTCAAACTGACCACGATTACCCAACCATCAGTCTCCTGCAGTGTTTCAGGAAATGTTCCATAATATATGGACTATCCAAGGGCTGTACTTTTAAAAATAACTTTGCGTCACCAAAATGAAGAAAAGTGGACCCATTAGCCGATGTAGAATGGTTTTGCCAATATGGATGATCGCACAAACATGAAACTCGAATCGCAGCAAATGTAGGCCTTATTCCACCATTATTTGAAGCCAATAGGGAGGCATGTCCAGGGTACTAGTACTGGAATACTCCACGGCAAATACATAAATGCATACTCCAATGCAGTCCATTCATACACGATAGTCCCGCTGGAAAGTCAAATTTTAGGCCGGATTGAGACTATCCACAGTTTGAATCTGGGTCCGGGATCTGCTTCTCCATACATTTTGCCATGGCCTACCTGACGCAATTTTGAACACCTTGCCTCGATCCCTTATTCTCTGTCCTTAGACGTTTTGGCAGATGTGGCAAGGGATCAGGCCCCGATCGCACTATGTCAGAAATAGTGCGTCAGCGTCTGAATCGTGAATTTTTTCCATGGCAACTGACGAAAACGCGGGAAATTTCAGAGTCAGACGTAGCAGCGCCTGGGGCAAGCAAATCGGCTGGGTTGCCACTGCCGCTGCAAGCCCTTGCATGAAGAACACAGACCCATGAATAATAGCGTGCCGTACTACACTCTATCATTGCAATTTGGCTCGTCACAGAGTGGTTTTGTAAAGTGCGTCAGGCCCCGAAGGCAAGAGCAAAAATGCAGTGTTCACCGGATTCAAACTTATCATAGTGCCACCAAGGCCAGGTCAGGAGTAGAGGTCAGACCTGATCAAGATGTTGGGTACAAGCTGTACATTGTGACAACTTACGAACACAGGGGCTGGAAGCATAATTTTTACATTTCGCAGCTGCATGTGTTTCAAAGAAACATACATAATTATACACTTCATTCAGAAGTTACTTACTCTGCTGACACAGGTCTCCATGGAAACCTTTCTGGCAGACGCAGGTACCGTCTTCAGCGCACTTCCCATGATTCAAGCAATGGCATACTGCAGTAGAGATTGGGTGCATTCACGTATTTCCCAAAACACACAGATCGGAACAGACCACCATACAATATAAGACCCTAAAGAAGTATAATGTATCTTTTATTGCACGTAAATAGCACAAAATAGGTTGAAGGTTTGAGTTTGCTCTACCGAAATAAGAGAGAAATATTTTCCTTGCAATGATGAGTATGATTCTAGAAATTGTAAACATACCCATGGGCCATACACTCGTTGACACGCGGCCTAAAATGACAGCAGCTTTCTTTTCCCCTTATAATTCAAGACTATTACAGCTGGTTTTTTTAGCCCTTACCTTCTATGCACTTAGGTCCATCTAGTCTGGGTTTACATTCACATTCTTTGTTCTTTTTGACCCAGGGATTCGTGCACACAACTGCATCGCATATCACAAACCGAGGGGAAAGAAAACAGGAGAGCAAATCAGCCAGACATAATAATGGACAGACAAAAAGACTGAGAGACAAATAGATGTTTTACTTAGTGTTTTACTTAGTAGGCAGCCATTGTCCTATAAACAGTCAGAAGTCCAGTAGGGAGTGGAACTCATCATACCGTCATATTTGCACGACTTCGTTAAACGCGGGCGACTTTCTCTGTAGAAAGTCTACACATTTCCACAGTTCGACACATTTCCAGTGCGCAGTCTGAGTTTTCGTCAGTTGGGATCATGTGCCCACATCATCCATCAGTCATGGACTGGGTGTAGAATAGCTTGAACTGCGCACCAGCACTCAACGCAAGACAGAGCAGCTATAACGACAGTCGGAGTCTTGGAGTCTGCGTTTGAGCCACGTTCTGGGCGTAGTGTGAATGGCCCATTAGGGGCCGGCCGTAAGTATCGATATTTACAACTCAAACCCACCCTATACCCCTCCTCTCAGAACGTGCATTTTTTTTCGTCAGGCAACCAGTCTGACCAGGCCCTACGGGTATCTGTCTAATAAGGGCCGAGCGCTGCACCGCAGCCTTTTCGGACCAAAACCAGTCTACTCAGCGCCCAAAAGACTACAACATATGGGCTAATTGCGGTCATCCGCGCTTTTAGAATCCCCATCTAGTAGGGCGCACTCACCCAGTTTTGTTGGAAGTGCGCGAATTCGATTGGGAATAAAGGAGGAAGGGAGCGTCTCAGCTTTCTCGGACCAAGACCATTCGACCCAGAGCACCCCGAAGACTACAACTGGTGAAAAATCGATTCAGGATTCAGGGTATACTTCCCTTTAACCCTTTAAGAGCCACAGGAAAGTTTCAAAATTCTGCATTTTTTTTAAAACGGTCATTACAGGGTGTGGGAGGGGGGGGGGGGCTATTATTCCAGAGAAGACTTCTGATCATGTGAGCACAGTAGCATTGAAGTTGTGTGACTCTACTTTACTCTACCAGGTAGCTAAAAACCAACGCAGCCAAAGTTTTCATTTCAACAAGCCCAAAGCCTTTGGGAAATCCTTTTAAATAAAAAATTCAAATACATCTGGCAGATCTCTGCTGTTTTCTCGCTATCTTGTTAGTGTTCTTCACCTTCTCTAAAAAGAGTGTACTCAGATTATCAAACACGCGCACACTTGCACACACACACACATACACACACACACACACACACACACACACACACACACACACGAAGTTACCAGGAAACTATTTTAGATCGACTCGAACCCTCTTAAAAGCTGAGAACCGTTCACAATGCTTGTTTATCGTGATCAATTTGCTGAGAGAGGCGAGCTGAGGCTTTGTCATGTGTCACGGCTGAATGCCTGGCGCTGGCTTGACACACCCCGTCAAAGTGACGACGTACGTACCAGGAACGCTCGCTGTGCTTCCTCTTTACCTATGCCATCATGCATGTTAATTGAATTCTGGACGAACTAGTCACGTTCTTTGTGACCACACACCCGTGCACATACATACACACACACGCGCACGCACGCACGCACACACACACACACACACACACACACACACACACACACACACACACACACACACACTACTATGATACAGCTACCCTAAACGGGTCACGCCGCCCTCCACCCAAGCATGGGCACTATGAGGGGCAGTGGCAAATAAAGAGAATCAGCTAGCAGCAATGGCAAAACAGATGAAACAATGGAGTAGAACGGACAACTGCTGTACTGTAACAACAACCTGACAGTGACAACGACTGAAAATGAACAGGAAAGAAAAGAATACCGCAAAATTTTACGTTACAAAAAAACACTGCCCACGAAAGAATCCACCAAGCAAAAGGAGCGTTGGCATCCGAAATCCCACCAGGATTCCACTGGCAGTTCTTCCACGCTGACGATGTTAGCGGCAGAGCAGTGCCTCACAAATGCCACAACGCTTGACCAGTGTGCACTTATGACGACGAAAGATTGAAGTTTCAATTCCCACCATAGGGCTTGAAAGTGCTACGTCACAGCATAGCAACAATTTCAAAAATTCAAAAACTGGATCCACTTGGATCCAGTTTTTGTATGGATCCAGGCACATTTCAAGCGGTTTTACTCACAGCAAAGGTGAAATTGACTGGGTTGGCTAATGGGGATGGGGTGACAATTGGTTGCAAAGAAAAAGTCATACCTGCGTAAGACATGCGTGGGTTGCTATGCACCCACACACAGAGGCAATAGCAAAGTCACACCTTAGTGGATCCAAAAAAGAAATCTGATGTCAACTTACAATGTTACTTTCAATGTAACCCCGCAGCGTAGGAAGAAAAAGCTCTCCTTGCAGCTAAAAAAGAGCGGGGGAAAAGCTGAGATGAAGAAGACATTGCCCTCTGAATCCTAAAAAGGTTTTTTTTTAACTTGCACTTTTTTCTGCTCAGCGTTTCATTTTGTGGCAATGTGTGATTTCTGCTGGATTCATCCCCAGACCTATTCAGTTTGCTGAGCCGTTTTTATTGCGCTGAATGGTTGTACTTGTATAGTGCTGAGAAGTTTTTATTAACAGTCTTTATTTTTCTGATTCGTTTTTATGACCAATCTGTGGTCACAAATCAATGGGGATCTTTATTCAGTGGATAATTATAACTAAGAATAACTATTATTGTGTTGAAGAAGGGTTCCCTTGAAGGGTGGTGGCGTTCCAACGGATACGGAAAACTGGGCTTCCAGCCGCGTCTCGCGGGAACCGTGAATTTGTTTGCCACAACAATGCATGTTAAAAGCATGGCTACCTGCTAACTGTACACTTTCTTATGTAGTGCAAGTGCCTGATAGGGTATCCGTGCTACCCGGATAAAAATACCCGAACTCGTTGCCCAACCAACCCCCCCCCCCCCCTGCCCCCCCCCCTATTGATACCATAGTCCATTTCAAGTATATCCGTGAGTAAAATGCACATCCCCTGAGCATAATTTTCACATTTCGCAGCTGCATGTGTTTCAAAGAAACATACATAATTATACACTTCATTCAGAAGTTACTTACTTTGCTGACACAGGTCTCCATGGAAACCTTTCTGGCAGACGCAGGTACCGTCTTCAGCGCACTTCCCATGATTCAAGCAATGGCATACTGCAGTAGAGATTGGGTGCATTCACGTATTTCCCAAAACACACAGATAGGAACAGACCACCATACAATATCAGACCCTACAGAAGTTAGTATCACCAACTCATACCCATATAATCAATTATATGGTATCTATTATTGCACGTAAATAGCACAAAATAGGTTGGAGGTTTGAGTTTGCTCCACCGAGATAGGAGAGAAATATTTTCCTTACAATGATGAGTATGATTCTAGAAATTGTAAATATACACATGGGTCATACACTCGTTGACCCGCGGCCTAAAATGACAGCATCTTTCTTTTCCCCTTATATTATATTACAGCTGTTTTTTTAGCCCTTACCTTCTGTGCACTTAGGTCCATCTAGTCTGGGTTTACATTCACATTCTTTGTTCTTTTTCACCCAGGGATTCGTGCACACAACTGCATCGCATATCACACACCGAGGGGAAAGAAAACAGGAGAGCAAATCAGCCAGACATAATAATGCACAGACAAAAAGACTGAGAGACAAATAGATGTTTTACTTAGTAGGCAGCCATTGTCCTATAAACAGTCAGAAGTCCAGTAGGGAGTCGAACTCATCAGACCGTCATATTTGCACGACTTCGTTAAACGCGGGCGACTTTCTCTGTAGAAAGTCTACACATTTCCACAGTTCGACACATTTCCAGTGCGCAGTCTGAGTTTTCGTCAGTTTGGATCATGTGCCCACTTCATCATGTGCCCACTTCATCCAACAGCCATGGACTGGGTGCAGAATAGCCTGAACTTCGCACCAGCACTCAATGCAAGACAGAGCAGCTATAACGACAGTCGGAGTCTTGGAGTCTGCGTTTGAGCCGCTCACACGCGGAGCTGAAGCCAGTGGAAAGGACACCATCGCCAGCTAGTCGACATTCTGGCAGAACTTGACGTAGCGCGGAGGCCAGCCATCCCTTCGGTGCAAATACTGCACGTATAGCACTGGTGTACAGCAACGTAGACCGTTTAAACTCATTGGTCTTCCCTTCATAGGTTTGAGGGAAAGATGTAAATGGGAACAGTCTGGAGAAAACATTGACCATCACCACCTGGACTCGAGAAAGTGACCGCTTTGGTCTTTTCTTCTGCTTCAAGGCAATCTAAAGTCTGTAGTCTTGGCTGCTGCAATATTAGATTGCGTTTGGTTGGGCATTTCCAGAATGTAAATGACAACCATTTTGGAATGGGAATGGGTAAGAATAACCTGACCAAACAAACGCGCCGGAATCAATTAGGAATCACTTGACATAACAATTCCATAATGTCGTTGTGGAACGGCGGCTCTCTTCACTTTTCCTTGGCAGAGTCACGGTACTCCTGAGTGCATGATTTGAGGCACTTGAACCTGATGCTGCATGTATACCTAGCACTTGAGCAAAATGGGGTTCTGCTTTCTTCACACATAGTTGAAACACAGGCTGCATACTCAGGGTCAGTCGACACAGCTCCGAAAAATCGCGGCGCAAAAGTGCTTTTTGTCGGGGAATTTTCTGGATACAATTGTTGATGTTGGGTCTTTATAAGGCACATTAATGGCGCAAAATTCAAGACTTTGTCCAGAGCATTGCATATGTGCCATTTTATGAATTGTCAAAATGGCCGCCTATGCTCCTGTCGAAGCTCTAGAGACACTGTCCAAAGTGAATCGTGGCGAAGACCTAATGTTTTCATTACGACATTAGCCTGCCAAGGCAGTGGAATGAAAAATTCCATAGTACGTTTCCATGGTTTCCATCGGGTATTTCCATGGAATTTCATAGTATACCTTCTGCGATCACGTCTAAAATCTGTGGACTCATTCATTAGCCCCATAGCAAAAGTTAAGGGTCAGGTTTTAGGTCAGTGTCATAACAAAGACTGTGCAGCATGCCTCTGTATGATGGTCCTACCGGTAGGTCCTACGGGTAGGACCGAGGTCTATGCAAGCTATCAATTAAATTACACAAATGGTGGCTCAGCTTGTCTTTTCAATTGTTTTATTGTTTTATTAAACAATTTCGTTGGTTTGTTGAAACGGAAACGGCCCACACAGTCACTGGATGCCACGTCAACATGGAGGTATGCTTTGGGAATCCCATAAGAGCTGTAAAAAATATTCATTCATACTTACCCGATTGGCACTTGTTACCGGTAAATTCTTTCGGGCAGATGCATTTACCCTTGTCGTCACAATGACCTTGATTCAAACAGTTGCATGCTGCATCAGCCATCGCATGCGCACAAACAAGACGTGAGACAGAGGAAATGATGGTATGTTATAGGCTATTCATACTACGTTACAATACGCGTGACGTTTTGGAGCATGACGTACTGGCATACGTCGTTTTCATGCAGGTGCATTCACACAGGCACTCACACGCTGCGTGTTCAGCTTCTTTTGGACACAAACTGCTGGGAACGACAGAACAAAACTCGGTACAGGAGTCTGGATACGTCGTCTACGATTTCGTACCAGAGGTACGATTTTCCCGCCACGTTCCATGTTGTCATGGCTATCCGGACGAAAACGTCACGTACGCCATGTTCTGGGCGTAGTGTGAATGGCCCATTAGGGGCCGGCCGTAAGTATCGATATTTACAACTCAAACCCACCCTATACCCCTCCTCTCAGAACGTGCATATACAGCACCCTGTCACGCGTGTGTCAATGCTCCTACTTCTCTGGAAATGTTTCAATGTATCCTGAAAGGAAATTGGTCAACCCGTCCCAGCTCATAACAGAAATAATTTGTAATCAAAAGAATAACCCTTGATATCTACGAATGACCCCTTACTCAATGAGCAGTGGAAATAGTGAAATTTTACCACACAAAATGACCGAGCAGCTGACACAGAGAAAAAGCAAGCAAGCGGTCACGTGTTCATGCGTACTCGTACACGAGTCACCTGGTCACCATGCATGCAGGGCCAGTGCATGCTACAGCTTTCACACCAAGGTTCAAAGGTGCAACTCGAGTGACAGGAATGCTGTCAATTTTTTTTGGGATTGGGAATAGACACCCTTATCAAATAACGGTAACGCTATTTCACGGTACTCACACCTTCATCACCCAAATAGCGCTGAAGCTGCAACGTTATGGAGCCACAGGAAAGTTTCAAAATTCTGAATTTAAAAAAAAAACGGTCATTACAGGGTGTGGGAGGGGGGGGGGGGCTATTATTCCAGAGAATACTTCTGATCATGTGAGCATAGTAGCATTCAAGTTGTGAGAATTCTCAATGAAATACACGGAGTTGTATGTGAAACTGCAGGCTACACACACGTCAGGCATAACACACTCCATCTAGCTATAAATAGTGGTCACATTACACTGACGGTATCCCAACTCTTTAATTACCAGATTTTGTATGCTCCGATCTATTTCCTTAGCCTATCCTCGATTAACTGCTCCCTCTACATAAAGGGGGCTTTCGTTTTTGATCTACGTTTGGTTAGAAACTACTTCTTACAGTAGAGGTGTTCGTTTTTTGAAAAAGAATTCTACTCAAAAGGGTAGATTCTACTTTCCTCTACCGGCTCTACCGGGAAAAAGTTGGTAGAATCCGGTAGAAGTTGGTAGAGCTACAGGATTTCCAGCAAGATCAAGGATTTGTACACAACTCCATACAAAAAGAAACATTTCACGTACACATTGTGTAAACTACTAGATCTGGTAGAACAGCGTTCGTACACTTGCCTCCACCATCTACCTCTATCGGTAGTGTGACTCTACTCTACTCTACCAGGTAGCTAAAAACGAACGCAGCCAAAGTTTTCATTTCATTCTTCTTGCAGGAGATCCCCTCAACAAGCCCAAAGCCTTTGGGAAATCCTTAAATATAATAAAATTCAAATACATCTAACAGATCTCTGCTGTTTTCCCGCTATCTTGTTAGTGTTCTTCACCTTCTCTACTCAGATTATCAAACACGCGCACGCTTGCACACACACACACACACACACACACACACACACGAAGTTACCAGGAAACTATTTTAGATCAACTCGAACCCTCTTAAAAGCTGAGAACCGTTCACAATGCTTGTTTATCGTGATCATTTTGCTGAGAGAGGCGAGCTGAGGCTTTGTCATGTGTTACGGCTGAATGCCTGGCGCTGGCTTGACACACCCCGTCAAAGTGACGACGTACGTACCAGGAACGCTCGCTGTGCTTCCTCTTTACCTACGTCATCATGCATGTTAATTGAATTCTGGACGAACTAGTCACGTTCTTTGTGACCACACACCCGTGCACATACATACACACACACGCGCACGCACGCACGCGCACACACACACACACACACACACACACACACACACACACTACTACTACTACTACTATGATACAGCTACCCTAAATGGGTCACGCCGCCCTCCACCCAAGCATGGGCACTATGAGGGGCAGTGGCAAATAAAGAGAATCAGCTAGCAGCAATGGCAAAACAGATGAAACAATGGAGTAGAACGGACAACTGCTGTACTGTTACAACAACCTGACAGTGACAACGACTGAAAATGAACAGGAAAGAAAAGAATACTGCAAAATTTTACGTTACAAAAAAACACTGCCCACGAAAGAATCCACCAAGCAAAAGGAGTGTTGGCTTCCAAAATCCCACCAGGATTCCACTGCGTAAGACATGCGTGGGTTGCTATGAACCCACACACAGAGGCAATAGCAAAGTCACACCTTAGTGGATCCAAAAAAGAAATCTGATGTCAACTTACAACTTGTATAGTGCTGAGAAGTTTTTATTAACAGTTTTTATTTTTCTGATTCGTTTTTATGACCAATCTGTGGTCACAAATCAATGGGGGTCTTTATTCAGTGGATAATTATAACTAAGAATAACTATTATTGTATTGTAGAAGGGTTTCCTTGAAGGGTGGTGGCGTTCCTACGGATACGGAAAACTCGGCTTCCAGCGCGAACCGTGAATTTGTTTGCCACAACAATGCATGTAAAAAGCATGGCCATCTGCTTACTGTACACTTTCTTATGTAGTGCAAGTGCCTGATAGGGTATCCGTGCTACCCGGATAAACATACCCGAACTCGTTGCCCAACCAAACCCCTACCTGTTGCAGCCCTGCTGAAAAGTCAGTCGTACACACCAGTCGTCTGTCTTATCAGAGAACTGTCAGCAAAGACCAGCAGTGCTCATGGCTGTACGGCCCAGTTTACTCGATGGAGACGTCTGGTGGTTTTTACTGACGATGACACGTGGTGGTGTGTGTGAATGCTCAACCGGGCCAGCACAGCAAAGTGATCACTTATATCTAAGTGTATTGCTTCACAGGTACCATCCAATGGGGAGGATGAGAGGAACAAATCAAGCACCGTGGATGATGTTGCCATGACTCGAGTTGGAGATGTAACATAATTGCGGAGATTGTAGTGGGAAAGTATGTTGTACAAAGGGGATGCAGATGGAGAAGTTGGATTGCTAAAATCAACATTGAAGTCGCCAAGTACCACAGTGGACTGCTGACATCCCTGAACAGCTTGCTCAACGTTCTGATCCAGTGTGGTCCAGTAGGCAGCAGAACTATTTGGCGGCCGATAACAGCAGCCGAGGAGCGTTCCATGTCGACCAGGGGCTAGAATCTCCAGCCACAGCATCTTTAGCTCGCACTGTAAATCGGCCCGTTGTCGAAAAGCAAGTGACTCATGACAATACACAGCAACTCCGCCACCTCGCTGATCAGGTCTTTCTCTTCTGTATAGCTCGAAGTGCGGGATGGACAACTCCTGATCGGACACATCCGGGGTCAACCATGTCTCGGCTATCACGAAAACGTGAATGCCTCGTGTTGAGATGAACGTTTGAACTTCTGCTACCTTCCGCCGAACACTACACACATTCAGAAATCCCACACTGAGTGACTGGGTCGAGGAGGTAGGTGGTGCTGTGAGTGCTACATTATAGTTATATTTCGGCACAGCAGACATTGGCATAGCAGATGTTGGCATATGATATACTGGCACAAGTACTGTTGTCCCAATCTGCATTGCCACAATGCATGTTGGTATAAGTCATGATGGCACAGATATGTTTGGACGAAACCTGTTCACACTCAAGGCATTTTCATAACGACAGATTGCATGCCTTCTCACCGGCCGGTAGTACCCAAGAAATTGCTCTGCAAAAGTGATTTTGGTTGGGAATCTTCTTGAAACATTTGTTGGGATGAGGTCTTTCATTTATAAGGCAAATTAAAGGCGCACATGAAGCAATGTTTTATTCCTCTGTGTCCGCAACCAACATGATATGCTATTTCGTTATGTTGGTTGCAGACACAGATAAACGAGAGAGCTTGGAAGCTCAGGGCCCTGCGCTATGCTTTGTTGCCTAGCTCATCGTGCATGTTGGTAGAACTGATGGAAATGCTTTTTCCTTTGATTAGCTTCATCAGTGTATTGCAAAAACGTTTCGATGAGATACTGAAGTATTCCCCTCTTTGCACCAGTTGACCACAACTCCCTCCTCCATCACGCAAAGCTCCCCACCCTTAGCTCACGACTCCTTGTTAAACAAGCCCTACTAGCATGGGACATCCACCACCAAACCTCCCCACCACACCTGCAACAACCACATCTCGCACCACAACGTCAACACCAACCATACACCCTTCGACAGACAAGGACCTACTCCATCGGACACGCACACACGAACAGGCACCGAGATTCCCCCGTCAACAGTGCCCTCACCCTCTACAACTCACTCCCTATCAACATCACAACCCAACCTCGTAGAAATTCTTTCCGAAACAATACATCCAGTCTTCTTTTGAGCAGTACCTGCTCCTGCTCCGCGCATCCCCCTGGTTTCTGATATCCCGAACGCGTACTTAACTATCTCGATCACCCCTGCTAACGTTATTGCCCCCGCTTGTTTTTCAAGATCCATTGCTTCTTGCCTCCCGGTTAATTTCCATATAGCTGTTTCTGGCTAGTACCAGTTCTATCGCACTTATTAATCATCCTTATTGGCGTCACGCCATCGTGGAATAAAAGAATAATAAGTAACGTCTTCTGCATAGCTATGGAACCGGCGCTGACTCTGCCGATCACGGGCGTTCTGGAGTCGACGGGATGTGTGTCCGGACGTTTCCTGGGACCGGCGCTGACTCTGCCGATCACGGGCGTTCTTCTTCTTATCATTATTATACTGACGTTAACTAACATCCATTCTGATTGCATTTACTCGTCTCCCTACTTCGTATTTCTTTCCAGAAAATCTCTCCGTACAGCAGGGAGTCGTTCACATAATAGGACTCCCTGCTATACATCTACATGACAGTATAAACGTTATAATTATGATGCTATCGGCCTACATGCGATTCCCGGGCTGGTCGACAAACGGCCCAGCCAGCCTGTTAGTGGGATCTCGGCCTCGCACACAAATCCAGACAAAATGTTACTGCACTGAATGCATTCCCCCATACACTTCGCATATATATATACTCATTCTCTTGATGGTACCGTACTCTTGATGGTACGGGACAGGTACGGGATAGCGCCAGGCATGTCAATGGCACAAACAAACAAAAATATTGTGACCAGCTGTCTTTGCTGGTACGGTACAGTACGGGACAGATACGGGATAGCGCCAGGCGTGACACAAACAAACAAACAAACAAACACCAAATTAAAGCTGTGTGGACCCTGGCTAGCGCCAGACGTTACTGAAGTAACGTCTTCTGCATAGCTACGGGAATAAAATATTGCTTCCACAGGGGCAGCCATTGATAAAACCACTCTAAAAATATAATTATCACTTACTGACACAGAGGATTTTGGCGTGGCGATTGATTGTGGAATTTTGAAATGGATTACTGCGATTTCTAAACGTTACAGTTATGTAATGGGAGTTGCCATTCACTCGGATTGGTTTGACGTGGTAAGGTGCGTGCCGAAGAGCCAATCTATCTAGCCAGCGCTCTCTTAATACATGGCCATGTGCTTGCAGCCAGTCATAGGTTATGAGGTGAAGTCCGTACTCCTGACATGCCTCCTCTGCAAACTGCTCAGTCACGTTGGGTTTCAGTGATGGCGTGGCTGCGGCATATACCGAGTCGTTGTAATGGAGCCACTTGGCTGCAGGACAAGGGTACATACAGTAGTGGGCAGATAATAGGTACATTAGTAATGAAATATACTCGAATAACGGGTGCCCTGGACTCTATAGTCGTACTCAATGAAACCTTGTCTGATAGCAGTGTCAGAGCAATGAACTAAAAAAAGAAGGTAATTGATAACCGCTTTGCAGTGATCGTTTCAGCCCTACCCTGAGTATTTGCCGGGCACACACACACACACACACACACACACACACACACACACACACACACACACACACACACACACACACACACACACACACACACACACACACACACACACACACACAAGGAGAACGATGTCGAAAACCGGGGCGAGAGGTTAAAGTGAAAAAAAATGTTCTATGCATACGAATAATAAGGTTGCCGCTACTCAAACATCTCGATGAGCAGCATGCTGGCTATACCTAAAGCTGCATGTGGCTGGGCAGACCCCAGTGACCAGCAGTACGCCACTGTTGCAAATCACTCAGTGGTTCTACCCAGTACAGTTGCTCTCGGTGAGACCCGGCCCAGCGTGCAGATTTCGTGCCTTCAACTTGCGCGGCCATTGACGCCGTGGAAGTGGGACAAATGCGGCCGCGTACGCATGTACAATACAATGATGTAATCGGAACTGATCCAGGGCAGCCAGCTTTGCACTGTGGGTCTATTTTCACCGAGCGCAACTGCACTTAAAGCAGTCCCGGAGAAAGAAGTTTTAACCAAGCTATGAATAAAACGTACGATGCCGACATAATAATGTGATGAACAAATTAACTTTGTGTCTTTATAGTTGTAGTCTCTTGGGGCGCGTTTGATTGGTCGGATCCAGAACAGGGGCGTTTTGAACAGGGGCGTTTTGAACAGGGGCGTTTGATTGGTCTGCACTGGTCTGCTCTAGGTTTGGAGTGTTCAGAACATGTTCTGACCACTCCGACCCCAGAGGCTGGAGCAGCCAGAGCTTGTTGCAAAGCCCAATGAGAGCCTGACAGGACTACGCAATGAGTTTCGTTTTTTGTTTTCATTTGAATAGATTTTGGCATGTCAGTGATTACGAAAGGGCGTGGTGATGTACATGGAGGTCTAAGTGTGATCTTGCACATTACACGGCGGTCCCCACGTCCATGATTGATTTTTTGGCTGTCTTCGAAGCTTCTTCTCCGGTTGTAGTTGCCTTTCAAGTTTTTTTGCCTTCGCATGTTGAGCAATGTAAACATCTTTGAACTCTGTGGAAATTTTGAAGTTCGCGGCATGGTGAGCTATCATGAGTTCTACAATATTTCAGGTAAAAATATTCGTTGTTCTGTTTGATTGGTAACTGGTGTTCTGACTGCTCCAGTGGCTCTAATCTGAATCCGGATTCACCAATCAAACATGCCCTTAGTTTATTCCCTTCTTATCCTGTAGTGTTTTGAGAAGAAGGGAACGAAAACTTTCAATACATAGTTTACATGTCCGGACTGGCTGATGGTATGTTCCGGCGTAGATGCATACGACGACATGTTATTTTTCTAACGAACAAATGGAATAAAATATGCAAAGAATAATTCATGAACGTCCCAGTTGTCACCGTTATGCCGGGTTATGACACAAGCATAGACATGAACTGTTTCTTAGCAGATGGGGTGAATTGGTAACTCGCGTCTGGGTCCGACTCCAGCTAGATGGGTAGGTTTTCCCATTGGAGTGGGAAACCTAAATGAAGGTTGTAATCACTCTTGGCATCGCCTCTCTGTGTCAGTCCTCTAGCCCTGTCAATAGACATGGTTAGCATTTTACCGTTCACATTCACTTCGACCGTACGTCGGCCTGTACCATTTTGTGTGTGATTTCAAGACACTGGTTAGCATTTCGGTTTCTGACACAACGATCGACTTGTGACGTACCCTAGTTGGAATCCTACCGTTTCGTTCTTCCGCTAAACAGAGCTTTCTATCGCCGAAACGGTACCAAACCAATGGTATTTTGGGTGTTGGGTACGAGTACGGTTGGATTTAGAGTGAACGGTTAAATGCTAACCATGTCTACACACACAACAAACGGGTACAGGCCGACCGTCGCAAATCGCGTGAATGGTAAAATGCTAACCATGCATAGTATTACTTTCTACCCTATGGTTGCTGGCTACTGAGCATCTCTCTCACGGGTTCATTTGATCACAATCCAACAGCCTACCTTCGCAGATGACATCATGATGGCTTGTTCCATCACTATCATACAATTCTTTAGTCGAACTGTTCTTGCCCTGCTGGTATATGAGATGTTCGTCATCCTTCATGAATGATGTCCATATTGAAGTAGGGTTGCTGTAACCGCTTGTCACCATCTTGTTGAGCAATGCTCCCATGCAGTCGCGCACGCCAAGCGTCTGATTGGTGAAGGAATCATGGTCTACCACGTTGTATCCTCTTCTTGTGCACATCTGGCGGGCATGCGTCAAGTTCGTTTTCTTCTGGCAGCTGTCACCGTCGAGGTGTGGATAGCACGGCAAGCCGGCAAGAGCCATCCAGGTGTACATTGCCTTATCTGTACCCAGGCACTTTGTCTTGAAAGCTGAACATAACACAGTACACATGCAAGGCACAGTCAGGTGAAGTAGAAAGCACACATAAACAAAATGTACACTTCCTAAGCAGCGGTACCATAGTTCAATTGAAAATTATATACCTATGCAAATACCACTCGCCCATTTAGCTCCATTTCCTCCAGCAAACTGACTTTCCAGTGCACTTTCTCTCCGGGTATCGTTTGACCCACAGTTCAGGACGAAACATTACATTTTGTCCTGTCATTTCACCTTGATAGACTTTCATCATCTTGGCCTTGTTGGAAGGATCAGACCCTAGCATATCCATTCTAATAGCTCTCAGCTAAAAACTGCGTTAGATTTTAGCTACCTGGTAAAGTAGAGTCACTCTACCGATAGAGGAAGAAGGTAGAGGTAAGTGGACGAACGCTATTCTACCGGATTTATTAGTTTACACGATATGTACGTGAAATGTTTCTATTCTGTATGGAGTTGTGTACAAATCCTTGATCTTGCCGGAAATCCCGTAGCTCTACCAACTTCTACCGGTTTCCACCAACCTTTTCCTGGTAGAGCCGGTAGAGGAAAGTAGAATCCACACTTTTGACTTGAAGTTTTGAGTAGAAGAAACGAACGCCTCTACCGAAAGAAATAGTTTCTACCCAAACTTGTAGATCAAGAAAAGAACGCCCCGTTTAATATGTGTACAGGTATTCCCACATTTCACAGAAATATGCACAGCAAACGTAGCTCTACCAACTTCTACCGGCTTCAACCAACTTTTTCCTTGTAGAGCCGGCAGAGGAAAGTAGAACCAACCCTTTTGAGTAGAAGAAACGAACGCCTCTACCGAAAGAAATAGTTTCTACCCAAACCTGTAGATAAAAAAACAACGTCTCTTTAATGTGTACAGGTATTCCCACATTTCACAGAAATATGCCAGCAAACTGGAATTCACTTCATACAGCATAATACTCACTATGCTGACACTTGTCTCCATGGAAACCGTTCCGGCAATTGCAACTGCCGTCGTCAGTGCACTGACCGTCATTCAAGCAATTACATGCTGCAGCAGTGATTGGGAATATTCACGCATTTTCCAAAAAAGCAGAAAGAGAGGAACAGAAAAGCGGGTTCTTGACATGTCCTTGAACATGATAACATGGAGACGTTAAATGAACTCTTGACAACAAAATAGCTCAACTCATGAGAGTGACCAACTCCCCATAAATATGCATTATTTATTCCACATGAATAGAATAAAGAGGTAGAATTGGTTGGAGGAACTGGCATGAGCACACGGAAGTTTTTTTCTTCTTCTCGACTCCGAATACAACATTCCAGCATGCATGAACCCATGGATCATACATTATTTGACACGCAGGCATATTACAGTAGCTTTCTTTAGCCCATACCTTCTGTGCAGTTGGGTCTATCTAGTCCCGGTTGACATTCGCACATTTTGCTCTTTTTCACCCAGGGTTCCTCGCACACAACTGCATCCATCACATAGCACACACCGAAGAGGAAGAACACGAGAGAGTGAATCAGCCGGAAACGGAGTCAGGCAGACTAAAGAAAATTATAAAGTAAAAGAGGCTGGACCAGGGAAACTTGGATAAATCTGGGTTTCGATCATAATGGCCTTCTTCCAAAAGATAGAATTGCTGCTGGAAGGTAAGCACTCTTAAAGCAGGAATGACAAGCAGCAGTTTACAAATCAGTGCTATCAGTAGATAGCGTCAATTATCATCACTGCTCTGCGGCACACTCAGACAATTGAAACTTTGCTAACAAACAAAATGACGACAGAAGCACAACGTGACATGACCAACTTAAGACAGAGGGTGGTAATAGGTTTTTCATTTGACAAGACCAGACCAAACCAGAGCACTTGCAGACGACAGCACGAACAGTTCACAGTTCAGGAGTAGCACAAATTGCTATTTTGGAGTGTGGCCGGAGAACTGTTCGTGCTTTTTTTGTTGTGTCATTTAGGAGTGAAACGAATTCTGAATATTCTGGAATTGTTCCTTTGGATAACAATTCGAAGCATTTGGTTCAGATCTGAATACATAGTGTTTTGGTTTTGGACATTTTGCATGTGCAAGTAAGGCTGCGTTTACACGACAAAGCTGGGGGTGAAAACGCAACAAAATCCTTTCGGATGCGTGGTTCATTTACACGGTTCGAAGAGCAAAACGTAAAAGTTGTAGACCAAAATGGAAGAAAACCAAAACGCTGGCCAAGGTGGAAGAATTTGAAAACGGAAATGTTCTGAAGGAGAAATTTGAGTGCGTAAACAGTCGAAACGGTATGCTGGCCTCGTTTTCCGTCACGTTTGTTTCGTTTTCGGCCGTTTACACGGATCCGGCAATCCCAAAAATTGTTTTTACAATTTTCGTCATGTGACGAGTGTTGTTGGTGCTTCCACGACAACACTTGGCACATGACGAACGTTTGCGGATCCTTTGCTCCCGTGTAGACGCGCGAAAACGATACAAACGGAGACCACCTCGGATCAGCTTTGATCATGTAAACGCACGAAAACTAAAGAAGAAATGCGGGACCGAAAATGGAAAACTGGCCGTGCATTTTCATGTAAACGCAGCCTAATATTCCAGTCATTGACTTGGTCCGTGTGAGGTTATAGCTTACAACATTAGAGAGGTTCCGCGCAACATAATTAGTCGATGAATGGAGAGTCCCACTGCATGCGGACCTGTGTTCCGCCTGATGGAGTTTTCGAATCACGTACCTGCCCTTGGCAGCTTGGAACGCGGCAGTGTATGACCGGGTCGACCTGGCTAGAGAGTCCTAAATATGTACCACTAACGTAAAGTTGCTCAACTTTACGTAGTGCCGAACTTCTCTATTAGGGTGCTGTAATTTCACAAATTTTCTGCGTACTTTTATTTTCGGAACTTTCGGTGCGTCTGTTTCATACGTAAAATTTCAAGACACCAAACAAACACTAACACACATAATCCAATAGGGAACTGCTTCTCTGTACCGAAAATTTCTGTCCACCTAACCTAGCCTGTTGCCCTCATGCCGAAAATATTGAGAACCGAAAATTTCTGAAATTTTGAGTAACCTCGAGTACATGGCAGTAGAATGCGGTGGTTGGCATGATGGGAAAGGGGACTATGGCTCACAAGGCTGAACCAGACAGAACTGTCTACATATTCTTCAGTGATGTGAGAACAAACAAACTATAGAATATCCGGTATCCAATTTGAAGAAAGGGTTGGTGCTACTTCGGCGATACTTATTCAATTCGTTTACAGAATATTCGGTACGATTTAGAATATTCGTTTCACCCCAACACTCCTATTTCAAGCGAGCATTCAAAAAGACCAGTATGCATGTCCTAGTTCTCTGTCACCCCTGTTAAAACTACCGCGAAGCCTACTCGTACACGTAAGGTAAAGGGGAGCCCACTTTTACATGGATGTACGCTCTAAAAATCCCACGCCAGCCATATGAAATGAGTAAAACGAATTCACTTCTACTTACCGAGTTGGCAATGGTGGCCGGTGAATCCCCTAGGGCAGCTGCATTCACCTTTGTCATCACACTCACCTTGGTTCAAGCACTTGCATGCTGCAACAGGCAGGGAAAAAAGCACATGCATGGAGTGAGTGACGCAGAAATAATGCACGGGAGGTCACGGTGTAGTAAGTGGCCCCCGGAGGCAATCACGCACAAACTCAAGTCAAAGCACTCACTTTCTAGTTTTACAAATAATCCTCACAGAAGAAATATTATATACACACTTGGAAAGCAAAGAGAGTAAAGAAGCAACAATAAAGAAGAAAGGAAGGGAACAAAAGTTCGACAACCTCTAACCATGTTCTAGGTCCTTAACCAATAAGCTATCTACGAAAACCGGTTGCCGACAAAATTCTAGAACCTTCTGGAACATTAGTATAAGTAGCCAATCACATTTCACAGCTCAAGAACACAAACAAGACACAGGGGATGTAGGGACGGCTTCTTGTTAGTGTTCATCCCTTTCTCTGGAAGGTGTGTGTTCTGATAAAAACAACAAAAACCTAATGCAGGGCGGTAGCGACCACTTTTGGACTGGTCTCAGTTGGACATTTTACCTTTTAAAACTTGCAGTTATGATGATATGACCTAAACTTGGAGAAAGTACTTTTTTCTCGTCCGTCTTGATGATACTGCAAAACCATTAGATGATGGAGACGGCCTTGTGACGTCTTCAGGTGGCGAAATGCACGGAATAACCTCTCTAATGTGGAGTTTGTGGCCGGAAGAATAGACAGTCGTGTGGCAAAGCACTGAACCTGCACCCTTATCATAATCCAGGAAAGCCAAGATTGTGAACCGTTAGGGCTTAGAAGCGCACATTACAGGCTTCGTTTCCTCGCACAATTGTTTTGGAAACTAAAAACATTGCTGGCTATGGGAATATAAGAAATCTCAGGAACAGATGCCTTCAAGGTTTTTGCAGCCATCTCCGACTCTCGATCAACATGAAGCAAAAAAAAAACTCTGTGCCGCCAGTCTGTCCCTGAGAGCCCTACATATAAGGCACAGTACATGCAGGTCTCCCTAGTCGGTGCTGTGTACATAATGCACATGGCACTGCGCCCAATCGATCGCTGAACTCCCATCAGCTCTCTAGAAAGAGAAAAGGAAACATCGGCCCGAAAAGTGGTCCGGTGAAAGCAGGACCAACCGGACAGGTGGCTTTGCCCCCTGTAATCGCTTACACACACATACACGCACCTACACACACATACACACACAAGCACGCACATACACGCACATTCAGATATTCATATGCGCACATACAGACACATACACACATATACACACACATGCACACAAACCTAATGGCTTGCTGTCTTACCCTTTTCACATTCTTCACCGTAGGACATAGTGCGGTTACATGCACAACTCATGTTCGGTGCAAGAACACCGCTCCCACAGGACTCTGTGCAGAAAAAGACAATAAAAGTCAATATTGGATTACTCTTATGCAGTCTATAACAGGGCTGCCACACTTGGAGGGAGAAAAATCTGACGGGGGTCTGGGGGGTCCCCCGGGTGAAAATATTTAGGAAAATGGCGTGCTGTTGGGGTCCCAGAACACATTTTTAACGGTCAACACATTAGCATTTTACAGCTACATGTACATGTACATGTACAATGACTGGACAAACGCGACCTGGAAGCGCCGAATGGCCAACTGGACTAAAAAGTGCTCAAAATAAAATCGGTCGGTTTGTCCGACAGGGGATCAAAAATCGGACGATTTCCAAAAAATCGGAGCAAGTGGCAGCCCTGCTATAACACTAGAATGGGGATAGTAGCTTATCTAAAAAAAAACCTGTCACGCAGTATTGAAGGAACAAGACGAGTTGTTCTTGGGCTTTTACACCCACGGTACCATAGACCGGGATGCATGACAGCAAGGCACGGTACTATAGAACGGGGTGCATGACAGCAAGGTACGGTACCATAGAACGGGATGCATGGCAGCAAGGCACAGTACCATAGACCGGGATGCATGACAGCAAGGCACAGTACCATAGAACGGAAGCATGACAGCAAGGCACAGCACCATAGACCGGGATGCATGACAGCAAGGCACGATACCATACACCAGGATGCATGACAGCAAGGCACGGTACCATAGACCGGGATGCATGACAGCAAAGCACAGTACCATAGAACGGAAGCATGACAGCAAGGCACAGTACCATAGAACGGAAGCATGACAGCAAGGCACGGTACCATAGAACGGGATGCATGACACCATAACACTTCCAACACGGTTTCTGAGCTCTTGCTGTACGATAGATACATCCGTATTACTGTGCAGTGCATACTGCAGATGCTCAAATGTTCGGAACTCGGCTTTCCCTGAATGGAATTGAGCAATCGAAAAGGCTATTTGCATAGGAAAGTTCTCAGCTCCGTCGGCAAATAGTAGGGTTACAGCCCTCGCCGGGGATTTCACGTCAAGTGGTAAACTTTCGCCTCCTCACGTGGTGACAGTCATGGGAATTCCCCCTGTTTCTTGACAACAACAAAAAGTTGTCTGTAAATTCTCTCAACCCTGATGGCATGTCGAACTTCAGCTTGTCATGCATTTGATTCCTCGCAATTGGAATCCAGGGAGTAAATTCTCCCCCGTCTCTGCCACAAACTGATATTGCGCCAAACAAAACCTTAGAATCAAAACATGCTGTAATGACTTCGGAGTTACCCTGGGAAGACACCGAAGAAACACAGCCTGAATCTCAGTTCTGGGAGTGTTCTCAATGTTGTGATTCACCGTGGGTGCAAGAAATGCTGGGAGACGACATGTTTGCACATTGCAAGTGGGCACATTGTTGGCATAAGCCCTGTTCATACAGTGCACGTAGCGACGGGACACATTTACACAAACGCACAACTATATTCATCACGTTAGCGGCACAAACAGGGACAAAACACAGCTTGTGCATGAACAGCCTTTGCAGAAGACAGTGACTTATTATTCTCTCACTTACTGACACAGAGAATCTTTGCATCCTCATGGCTTGTTTCGTTCTTAAACGTCACATGTTGTCTGCTAAATTTTACTGTTCTGTAAAGGGACTGACCATTGACCAGGATTGGCGCGACGTGGTAACCTAATCCGTCGGACTTATCTAAAGCCAATCTCTCTAGCCAGCGGTCTCTTAACACATGGCCATGTTCTTGTAACCAGTCTTTGGTTATGAGGCGAAGTCCGTACTGCTGACATGCGTCCTCTGCGCACTGCTCAGTCACGCTGGGTCCGAGTGCTGGAGTTGCTGCGGCGTATACAGAATCGTTGGCATGGAGCCATTGAGCTGCAACACAAGGGCATATACAGTTGTGGGTAGAAACAAAAATAGGCGGAAGAGAACTAAGACAAGCGGCATCATTATTGCTTTAACGCTGCGTTTCGTGCAAATAGCAAGGCCAAAGCTGTGTTCGTTTTTAGCTACCTAGTAGAGTAGAGTCACTTTACCGATAGGCCACACGTTTTTATTTCTAGTTTTCTCGTCACCTGAAAATCTAAAAATGTTTGCGAGAGGTGGAAAAATAAAAAAATGACCGAAGAATAAAAAAAGTTTATTAGACCTTTGTTCACACTAAAATCCACCAATACACCATGCAAAACAGCATCCATAGTTAGCAACTAGTATGTGGTATGCGCTTCTATCACAATCTGTGCATGTGCAGCTAGATTGCGCACAACAAATGCCGACCTCGCATTATGTGTCGCACAGGCCACGCCACATCATGTACATGTGAATGTGTGTGCTGGTCCCCATATGCACAGTCAGTGCAGCACAGTTTTTTTATTTTTTTCTTCAAGACTCCTAAATCGTATGCGCGTGGGTGACGAGAAGCATAGAAATAAAAATGAGTGGCCATAGAGGTAGATGATAGAGGCAAGTGTACGAACGCTGTTCTACCGGATTTAGTAGTTTACACGATGTGTACGTGAAATATTTCCTTTTTGTATGGAGTTGTGTACAAATCCTTGATCTTGCTGGAAATCCCGTAGCTCTACCAACTTCTACCGGATTCAACCAACTTCATCCCGGTAGAGCCGGTAGAAAAAAGTAGAATCTACCCTTTTGAGTCGAATTTCTTTTCAAAAACGAAAAACTCTACCGAAAGAAGTAGTTTCTACCCAAACCTGTAGATCAGAAACGAACCCCCTAAAGCAATCCTCAGACAACTAAAATTCTTGCTATTGTGAATTTAATATCGTGCTTGATGACACCCGATCTCTTGGATACGGAAGTGCCCAGAGCTAGTGAGTAGTTCAATGTTCATAGGCCTGGGGCTCGCCAGACTTCATAGAGCAGCACCGTGTCACATTTGCAAACCATTCAGCGGTTCTACCAAGGGAGTAGTATAACACCGGGTTATGACACAAGCATACGCATGAAATGCTTCTTCGCAGGTGAAATCAATTGGTTACGCATGTGTGGGTCTGACCCTGGCTATAACGGTAGGTGTGCCATTGATGTGAGAAACCCAGGTGGCTGCACTCTTGTTGTCTCTTTGTTTCATACTTTCCTGTCCCGTCATTATCATTGGACATAATATCCTGTCCATGCACTGTGTGCTACTCAGCATTCTCACCATTTTCCCGTCCAATGATATCGCTTTAAAACAAGCAATTGTTTACCTTCGCAGATGACATTGTGACGGCCGAACCCATGAACACTAAATATTGCACCACTCGATTTGTTCTTGTCCTGCTTGTAAATAATACGCCGACGATTGTACTCGGATGATGTCCATATCGTGATCGGGCTGCTGTTACTGTTCACCATCATCTCGTGGAGCAATGACTCTACGCAGCCACGCACACCAAGCTTTGAGCCGAGCAAGGTGAAGGTTTTAAAGTCGACCAGCTGATATCCCCTATCACTGCATGCGTCTCTGGCTTTCGTCCAACTGGTTATCTTCGGGCAGCTGCCTGAATAACATGGCAAGCCGGCGAGAGCCGTCAAGGTGTACATCACCTTGTCCGTACCCAGGCACTTTGTCCTGAAATCTGAACACAGAACAGCACACAGACATGTACAACATACTCAGGTACAGGAGAAAAATATTACGGTGGCCAAAAACCCTTTCTGTCCGTCTTGTGTTCAAATTTTCAAGGTTGAAGCACTATAAGGACAAGCTGTTAATCCCATAATTTTGCTAGTGCGTAACGAATCCTTCTCTATATTTGGGGCCTGTGAAAGTCACACCCACACAATCTCATTTATGTGCTTTTACCAACAGGGTGAAGGCTTGTACTAATTATGATATACCGTAGTGCCTTGTATTAAAGCCTATCTCATATAGAAGCAAACGGCGAGGAGACAATAATTTGATAACCGCAATCAAAAAAATTAGCTGAACCGACATTTGTGTATTTCAGAATACACTTTTGGCACACAAGCCTGGTTTTAGTGTTGACGCACATATAAATACCTGGTTTGAATAGAAGCTTGATGTGAATACTGAATAGAAGCCTAGCCCTGAAATCGGCTTCCACAGGAATACGCTCGGCGGTAATACACGACACTACGGTGAGTACATTTCAATTCTCTTTCTGGAATTCCGGACCACTATGATCAAATGCTGTGGAGACAAATGCACTGGAATCAATTAATCCCATTTTTCTGTAAACAGTGGGTAAGTGGGTGAATGAGTCCAATAACGTCACATCATTTTAGCATTACTTTATGATACTAACTGGGTGGAATATGAAGTGCCAACAATGGAGTCTGCATGCCCTTAGGAAGGAACCTTATAATAATTATCACCGCCGGAATTTGGGGTTGCTCCTGCTTCACTTCGGACTGCTGTTTGGTGTCGAGATGTCTTTTCAGCGCCGTCGTCGAGTAGCCTTTGTAAGAATAGACCGTTTTGCAAAGATAGCAAGTAGCCCTGGTCTTCGCTGCATCACGGGAGAAAACTTCCAACGACTATGCGTAACTTTCACTCGAATGCAGAGGTGACGGAAGCATATCCTGCGACAGGTCAGCAGATGCGGAACAAGACATCAGCAGAGTCCACCAAAGCTGCAACGACAACTGAAACAACTCAAGTGTCGTGCAGGCATACAGTCACTGTAACTGCGAGTGATTTTCACTTTGGGCGGGACTGGACTCTCGATCGACCCTGGAGTCGTAAAATATTTTACGACTTCCCGGTCGACATGTACTGTCATGTGTACGGGGTATGGTGTACGGTGTTCGTTAGTGCAAACGAGCTGGCCGCACAAACGAGCCGAGTTTCTGGCGAGCGAGCTAACGAGTATCCGGTGAGATCGTTTCAACACTAAAATAAAGCTAAACAAAACCAAACAGAGACACTTACTGTCCTGACATTGGTCTCCGTGGAATCCGGTCGGACAGACGCAGGTGCCGTCTTCAGTACACTGACCATTATTCAAGCAATTGCATGCTGCAGCAGTGATTGGATGTACATATTTTCCAAAAGCAAACGAATAGCGGCAGAATAACATAGCACATCGGATTCTCGAGACATTGTTACATGTATCTTGATCATCATGACACTGTACCCACCAGTACATAGGTACATGAACAGCCAGATTACAACACTCCCACGTATATCCAATTGATGCCCATATGACTGTATCATTTATTGCACGTGGATAGAACAAAATTCCAGCCACTTTTAAGGTCACAGTACGCTGGGCAATCCGGCATACAAACTCGGAAGTGTATCTTTGGCTTCAAATACAATATAACGGCATGTATGTTCCCATGGGTCATACATTCTTTGACACGCTGGCAAATAATATATTACAGCAGCTTTCTTCAGCCCTTACCTACTATGCAGTTAGGTCCATCTAGTCTGGGTTTACATTCGCATACTTTGTTCTTTTCCACCCAGGGATGTGTGCACACAACTGCAGCGCATATCACAAGAAAGAGGGAGAACAGCCAGAGATTAGCCAGACACAAGAAGGACAGACAAGTAGACAGAGGGAAAAATAATTATTTTATTATTATTTATTTTGAACAAACGACGAGGAGACAACAATTTGATAACCGCAATCAGTAATATACGGCTGGATCGACATTTGTGTACACTTTATTCATGTAATGTAAAACTGTGGAGACAATGTGCAATAAAACGATGAAAATGTGAAGAAATTGTGTAGAGAAAAAAAGGAAAGGGATTCAAACAAGTTTTCGTACGACACTCATCAGGAGTCTTCGTTGTACTAAAGGACACTGAAAACAAAATTGAACTATTATAGAAAATCTAAGTTAGAGAAATAACACTAAGAACAACAGCAGTGAAATTTACAAGAGTGAATTTTAACAATGAAAGCGAGAGCAATAACGAATGTGTGTACCAACACTAAACTTGCACCTGAAATACGAACAAAGAAGAGAAAGAAAGAAGGAAGGACAAAATGATAACAAATAACAGCAGTACATTACACCTAGAACATTAGCAACCAAGCTTGGCCGCACCAAACATGACACTTTACTTGAACAATTTCAACCCAATTATACTATCTTTCTGTTTTTATCTTTATGTACACACAAATTAAGCTTATACAGACACTGACAGATGGCTTCCAAAACTTTTAACTGTAGTCCATAACCATGACGACCACGGCACAATACAGTGAAAGAAGAGTTGGAATACGAATTGCAACAATCAGGACTAGCCAACAGATGATTGTACACTGACATTCTCACCGGCACTCTCACGATTACTACAATCGTGGCTCTCCAACTCTCTGCTCCCTTCACCGTCCGTCCCATCATCTGCTTCCTCTGCGCTCTCTCTGTTATCCCGCCTGACTTGGTCCATTGAACGGGACTCGGCCGTCACCCTGCTGTCACCTCCCTCGAAGATACAATCAAGAGTTTGCGTTGTGTGGCGGGGGCCGGGGGGAGAAGCCTACTTCATTGGCGCCCGACGTGGTGATAGGCTCGAACCAACGAATCTCCTTCACCACCAGTTCCTTTCTCTTCGTCAACGTTCCTCTACTGGACACCGCCGGCAGGATTCTACTCGACTTTGCCCAGCCATACCTGGGGATCCCTATCCCGTGAATTCTTCATCAGGCGAACAAATACCCGGTGAGTCGCTCCCAGTAGAGGGTTTGGTTGTTGTCGTATATTCGTTGTGGTCCCGTCGCCTCACTCGATTGAGCTTGAGCATCATGTCGACGTACTCGGGGTGGTGCCTATTGGCAAGTTGCGCTTTATCTTTTCGCGCTTTCGTTCCGATACCATCAGTCTTTGTGACGGCGATCCGGTTCTTGTGTCTCTCTTGTGTCTTTCTGTTTTGGTGTTTGCAGTCAGTGTGCGTATATTTGCTGGGGTTTGTGCAGTTTTCTTGATAAGCCTTTCAGTGTGGTTGTGTAACTGTTTGGTTTGTAAGCTTGGTTCGGTTTTGAAGTTGCTACACACGTTTTGCTGTGATGGTTTGTACTGGCACAGTTTTCTTGGTTACGAGGATACACCTGGTTCATAGCTGGGGTAACTTTTCAGTGAGCGTATTTTGTTTTCCTCGTTTTGTGTCGACCTGCGGGTCTCCCCAGTTGGCCGGTGGGCGCCCGATCATGGTGAGCCATGGCCTACCCGGCGAGCTTGGGGGATCCCTGCGTTCTCATGGTTTGCCTTGCGGGTATTTTTTAGCTGGCGGTACCGACTTGTGCCGGCCAGGGTAGGTAAATTGAAGGGTTTTGGCAGGCAGCGGTCCCTGCGTTTTCGAGTTCCTGTTTTTTTTTCTTTGCGTACTGCCAGCCATATTTTTGTTTCGTATACTGTCCTCACTGTTTGTTTGATCCTACATTCCTGCTGTTCCTATTCCTTCTTTGTACATGTTCAACTTCTACACTGCACCTCCCTATCTTCAACATCCGAATGGGCAAGTCGTACGACGCACCACCTCGTGGAACCACACCCAAGGTTTTCCCATCTCCACGGCTGCAGCCACTTGACGTTTTCTTCAGTCTGTTCTCCTGTTATTGTGTCTGCTCATCCCGTTTGTTTTTCTCCTACTGGCTAGAGTCGAGGTCGACTCTCGCCGGAGGGGAGGGCTATGTTGCGAATTTGTATTACGACTATGATTTACGCATGTTGTTGTATTTGGTTCTTGTCTTGTGGAGTCCAGTGTCTGATGTCATATTTGGTTTAGGTGTACGCGCGAGTATGGTGTGATGTGTGACGTTTATGGTATGTGGTGCATGCAAGAGTACGCGTTGTCAGAGTGTGAGGATGTGCTTCCGTCTGTGTGAGAGTGACTGTCAAGTGAATACTGTACATGCGCAGTGCTAGTTTGGTCTGGGAATGAGAGTCGTGTGTGATTCGTCCGTGGTCTGGTTGTCTTGGTCTTGGTCATGTGTTCTGTGCGTATTAGTCCCTGATTGGTCGTCACGATTTGTCCTCGCAGACCTCGGTTTATTACTGGTTGTTCTTTGTTGTTTTCTTTGAGTCTTTTCCCGGGAGTCTTTCCCGTTGTCTTTTTGTCCCTTCACAAAGTTTGTCTCTTTCCTCCTGCGCCCTCGTCATTTCTTGGTATAATATAAGTATTGAAGATACAATCAAGAGTTTGCGTTGTTGTGTGGCGGGGGCCAGGGGGAGAAGCCTACTTCACTTACGCCCTTGTCCGTTGAGTGCGTAGCTTCTGTTGTAGTTGGCTGTTGATCGTCTTGGTCTTTCAATGGTGGGCTTGGATGGTGGATTAGCTGTGGTTGCTGTAGATTGCATTTGTTGGTGATGGTGTGGGAGCTGCTGATACGCAAGGTGGGTCTTTTTGGGTTGGCAAATGTAGTGGTAACGCCACTGCCGGTGTTGCTCGCGGTCGGTCACTGGCAAGCTCCACCGCAGCAAGAGCCGACGGCGGAGGATCAGGAGGAGGCAGTGGGACCGGGACCGCAAGCGGCACCACCCCAGCCAAAGCCGCCGGGTGCACCGACGAAGGAACCACCGACGGCAGTAGCAAAGGCGGCGACACAAGCCGGCCCGATGAGCCACCACGACCACCCTCCTCCACCACCGCCACCAGCGACGGCGGAGCAAGCACAGTCTGTGAGCCAGGATCCGCAAGTTGTGTGGGTAACGGTTGTTTTCTAGGTCGCCCTCGCTTCGGTCTTTGTTGTTGTTGTAAATTTGTCTGCTGTTGTTCTTAGCGTTATTTCTCTAACTTAGATTTTCTATAATAGTTCAATTTTGTTTTCAGTGTCCTTTAGTACAAGGAAGATTCCTGATGAGTGTTGCAGGAAACTTGTTTGAATCCCTTTCCTCTTTTTTTCTCTACACAATTTCTTCACATTTTCATCGTTTTATTGCACATTGTCTCCACAATTTTACATTGCATGAATAAAGTGTACACAAATGTCGATCCAGCTTGTATTACTGATTGCGGTTATCAAATTATTTATTTTACTAGTATAAGAGGAAAAACATGCACAGTTTGCGTGCGACACGGCTAGAGGCCGAGTTTTCCACATCTATAGGAATACCCCACTCCTCAAGGGTCAAGGCTCCCATGCAGCTCCAAGAGGCAAGAGACTGGACAATTGACTAGGGAAATGTCACACATTGCGGACGAATGAGCGTTTCGACCGCACAAAAATAGCAGGTTTGGTGATGCACATGTGTTCTGTGTTCTTATTCCTAGCAAGAGCTTGATGAAACGGTATACTTGTTCTGTCGACTTTCACTCAAAATAGAAACTAGAACAAGGCCTGCATAATCAGGGCCAACCGGAATAACTCCAAAGCCTACACACAGTCAGGGGAGGCCATGTTCACACGAAAGGTATACTTTGAGAATTGCATACAATGTAAAGGAAACATTTGAAGTAAACAAATTCAAACAAGCATTTCGGAGACAGCAACTTTAATATGGCAACCAAGAGTACTAACCATGCATTATTACAATAGTGACAAACATGCGACAGAAATGTGAATGTGAAACGTACATGTAAAAAGAAGAAGACGAAGTGTTCAGATCGGTAAGGAAATTCACTTCTACCAAAAGTCCATAACCCCAAGGGTGTGCAACTGGTTGTCTGGCTGCTGTAGGCCCACTGCGCGGCGAAATTCCAACATAATGTCATGCCACTGAGGCACAGAGGACAAAACTCTGCATTCCGCGGTGCTTGGATTTTTTGTTTGGCACCAGGGAGTAGTACAAGCGCAACGAGCGTGTACAAAAATTTTGACGTAATGTTGGAATTCTGCCGCGCGGACCCCATGTACAGAGTTGCAAACTCTTGGGGTTATGGACGCCTGCTTCTACTTACCCTTCTGGCAATTGTCTCCGGTGAATCCCTTCCGGCAGATGCATTTGCCTTTGTCGTCACACTGACCCTGGTTCAAACACTTGCACACTGCAGCAGCCACCGCATACACGCAACATGGCGTGAAACAGAGAAAATACACGGTTTGGTTACGCAATGAGCAGTGAAGATAGAGAAATTAGACTACACAAAGTTACCAGGCAACTTTCGCTTGCAAGGAAACTGGGGCGTGAACACTGTTGAAGCACTGAAGCCAGCACTCGAAAATAGTACTAGGACAAAAACACATGTAACCGTTAGTAGATCTACTCGTAACAGCCATTCATAAACAAATATGATACAATTCGCCTGTGGGGATTGCCCATTTCAAAATTTAAATAATAATAATAATAATAATACTACACCATAGCTCAGTGGTTAGAGCATCGCTGGCTACAAGCGAGGGTCCCTGGTTCGAGTCCTGGTGGTGACAGTCAATTTTTTCTTCAGACTTTTCCCGTTTGTCTCTTTCCCTCAAACCAGTTAGTATTTTATGACTTGGGGCTCCCCGCGTGCTAGTTTGTACGTGAAGTGTGTGGGTTACAGTGAGGGCTGCGTCCCACCCGCCTGTGTGGATTCACAGGAAGTGTGAGTTACGAAGTCTGAAGAGAATGTTGAACGGCCTCTGCTGGGATGACGACTACACCATAGCTCAGTGGTTAGAGCATCGCTGGCTACAAGCGAGGGTCCCTGGTTCGAGTCCTGGTGGTGACAGTCAATTTTTTCTTCAGACTTTTCCCGTTTGTCTCTTTCCCTCAAACCAGTTAGTATTTTATGACTTGGGGCTCCCCGCGTGCTAGTTTGTACGTGAAGTGTGTGGGTTACAGTGAGGGCTGCGTCCCACCCGCCTGTGTGGATTCACAGGAAGTGTGAGTTACGAAGTCTGAAGAGAATGTTGAACGGCCTCTGCTGGGATGACGACTACACCATAGCTCAGTGGTTAGAGCATCGCTGGCTACAAGCGAGGGTCCCTGGTTCGAGTCCTGGTGGTGACAGTCAATTTTTTCTTCAGACTTTTCCCGTTTGTCTCTTTCCCTCAAACCAGTTAGTATTTTATGACTTGGGGCTCCCCGCGTGCTAGTTTGTACGTGAAGTGTGTGGGTTACAGTGAGGGCTGCGTCCCACCCGCCTGTGTGGATTCACAGGAAGTGTGAGTTACGAAGTCTGAAGAGAATGTTGAACGGCCTCTGCTGGGATGACGACTACACCATAGCTCAGTGGTTAGAGCATCGCTGGCTACAAGCGAGGGTCCCTGGTTCGAGTCCTGGTGGTGACAGTCAATTTTTTCTTCAGACTTTTCCCGTTTGTCTCTTTCCCTCAAACCAGTTAGAATAATAATAATAATAATAATAATAATAGGTCAGACTCGGATGTAAAGGCAAGGATTAAAAAAGAGAGGACCCAAGGTTTACAAGTTATGCGTTTTGTGCCAAACACTAACGACAAGTTTACATAAACCAGAGTGTGCAACTCAGGGTGGTTCCTGTGCGAGCGTAATTCGTGCAGTACGTCATTTCTGACCTCATGGTAGGCCACAGGTACGGTGAAAAGTTGCGTAAACAGTCACAGTGGTGCAGGTTGCCGAGTTTGTCCTGATTTCGGTTTTTTGACACGGACAGCATGGTGAATTTACGTTCCAGCGGATGTACGCAGTCACACAAAACACCGAAATCCTAAAACAGGACGTCAATCATGCAAACTTGGCTGATTTCCGAACTGTGAAACACGAAACTTTGAGCTGTACGCAAGTCGCAGCTTGGCTGACCTCATCAGGGTGACGTAGCGCACGAACTGCGCTGTTTCAGATCTGATATGCACAGTTGCATACTCTGGTTTATGTACTCTTGCTAACGATATAAGCAGGATTCAGTCACGGCCATAATAGTTCCTAACTAAGTTGAAAGGCTGTTGGTTTGCGCATTCCAATACGAGATGCAGCAAAGCATTAGGTCGTTGAATGTCAGTATCACATCAGTCAGTGTTCTGCTAATCGTTGCATGTTATGACTCACCCGTATCATGCTGATATTGGACACAACACGCATAACTTGTAAACCTTTGGTCCTGTCGTTTAATTTTAAATCTACAAGTAGTAGGGTGGAATCTTGATAATTTGAACCCCAAAAAGCCAAGGAAAAACTTCCAATCATCGGGGCATTCAAATTATCCAAACATGTACCCACAACACTGTGCTATACCAAATGACATTCTGTAGATTTCCCTGAGACCCCCACATCTGTTGAATTAGATATCACAGGACTTGTTAGCACAAGTCGTCTCAAGGCATGTTCTTAGGCACATGCTATAATTTTATCGTATTGCTTTTAAAAGTTCAAGACATCTCACTTACTGACACAGAGGATTTGGGCTCGGTGATTGTTTGTGGTGTTCACAAACCTCTGTTTTCCCTCGCTAAACGTTACGGTTCTGTAAAGGGAGCTGCCGTTCACCACCATTGGTTTGACGTGGTAAGGTGCTTGCCGAATAGCCAATCTCTCTAGGAAGCTCTCTCTTAATACATGGCCATGTGCTTGCAGCCAGGCCCCGGTTATGAGGTGAAGTCCGTACTGCTCACATGCCTCCTCTGCGAATTGCTCAGTGACGTTGGGCCTCAGCGCTGGCGTTGCTGTGGTGTATACTGAGGAGTTGGCGTGAAGCCACTTGGCTGCAAAACAAGGGCACATACAGTAGGCAATAGGAAATACAGTCGTCCCTCTCTAATCCGGCACTTGTTTATCCAGCACCCTTTCAAACCAGCACACTTTCTGGCAGAACGGATTTTTTCAGTTCTTTTTTTAACCTTTGATTCGGCACTTGAATTCCGCCTCCAGCAGCGATTTTCTGCAACAAACCACTCAAACTGTACATAATTTGACTTTCTAATCCAGCAGTTGTACACCGCATACTGCCAGGGACCATTGTAACATACACAACACATGTAACATACACTTGGGAATATCCTATGCTAGTACATAAGATATTCCCAAGTGTATGTTATAGACATGCATTCCATGATTCCACAAAGTACTTGGTTTGACACAGAAGATCCCTATGTTTTGATATACGACACAAACATGTATGGTAACATGTGGGCCGGGTTGGAGGGCAGGATTTGATAATCAAGCACCCTTGTTTATCCCGCAGAAAATTCCATTGCAAAAGGTGCCGAATTAGGGAGGAATGACTGTATGTATAACAAACGCAATGACAACAGCGAGCATTCCCAGATGGCCTAGAGTACTCAACACTACCAGGATGGAGCGATCCAACAAAGGACTGCATTAGCTCCACTTTGTGCATGAAACGAAGCGTTACAACAATTATTTAACCGATTCTCTCCGGTCTCTTCTGCCTTTTTGACAAAAATTATGAAATAAATCTAAATAACGGGTGCCAACAATCTTGTCATGCTCAATAAAACCCGGTCTAACGAAAGGTCAATGCTTCCATTTCACCCCTATTCTGAGACAGGTTCAGGTGTCGGCCAATATTTGCAGGCATGGGGCTGGGTGGACTTCATTGAGCAGCACCGTGCCATAGTTGGGAATCACCCAGCGGTTATACCAAGAGTACATAACCCCCCAGAGTGTGCAACTTCCACATACCCTGCTCTCGCGACAGACTTTCAAGTTGACGTCATTAATTATGGGGCTGCGGAGACTTCATTGACCAGAACCATGCCATAGTTGCGGATTACTCGGTGGTCAAACAAAGGGAGTAGTATGATGCCGGGTTACATAAGCATATGACAGAAGTGTTTCGATTGCTTCCGTGTGTGTGGGTCTGAATCTGGCTATAACGATCAGTTTCCAATTGAACTCAGAAACCTCGGTTGTAATAACTCTTGCCGTGCCTACCCTATCCATTCGTCCCTGGCTACTCAACATTTTCTCTCACTCGTTCATATGATCACAATGCAACAGCCTACCTTCGCAGATGACATCATGATGGCTTGCTCCATTACTATCAAGTAACTCTTCTCTTAACTCGTTCTTGCTCTGCGGGTACATGATATTTTGGTCATCCTCCTCGATCGATGCCGATGTTGAGATAGAGTTGCTGTCACCGCTCGCCATCATCTTGACATCAAGATGGCTTGCTCCACTACTATCATGTAACTCATCTCTCAACTTGTTCTTAACTTGTTCTTGCCCTGACGATAGGGAGATAGGGTTGCTGTAACCGCTCGCCATCATCTCGAAATCAAGATGACTTGCTCCACTACTATCATGTAACTCTTCTCTTAAGTTGTTCTTGCCCTTCTTGTAAATGACATGCTTGCCATCCCTCAAGAAAGATGTCCATATTGTGATAGGGTTGTTGAAATTGCTTGACATCATCTTGTTAAGCAATGCTTCCATGCAGTTCCGCACGCCCAGAGACAGGGTTGTGAAGGCATTATAGTCTACCACGTCGTATCCTCTTCTCTTGCACATCTGGCGGGCATGCGTCAAGTTCGTTTTCTTTTGGCAGCTGTCACCGTCGAGGTGTGGATGACACGGCAAGCCGGCGAGAGCCATCCAGGTGTACATTGCCTTATCTGTACCCAGGCACTTTGTCTTGAAACCTTAACATAACACAGTGCACATGCAAGACACGGTCAGGCGAAGTAGAACACAACTGGACCACAGCCTAACAAGACGTACACTTGCTCAGTAGGGATACCGCAGTCCATTTCAGAATTTGTTTACTAAAATGATCCCAAATATCATCGGACCATCACAGCTATACAGTAAAACCTGGTGTAAGCGACCTCTGGGTTTAGCGACCACCTGATCTTAACACGGACCATTTTTCCATGCACTGACAGTTCTACACAGACACTGTGGGACCTGGTTCTAAAGACCACCTGGCTTTAACGACCGCTTTTGCTTGCACCGTGGAGTGGTCGCTTAAACCAGGTTTTACTGTAGTTCTGGTGATGGCAGTCAATTTTTTTTCTGCAGACTTTTTCGCTCTCAACTTTCCTCAAACTTCCGAACAAAACACCTACGGCAGGCGCTATTTGCTTTGTTCCTTGCCCTAAACTGTTACAGTACATATCGGTTATAGTGCGGTCGCGTACAAGAATATGCTGCCTACAAGAATGAACTCTAATATCTTCATAATCGAACTCGCATTGCATCGTGATGCTGCAAGTGCACCTGACGTGGCCATGTATCTTGTTGCAGAGCCACATGGACAAGCCTATGGGACTATGAACAGCCGCACTTACAAACGCACTACGAATGCATGTCCAATGATCTTCCCCGCCTGCAGGTCCATGGAGCTAGCTGTCCATTTGTATGGTGGGCCTTGTGAACTCGGACACTGGCGTGTACGTAGTGCGGACGGAGAATGCCACAAATGTAGAGACCCACCAAGCGCAGCTCACAGCCAAATCATAATGAACAGCAGCCGAGCTTTCAATTACTGAAAATCGCCCAATATTCGCAACACTAAATTCTCGCGATTTCTTAGAACCAACAAGTCTGCGATGGCAAAAGGTCGACAAGCACAGGGGATACCTACATACACCCACTGTTGAAGCTTGATTTGCGTTACGCTCTTCTCGCGAAAAAAGCGAACATTAATCCGTCGCGAACATTAGGCATTTTACAGTATTCCAGAAACATGAACAAAACAGGGGTTTACTTCATACGGCATATACTTACTGTGCTGACACTGATCTCCATGGAAACGTTTCCGGCAGATGCAGGTGCCATCTTCGGTGCACTGGCCATCATTCAAGCATTTGCATGCTGCAGCAGTGAATGGGAATATTCACGCATTTTCCAAAGCACACGGAAAGGAACAGAATAACGGACTGTCAAGAAATTGTTCACATGTCCTTGCCTATCATCATGGACGCCTCAAACCAGCTCTTTTAACCACTTACAAGAGTGTCCAACTCCCCCTATCAATATTTTTGCCGAAGGGGTAGGGGCGCAGCATTGACTTTCGTGCACGCTGCTTTGAACACTTCACGCTTTACACTTCAAGTGCAGAGATGTATCAATTTGTAGCTTATTCTTTTCTTTGTTTTTAGATCTGTTTTTTTACAAGGCAACACAATATTGTAGCTTGTTCGCCCCTTTTGGTGTATTCTAGTTGCAGTGTTCAGATTAGCCAGAATTCTTGTAGCCGACATATGCTCTCCCAAACAGTTTAAAATTATCACATCCCGGCTACAAACTGAGCATATGTTGCAGAATATGTCGGAGAAGCCCCCATGAGGACTCGGAAGTTGTTTTTTTGTCTTCAAAATACAACATTCAAGCATGTGTGAGAGCATAGGTCATACATTCTCTGACATGCCTACATACATTACAGCAGCTTTCTTCAGCAATTACCTTCTGTGCAGTTAGGTCCATCTAGTCTGGCCGTACATTCGCATACTTTGTTCTTTTTCACCCAGGGATGTGTACACACAACTGCATCACACATCGCAAGGAAGGGGAAGAAGAGGAAGAGAGTAAATCAGCCAGAAACGAAGTCAGACAGACTTAAAGGTTGCATTTGGTTGGGCAATTCCAGAATGATATTGACCACCCGTGATTCTGGAATGTTAATGATAGCTTGCATGCCGTCCTACCGGTAAGACCACGGGTCCTACCGGTAGAACCCAAGAAATCGCGCTGCAAAAGTGCTGTTGCTTGAGAATCTTGTTGAAACAATTGTTGAGATGAGGTCCTTGTAGTACAAAGTAATGGCGCAAAAGGCAAGACTACATCCAGGGCATTGCATATGTGCAATTTTATCAATTTTAAAAAATGGGCGCCATGTTCCTGTCGGAGCGCTTGCAACTGCGTCCAAAGTGAATTTCGACCGTGGCATATCGATTGCCATGGCAGTGGAATGCAAAATTCCATGCTCTGTTTCCATGGCTACCATGGACTGTTGCCATAGAATTTCTTATTATGCCTTGTACGATCACGTCCAAAAAGCGTGGACTCCTTCATTAGCGAGTCAAAGTTCTTGTCAGTGCATGATTATAAAATCCCAGGGGAACTGAAAAAGAATACTTGAAGAAAACTAAATATTTTCTACTTACCGAGTTGGCACTTGTCTCCGGTGAATCCTTTCGGGCAGCTGCATTCACCTTTGTTGTCACACTGACCCTGATTCAAGCACTTGCATGCTGCAACGCCCATCAATAAACGCATGCACGGAGTGGCATAGAAAAATGCACGGGGTGTTACTCTATGCTTAGTGGAAATCGAGACATTTATCATTTGGTCGGAACTAGGTCTCCGCTGACCTGGTGAAAAGACAGAAATGCCTGTTCACTTGGTGAAGTAAAATAAAAATAAACAACAACAACAACAACAACAACAACAACAACAACAACAACAACAACAACAACAACAACAACAACAACAACAACAACAACAACAACAACAACAACAACAACAACAACAACAACAACAACAACAACAACAACAACAACAACTGCAAAGGAAATCTCCCCATCTCTCACTAGTCTCTACAATCTGTCCTTCAGAACCGGAGAAATACCACAGGATTGGAAAGACGCAACTATTACACCCATCCCCAAGTCGGGCAACCCCTCCCATCCTACCAACTACCGACCCATCTCCCTGCTCAGTATAATATCAAAAACACAAGAAAAAAATAGTCCACTCTCGTCTGTACAATCACATAGCACCGCACTTACCCTCCAACCAATCCGGCTTCAGGAAACAAGACGGGACCGAACTGCAACTCGCACGGATCGTCCACCAGATATCCACAGCTAGGGATGCGGGGAAGCATGTTGTAACGTGTTTCTTCGATCTCAGTAAAGCCTTTGATCCTGTATGGCATCAAGGCTTGCTGAAAAAGCTGAGCCACTATGGTGTCGACGGCAAGGCTCACAATTGGCTCGAAGCCTACTTGACAGGACGCAGACAGCGGGTGCAGGTTGAAGGCACAACATCCGCCTTCATACCAATACCAGCAGGAGTGCCCCAGGGCTCGGTCCTGGGACCACTTCTGTTCCTGGCGTACACCATTGACCTGCCCACTGCCTGTGAAAATGCTACAACCTCGTGTAGCCAGTTCGCTCACGACACCGCACTAATTGCCATTGCAGGCAGCTACATTGAGTGTGAGGCTGCGCTACAAAGAAGCATCGATGCCGCAGCAGAATGGCTAGAGCGCTGGCACATGCTAGTCAATAAAACGAAAACCGTCATCCTCCTGTTCTACCATGCTAACCGACCCCCACCACGACTACCCGAAATAAAACTTGGCCAAACCCTATTAGAAACAGTAACACAACATCGTCACCTCGGCATCATCTTTCAGCACGACCTAAGATGGTCAGCCCACCTTGACTTTGTGCTGAAGAAAGCCGTAAAATCGTTTAATATTCTCTTTAGGCTCAAATCGACTCTACACACTAAATCACTCTCTCTCATTTACAAAACGTATATCCTGCCTATAATTGAATATGCATGCATTGCTGTCACCCCGCTCTCAATCGCAGCCCTTGACCGTCTTGAGCGAATCCAGCACAAGGCGGCCAGAATCTGCCTCCGTCTCCCCCTTTACACTCCTCTGGATCATTCAACACTGCTCCATCGGCTCAAATGGCCGACAATGTTCTCTCGCCGCAAAGTGAAGCTCACCCTTCTTGCTCACTCCATAAAATACCAATATGCCCCACAACACATACGCTTGCTCAACACCCCCGCTCAAGTTACGGCCCAGTACAGCCTTCGACACGCACGCACTTGGCACCTCCCACCCTCCAGAACCGATCGCTGTAAAGACTCCCCACTGTACAAGTCCCTAGAATACTACAATGCCCTCCCTGCTAGCATTCGTGACGTCTCCTCCCGACCTGCTTTCAAACAAGAAATCTGCTCACTGCTGATTAACTCAATCTGCTCCTGCAGCGCTCACCCTCTCCCATACTTGTAAAGTTCAAAGTGATGTAAATCACTTTCCAACTGTTTAACCCACAATCTCACCTTCTCATCAATTTATCTCTTATTGGCAATGGTGCCATCGTGAGAATAAAGAATTCAAAAAACAACAACAACAACAACAACAACAACAACAACAACAACAACAACAACAACAACAACAACAACAACAACAACAACAACAACAACAACAACGAACAACAACAACGTTGAGTAGGAGTAGGAAGCAGATTTTGGCGCTCCCAGTTTTTCCCTAGATTTCTGCGGATTGAGGCTTACCCGGGGTACCAGACCCCAACCATGGAGCGCAACATTAGTACTGCTGCCCGAAATGGCGAGCCACGATGGAAATCACTTACCCGAGAAGACATGAAGGCCAACACCGTAGTTTTCACCAGTCACGCCGGTATCAAGACAGTGGATGTAGCCGAGGCCCTTGTTACCCAAGGGTACACGGACGTCGCCTCCGTCCAGATCACCAATTCCAACCTCACAAAGGTAACGTTATTATCTGCTACGCAGACTGACGCACTGCTGGGGCACGGGTTTTTTATCGGCGACAGCCATTTCTCTGTACGCCCTGCATTCACCAAACAACTACAACTCCATATCTTTGATGTCCCGATCTGGATTGAGAATACCGTTATCTGCAGTGCTTTGGCTGCATTTGGCCAGATCCAGGGAGACATCCGCCATGGTCAAATTCAAACCCCGTCGGGGATTACTGTAGGGACAGGTATGCGATTCGCCACCATCGAGCTGAAGGAGGGATGTCGGCAAGTTCCGTCTTTTGTCCGCACAGCCGACCAGCACCAGTTTCGTGTCCGTCACGAGGACCAGAGGGCCACCTGCAGGATTTGCATGGGGGAGCACTTTGCTCGATCGTGTCCGAGCAAGCGGCCCACGAACAAACCACCCACAAGTATACAGAGCACCAATTCGGCTGCACTCCCTGGATCACAACTGAGCTCGGGTACAAGTGCGCCCGATGCAGGAGGTAGTGAGGCTGTTGTGAGTGCTAGTTCAGGTAGTAGCTGTACAAACACGGACCCCAGCGCGGAGCCAGAGAGCTCAAATCAATCCACCAGCTCAGCACGCACGCGCACAGAGCCCAAGGGTTCACACTCGTACGCCAGCGCAGCTCAACAGGGAGCCCGCGCACAGTTCAACTGTACGCACGGGGCGGCCGAACAGGTGAGCACTGCACCCGACGGATCCCCTACTAGTAGTACTAGTAGCAAGGATGCAACACAGAAAACCGCTGAAATGAACAGCGCCAGTGCGTCTGAGAACACAACCAGCGACGGGGAATCCAAGGAAATACGGAGCAATACTCCATCCTCTGCCGACCAAACTGAGGTAGCTGAGAGTTCCAGCTTGCAGGTAATCGCTCCCAGTACACCCCCAATGTCCGGCACCCCTCCGCCTACAGGCACTGGGGCAGGCCACGACGACGGGGCCACCAAGGTTGCCTCTGACGATGCGGATTGGATACCCAGCGGTCCTCGTCGTCGCCGACACAGCCACGGCCATTCGACCATGGAGGAGAAAGCCAAGGCCGATGGGACATGGCCCTCCCCTCAGAGGAAACACCCGAAATACTGAGTCCAGATAAGTTTCAACAACTAGCCAAAAGACAAAAAACATAAAAAAAAAATAAAAATAAAATTCCCCCAAAAAAAACAATACCAATGTCAGTGAATTTGAACTTTCTCAGCACCAACGTGCGTTGCATATTCAACAAAATGGACGAGTTACTTACCTTTACCCGTTCGTGCTCTGAATCTCAGAACGAACTATCAGTCATTGCAGTCCAGGAAACCTGGGCTGACACATCAGACCCTGACAGTCTCTATGCAATCCCAGGCTACAAGCTGATCAGAGCTGACAGACAGGACTATGGTGGTGGTGTTGCCTTGTACACAGCGGAACGTTTCAACACAAGGGTACTGACAATACCAATGACAGCAGCAGAATGCATATGGACGAGAATTTCCACCGGTAACCTTTCCCTCGTTGTTGCAAACATTTACCGACCACCCCGTAGCGATGGCACCCTCTTCTGTGCGGAACTGGAAAGAAGCATCAAAACCGCTAGAGCCGAAGGTGACGACCTCCTACTACTTGGAGACTTCAATGCCAAGAACAGTGCGTGGCTCACCACAGACAGAACAGATCGCCTTGGGGACGACATACAAACTCTGCTACACACATACGGCCTCACACAACATGTCAGATTCCCTACTTACATCCACCGACAAACACCTCTCTCATGTCTAGACCTTGTTATCTCCTCACTCCACACCAATGTTATTCATATCCAATCACTTCCACCATTTGGCGCATCCGATCACACTACTATCAGTGGCCACATCAATAATCAACTGCCCCCCATAATTAACAACTCCCCTCCAAGATCCAGAAGCACCACATTCTGGTCATGGACAGACAGCACTATCCACCTTCTTCGAGAAGCCCTTTCACGCACAAATCTCAACCACCATCCAAACCAACACGACCCATGCCCAGTTGACACCTTCTGGCGATCCTGGCGCGACAATGTCCTGAGCATCGCCCAAGAACACTGCCAAGTTACTCGCACTCACCCCCCTTGGGACAGGAAGAACGTGCCAGCACGACCATGGATATCAAAGGGCCTCTTGAAAGAGATCAAGGATAAGCACAGAAAACACAGAATATACCTTCACTCACGCTCGCCTGACGACTGGAACACGTTCACTGCCCAAAGAAACCGTGTCACCTCCCTCCTGCGTCGTGCTAAATCGGATTTCGTAAACAACTCAACAGCCTCCTCTACTTCCCTACACCGCCTCATGAAGCACCTAACTACAGCTACAAAACAACGCATACCCGAACTCGTCAGCCAAGCAACTCCTGCAACGACACCAGCACAAAAAGCCGCTGCCCTCAACGAATTCTTCATTTCACAGAGCAAGCTGTCCGTGGCCAATGCGGATGAGCAAACTCCAGCCATCAACACCACCCCTGACATCCTCAGTCCCCTTCAAGAAATCTCGACTTCCCAAGCTGAGGTCGAAAAACTCCTCCGCGGAGTTGATACCAACAAAAGCCCCGGGTTTGACTCTATTCCAAACCGCCTACTCAAAGAAGCGGCGAAAGAACTTGCACCGTCGTTATCGTCCCTCTTTAATCTATCGTTCCAAACCGGAGAAATCCCACAGGAGTGGAAAGATGCCACCATTACTCCAGTACCCAAGCCGGGTGACCCAACTCAACCAACAAATTATAGACCCATCTCTCTCTTGAGCACTACATCAAAAATCCAAGAAAAAATTGCACATCAACTCCTCTACAAGCACATCACACCCCACCTGCCCAACCAGCAGTCCGGATTCCGCGAGAAAGACGGCACTGAGCAGCAGCTCGCCCGTCTCGTCCATACCCTTTCCACTGCGAGAGACGACGGGAAACACGTCAATGCCTGCTTTTTCGATCTAAGCAAGGCCTTCGATCGTGTGTGGCATGCAGGCCTTCTAGCAAAACTCTCCCACTATGGTGTCCAGGGCAACGCCCTGGAGTGGTTCCGACGGTACCTGTTGGGGCGTCGGCAAAGGGTCCAGGTGGATGGCGACCTATCGCCTTTCCTCGAGATCCCTGCCGGCGTCCCTCAGGGATCTGTTCTTGGGCCGCTTCTATTCCTCGTCTACACCATTGACCTTCCACACGCATGTGAGAATCCCAGCACCACCTGTAGCCAGTTTGCAGATGACACCGCTCTGATTTCCATAGCGAGAACTCTTCAAGACTGCACCCGAAACCTACAACAGAGTGTCACAGCAGCTGGAGACTGGCTTCAAAAATGGCACCTGCTGGTTAACACAAAGAAAACAGTCATCCTCCCGTTCTACCACAATAACCGCCCCCCTGAACAGCTACCCCAGATCACCCTCAGGAATAGTCCGCTTACCGTAGCACAAAAACACAAACACCTCGGAATAATCTTTCAGCATGACCTCCGTTGGACGGAGCATGTTGAATACATAGTCAAAAAATCACTCAAGTCTTTCAATATTCTTTTTAGACTAAGGTCTACACTCACCAGTGATTCTTTATCTCACATCTATCAGACATACATACTACCTATATTCTCATATGCGAGCAATGCTCTCACACCGTTGTCCCACACTTCCCTTGACAGGCTAGAACGACTCCAGCGGAAAGCCGCCAGAATATGTCTCCACCTTCCCCTTTACACACACTTAGAACATTCCCACCTTTTGCATCGCATCAAATGGCCAACATTATTTTCACGCTTTAAAGTTAAACATATACTCTTCGCGCATTCTCTGCGCCACAATTATGCCCCACCACATATACTCTCGCTGCATACTGCTAGCAACGTGCAACCTTCGTATAATTTACGTCGCTCTCGTACTTGGCACTTGCCAACTCCGCGGACTGACCGCTGTCTCCATTCTCCCCTGTACAAGGCCCTTCATTACTTTAATTGCCTGCCCACCCAGCTTCGCGAAATCCCTTCTCGTACTCCCTTCAAATCCGAGATATCCCTGCTGTTGCACAACTCTGTATGCTCGTGTAGCGACCACCCCTGCCCTTACACTTAAGTACGCAACTCTGTATGCTCGTGTGGCGACCACCCCTTCCCGTACACTTAAGTAGTCATTAACCCCTAGGCCCTGCCCACCCAATTCTTCCTCACTCTTTCTCCTTTCTTACACTATTATCTCTTATTGGCCACTGGCTATCGTGAGAATAAAGATTTGAAACAACAACAACAACAACATTTGACTGAGGTGGGCATGATCGATAGGGCGAATCCCGAGCAAGTGCGTGATCAATTGGCCTAATCTGGCAGAATCCGGAGTAGGTGTACTTGGAGTGGAATCCGATAACACCGGCCTCCACACCGGGAGTCGCTGGAGTGGAAATGGACGTTGGCGTTTTTTGGAAGCCTTCACAGAATCTTTGTACGACATGCGTGCATTTTGCGTACTACACCCTTGCTTTGTTAGTTTGGGTCAGCATTGCTCGAATTGCACTGCCTGCTCGCACTCAATCCAGTTTCGCCAATCGATGACACCCTTGAGCACGAGTTAACTAACCATTTAGCCGTGGCAATGTCAGCCATCTCCAGCAAATGCTTCATCCGAGGTACAGGGCTTTCCATGACTTTCACATTAACTAAGTGGTCTAGGTGAATTGGGCCGGTCTCTCCGCTTGCATAGATCATGATACCGGATGATCTCCAGCAGTCTTGCTGCGTGTTCTCAGATAAAAACAAAAAAACGAATGGCTTGGTGTCTTACCCTTTTCACAATATTGACCATAGGTTGAGGTGCGGTTACATACACAACTCAGGTCTGGTCCAAGAACACCGGTCTCACACGTCTCTGTGCAGAACAGGACAACAAAAAGTCAATTGCATTACACTCTAAAGGTCGATTCACAGTACAACCTTCTGCGACGTGACACACGATTTGCGACAGTTGCGACAAGAATCTGCCTGTCGCGAGCTGTCGCAAGCTGTTGCAAGGCACTTGTCGCAGAAGTTGAAGAATGTTGTACGACATACACAAAATGGAGTACTGTTTCGACCCTGGGTGCACGTGCAGTGCACGTGCATAGTAATACTAGCGCATAAGGATGTCGCAAACATGAAAACGATAGATGATATGCCATATAACGTGCAACTAGACTTGGGAGGGCATTGCAGAGTAGTTGCATACAAAGTTCAAAGTTGTACAGTTACCTGTGACTTGTCCTCATGCAGAGCTCAGGGCCTACCATGTACACATTGTAGTATAATTTGTATGCAACTTGTGTGCAATGCCCCCTCAAGTCTAGTAGCACGTTATTTGGGATATCATCTATTGTGAACTGTGTGTCGCTGTCGCAGCTCGTCGCAGGTGTTGTAAAGTTGCATGTCGCGTTGCAAGAATTTGTATTGTGAATCGGCCTTTACAGTCCCTAACACTTGACATTTTTGATAACCCAAAATGATGGTCCAAGAAACCTTATCAGGCAGCAAAAAATTATAGGAACTGATGCGTGAGAGCAGGGATTTTTTTCAGTATCTACCCTCATAGGATCTGCCAAGGAGCTAAAGCATAGTGCATTTGACAGTTGCCGTTAAAATACAGCAGGGTGCCAATTGTCAGCCACCCTTCGGGGCATCGGCCATTTCCACGGTGATCAGATGAGAAGAATGGTCGGTTATGGGACCACTCATACATCTATCACATGCATATTCCAGCATATTTTCAACATTTTAGTACAACAGGAACTAGGTGCACTCCAGCTTCTCATCGTTGTACATTTTGACTGAATAACCTGCTGTATAATATCTTGGGCATCGCTTGAGTGCTGCTCCGAGTGGCAAAAATCAGCAAAACTTCAAAAAAAGCTGCCAATTTTGTATGTTGTCCAGCCCGACCAGGAGATCCGGATAACCGATTGTCCGGAGAGTTAATGTCCGCACAATCGGTGTTTGACTGTAAAATAATATCCCATCATACCCCTCTTGCGAACACCTAGATATGGCCTGCGCTCCCAGGGTTGCGGACAATCGCCACGCTACACTGCATAGACTTTCTTCCAACAAATAAGGCCATCATTTTTTATATCTATGTTTCGCGTCAGGTCAACTTCCAGAATCGTATGCGAGAGGTGGAAAGAAATAAAAAGTTGCAAAATAATAAAAAAAGGATCATCAGAGGTGTATAGCACTGTACATACTACATAGTCTATTGACTATTGTCAATAGCTCGTGCATGGTGTACGCGTACATTCGAAAGAAAAATCGTACATCGAAGCACAAAATCTGGGTTATCAGCAAGAGGAAATATCACTTTGGACAGAGGAGGCAACCGTTGGTGCCCATGCTTCGCTGGATTATTGTACTCAGCCTTCAGCAGCGGTGCAAAGAGCTCCGAAACGACGCATCCTCTCAGCTTGAGGCGATCGATGCGGTCTGGTGTAAGCTCAAAGAATTCTGCTCGCAGATGCAGAACAAACGATCTACCAACCCTGCCCCTGGCCTCGAGGCCAATTCTGAATCCCAGCTTCGCCGTATGCAACCAGTCCACACTGATGACTCGCACGATCGTACACTCACTGTGCATGTTCGATTATTTTATTTTTTTCCGGAAAAAATCAAAACGTATGCGTGCGGACGACGCGAAACATAGATATAAAAAATGATGGCCTAAAGTTGCTTGTGCCAAACAATCAAGTCGCAATCAAAACTTCGAAATTACGGGAAAAAACACACCCTGATCCTCAGTTAAGGAAGGGCTCTCTATATTGGGATCCATTGTGCGTACAAGAAATGCTTGGATACGACATGTTTGCACATTGCAAGGTCACATCGTACATAGTGGCACATTATTAGCACAAGCCCTGTTGACACAGTTAACGGTGGCACAGGAGACATGTTACACAAATGCACAAATGCACAACAGTATACTCATCGTGCTGATGTAACACACAAGGGCAGAGCACTACTGGCGCACGGTCAGAGCACTACTTGCGCATGGTCAGCCGTTTAAGTTAAGAAGCCTTGTCTCACTTACTGACACAGAGAATCTGGGCTTGAGTTTTGCTTGTGGCGTTCTGAAACGTCTGCTTTTGCGCGCTAAACATTACGGTTCTGTAAAGGGAATGGCCATTGACTCGGATTGACGCGACGTGGTAAGGTGCTTGCTGGTGCTTATGCAATAAGGCCAACTTCTCTAGCCAGCGCTCTGTTAACACATGGCCATGTTCTTCTAGCCACTCCTTGGTAATGAGATGATGTCCGTACTCCTGACATGCGTCCTCTGCGAACTGCTCAGTCACGCTGGGTCTGTGTGCTGGAGTTGCTGCGGCGTGTACAGAACCGTTGGCCTGGAGCCATTTGGCTGCAAAGCAAGGGAAGATACAGTTGTGGGTAGAAACACATCATGAAACAAATCTTCGAATAAGGGGAGCTTGAAATCAAACGCCCCGCTCCATGACACCCGATCTCATGGATAAGGAAGTGCCCAGAGCTAGTGAGTAGTTCAATGTTGAATGTTTACAGGCCTGGGGCTCGCCAGACTTCGTAGAGCAGCACCGTGTCACATTTGCAAATCATTCAGCGGTTCTACCAAGGGAGTAGTATAACACCGGGTTATGGTGCAAGCATACACATGAAATGTTTCTTTGCAGATGAAACTAATTGGTTACTCATGTGTGGATATGACCCTGGCTAGAGCGGTAGGTTTCTCATTGAAGAGGGAAACCTCGGTTGCATTCACTACTCTCGCCGTCTCTGTTTCATTCCTCCTGTCCCACTACTATCACTGGACACACCCTTTAACCCACTAACCGCTATATATATACATACATCATTGAAAATTATGCCCAGGCGCTGAGGACGTATATATATGAGTGGTTGCTCCCAAGGTTCCTAACTATATATAAAGAATTAGAAAAGTTGCCTGACGATTGAAAAAAACTCCAGAAACTCGGAGTACCAGATATGGATTGATCGAAGAAGGATAGATTGACCATCACTGTGGATAAGAGTCATACTGTAGCTCAGTTGGTTAGAGCATTGCTCGCGAATAGCAAGGTCCCTGGTTCGAGTCCCGGTGGCGTGACTGATGATTTTTTCTTTCTTTCACATCTGGCTTGCAAGTGTTGAGTTTCGGAGAGAAAAGAGCAGTACGTGGCATGTGGCCTCTGGTTTCCGAATGCGCTTATAATGTCAACACTATTGGTGAAACACCCGGGAGCTGAATATACTGCTAAGCATTGTGATAACACCGTTGTTTAGAACACAGAAAAACCTTTATTGCGCATATAAGCCCATGGGCTTCTACCCAGACATGTTCACACAGCAAAGACTTCTTTTTTGCAGCAAATTTTCACTTATAAGCCCATGGGCATATATGTGGGGAAGTATGGTATATACCGGTATAGATTATACATATTTTTCATTGACAAATAGGAAGTGCAGAGCCTGGGTGCCATGGCCTATAGCCTTAAATGGGTTAAAACGCAACAGCCTACCTTCACAGATGACATCATGATTGCCTCTTCCATCCCCGTCAAATAGTGCGTCGCTCGAGTTGTCCTTGCCTTGCTTGTAAATAAGATGTTGACCAAAGTACATTTCCGATGTCCATATCTTGAGAGGGGTGCTGTAACTGCTGTTACGTCTAGCCATCATCTCGCTCACCAATGATTTTATGCAGTCGCTAACACCCAGCTTCAAGCCAAGCTTTGTGAAGGAATTATAGTCTACGACGTTGTATCCTCTTCTCACGCACATCTCGCGGGCGTGCACGAAGTTCGTTTTCTTCTGGCAGCTGCCATAGTCGAGTTGTGGATAACATGGCAAGCTGGCAAGAGCCATCCAGGTGTACATTGCCTTATCTGTACCCAGGCACTTTGTCTTGAAAGCTGAACATAACACAGTACACATGCAAGACACAGTCAGGCGAAGTAGAACGCAAATGCAGCACACTCTAACACGACGTACACCGACTTTCTCAGATGGATACCGGAATCCAGTTCAAATAATAGAGAGGTTAAGATGCATGTTATTTCCGATAAAATATTGGTTGGGGATTGTCTGAAGCATATTCAAGCGAGGTAAAGTCGGGATCGATGACTGATCAAAGCCCTCGGGCTAGTCCCTTGGGCTTCGATCAGCCATCAAGCCCTCCGTATCTCGCTTGATTATCTACTTGAGTAACGTTACTCTGATTAGGCGTATATGCAAGCAGGCTATTGAATAATTTCGTGGTGACCGTCTTTGCACCGGGTTTGGAGAGCTGAGCCATGGTTAATTCATAGATAGTGAGGGAAGGAGGGGCGGGGGGGGGGGGTATACCAATAATCAAACTTCCGAGGCACTTCTTTTGGCACTTGAGACAATTTCTGTAACAATCAAGTGCTTTAGAGGTGATTTACACGACGGCAGGATTCATCCCGTGCCTGATGCTACCATGGAGATTTAGTCACATGTGCTCATATTTTGGCGCGAACGTATCCCGCCGGCTATCCCGGTACGGTCCCGGCGCCATGAGGGGGCTGGGGGGAGGGGGGCGGTGGTTGGAAATGCATGTCGTGACATTCCGTGGTCTGTTTTGCAAGGTCTCGGGATCACGTGCTTCTCTTCCCGGCGGGATGCACTGCCGTCATGTAAACCGCCTCTTAGGAAGTCAGAGAGATCTCGAGCATGGTCTCCAGAAAGGCATGCTGTCTTCAAGCACTAGCTTCCTGTGTCCGAAAGGAGGGGGGTGGTAAAACACAGGTATGAATCGGTTCGGAACCCAAATTTGGTTCCGACCCGATTCATAACTTATGAATAATTGTTGATGTATGCATGCACATATATGGTCACAATTCCCAGGAGCATGTGAATCAAAGAAACACGAGTATTCACTTCAGTTAGCAGTTACTTACCATGTTGACACTGGTCTCCATGGAAACCTTTCCGGCAGTTGCAGGTGCCGTCTTCAGTACACTGACCATCATTCAAGCAATTGCACACTGCAGTAGAGATTGGGTGCATTCACGTATTTCCCAAAACACACAAATAGGGATAGAACTTGAATAACCTATTGGATTCTCAAGTCGTTGTCGCATGTATCTTGATCATCATGGCATTGTATAGACCTCAACATCGCCACAAACACTAACACTAACACCCATTCACCAATCCCAGGTATATCCAACTTATAATCATGCCTTGCACTTGAATAGAACACACGTTCAGCTAATAAGCTGGAGAACCAGGCATAAACGCTGGGAACTACTTTTTCTTGTCTTCAAATACAACAGTCCAGCACGCGGGTATGCATGGGTCGTATGTTCTTTGACATGCGGGCTAAAATGACAGCAGCTTTCTTTAGCCCTTACCTTCTGTGCAGATGGGTCCGCCTGGTCTCGGTTTACATTCACATGCTTTGTTCTTTTTCACCCAGGGATTTGTGCACACAACTGCATTACATATCACACACAGAGAAGACAAAATGAGAGAGCTGATCAGCCATACACAAAAATGGACAGACAAAGCGAGAGTGTTGCGGAATTATCCACCACCAGACCAGCGCAAGGATATAAGTTGGACTATAATTATTAATTTCAATTCCAAAATGCACAAGAAGTGTACAGAAGAAAAAAGCACGAACTTGACAGGGCCAGAAGGAAGAAGAACTGAACACAAGATATTGAAAACCCTTCTCTTCAACAAGCTGCATCACGTACAACGCAAAACAACTGGCTGCACCAGCGCGTGCATCAGCGTGTGCACCAGCGAGTGCACCAGCGCTGCACCAACATGTGCACCAGCGAAATCAATATCGAAAGTACGTATCAATCATTGCATTACGTACAACATGCGCAAGAGGGTTACTCTACATCACGACGTAGAAGAACGGCATCACCAACGGCGAACAGGCAGTTATCAGCTTCAGACTCAACAAAGTCCTCGGAGGACAGCTCAGCTTCCACAAAATCACGGATCCGAGCAGCCTGGCGTTCAAGATCAGATGGAGTCAGGCCCAGCCCAGGAGTAGCCAAGAAGAGCACACCGGTGGGCTCCCAGCCAAGCATCGCACGCATAGGAGAAATCTTGAGGACAAAGTGCGGACGAATACGGTCGAAATACAGTAACACGTCCAGCTCAGATCGCCAATCATCAGCCTCATCCAACATCTTCCGAATAAAGGTGAGGAGAGTGCGGTTAAATCGCTCAACAGATCCCTGTAATAGGGGATGATGCACGGCACCGTTGAGCACTGTCACACCAAACGTGTCAAACAGCGATGACATCACGGCGTTGATGAATTCCGTGCCATTATCACAGTGGACCACTCGGGACGGGCCCCACCGCGTACACAGGCCGACAAATGCCTCGGCCACTGATGCCGCGTCATGTTGACGGAGCGGAACCACTTTCACCCACTTGGTGAAAGTATCCATGCAGACGAGAACACAATGGTACTCTCCACTCTGATCGACGCCCAGTTCCAGAGTATCTATTACTACACCACTCCATGGGCCATCAGCCACCACAAGGTGACTGGCATCCGCCCAAACGCCCTTGGTTGGGCTGTCAGCAGCACACGGCGAACAGTGGCGCACAAACTGCTGACTTTGGGCAGCCATGTTCGGGAAATAGTACTTCGAGCGGAGGAAGCGCCATGTACCCTCCCAAAACGCATGACCACAGTTCACATGAGCAGCACGAACGACATCGGACTCGAGTGAACTAGGAATAACAGGAATGACGACTGCATCATTGGGCGGCAACTTCACACTTCGACACAGCATACCATCGTGGACTACGAGCTGTGACTTGACCTTGACAAACGCAGGATCAGTAACTGGGTCACCATCGATGACTTGCTGGCGACAATCCGAGGATCTGCATTCTGAGCAGCAGATACTCTGTCCAATGAGAATGGACCAACGGTCACCACCGCAGCGGTGACGGACGGTGCAATCCGAGCAAGGAGCGTCTTGCCACATCGGATCCAGCTGCTGGGAACACGGGTCAATTGATCCGCCTTGTTCTGCTGACTGCTGATCCACTGGACCTTGACTGTCAAGCCCGTGACAGCGACGAGATCAGTGATAATCTGGAGACGGCCCTGTACAAGAACCTGCTGCAGGCCGCTGACGCGAACACGAGACACCTTTCCAAGCACCGATTGCAACCAAGCAGCCACAGTCTTGGAATCGGTGAATAGCGTGAGCTCCTTCACTTGCCACTGCATGGCAAGGTGCAACCCCTTGATCACGGCGTCAAGCTCAGCGATGTTAATGTGTCGCCAGTCGTCCTTCTGCCGCAGCCAGCAGCCATCCTCGACAATCATACTATTGGCCTGAATGACAGCACCATGTGCGATGTCCGTAGCATCACACCACAACGACCACTGTGTGTCTTCAGGAACTGACCATACACCTTGCGCAGAGTCATCGGTCTGCAGACGGTGAATGACTTCCGCACAACAAGCGAAGACTTCATGAGACACTGGATCGTCCCATCCAGGTTTACGGCTAGACAGACGCTTCAGATAACTGCACCCCGGGCGCATCCAGGAGTCGACGGGATAGTGGCTGGTCAGCTTGCCACACCACTTGAAAATCTCGCGCCGTGTGATGGCATGGGGCTAACATGTCGGTATGACGTCACCACGACGCTTCTACCTCACTTGGCCATCTGCAGACTCTGACAGCTGCAGACCGAATATTCTAGCAGAGACGGCTGGCTCCGCTGGCTTGGTGGGCAACCCATACTGCGACAACTGATCGGTGACAGCACGCAGACAAGGCTTCGGAACATACAAATCGTCGACATAGTTGTCCACATCAGCATACGCACAGAGGATGCACTTGATGATTATGTCCATGAATTTGGGCGCAATCGATAGACCGAAGCCCATCCTCTCCATTGCGAACAGCTGGCCCTTCCAGACGACCGTTTGGAACTTGGCGAGAGCTGGCGCGATGCGGATGTTGACGTAAGTCTTGCTGATGTCCGGCAACACGTGGCTGTCGACGTTGCCAATAGACCTCCACTGACGCAACTTTTCTTGGCAAACAGGCGCGTCCAAACCTGGATGCGACACAATCAACTTGTTGAGTTGCCGGTAGTCCAAACACAGGTGGACAGGGGTGGACTCCTTGTGCGTCTGGGCCACCGCCAACAAGGGCAACACAGCACCAGGCTCACCATGGACTGCTTGGTCATGGGGTACCAACCATCCATTGCGGATCCAAATGTCCACTTCCTCGCAGAACTGTGCCTCCTACCCTTTGTCCCCTCTATGTCTACCAAATGAGGACTGAGACCTGTAAAACAGGGTTTTTATGCCTGAAAGCAGGTGCATGTTGTCCAAACTGTTTCAAGACACTTTGAAAAGTCTCCAACAGCAACAACAACAGCCCGCGCGTTTACATGGTTTAGCGCCAACGTCTACACGCTCGACACCCACATCCACACCAACACCAAAGCCGCTGTCTGTGGATCGTCCAATGTTGCTTTCCACTGCGTCTTTGGCTGATTTTGCCACATGGGAAGAAGGCTGGGACGACTATTCAGCGTGCCAGCAACTTGCTTCTCATGGCTTGAACACCAGAGTGAGCGCCCTTCGTCAAGCGTTTGACGAGGACCTCCGCCGCTTTCTCCGCGAGGGTATCATCCCCATCGGTGCAAACGACGATGTTCATGTTATCATCGCCGCAGTCAAAAAGTATGTGCGACGGTTACATAATCCTTTGTTGGACAGACTAGCATTTTACAATCGTAAGCAGTCCAGAGCTGAGCCGTTTGACGCGTTTTACACCTCCCTGAGAGAGTCATATAATGCATGTGATTTTCCGGACTTGTCACTATGCACTACATGTTCGGGCCAAATATGCGGAGGGTGCAAGTCCATCCTACAACAAGTCACACATGATGTACTGCGTGCCCGCATTGTCATCGGAATATCCAACGAGGAAACCCGACACAAGTTGCTTGCCACACCAGACCTGACCCTGGATGCAGCCATCAAACTTTGCCGTGCGGAGGAAGCAGCGTCTGACACCTCCCACAACATTCCTGGGCAGGCGCATGTCAACGCCGCACGGAAGTCCGCGTACCAGCAGCAGAAGCGTACACTCCGCGTACACTCATTGATGCGTACACTCATTGATGTTCTGGCACACGGGCGGTGTGCTGCTGACATCACCATGGGCTAAACACTGTGTGGTGGCATGGCCGACAAGGCGATGGCCGGGATTGCAGACAAATGTTCCCAGTGTGTTATAGACAAAGGTTGATACACCAGCCGGTAGAGAGAAATTGCCAAATGTAGGCGCTAATGGAGTAGCGCATGTAACAACTGCAATTGAAAAGTCAGATAGGATACAAATAAATAACAGTCATTACTGGCACACGTGATCACAATGGCACAGCAATTATCGCTGTTGGCAGCAACTAGAGATGAACGAATACTCCACGTTCCAAAGGGTTACCCCGGGGAAATTACTTGGAAATGAGTTATGAAGCAAATGTCCACGACTGTAACAAGATAATAACATAATTTTAATTCCCGTAGCTATGCAGAAGACGTTACTTTAGTAACATCTGGCGCTAGCCAGGGTCCAGACATCTTTGATTTGGTGTTTGTCTGTGGCGGACAGACCTCCGTCTGGCGCTATCCCGCACCTTACCTGTCCCGTACCGCACCATCAAAGACGGCTGGCCACAATATTCAAATAGGGCTTTCAAATACAAGATCATAACGTGAAGCAACTTGGAAGAATTAGCTGCCATTGGTTGCAGCACAGGGGCCATTTTACCGATATAGGCGCTATACTTGATGTCCACTTTCGCTATCTTCCGTCATAGCGAGTGTGGCCCACACCTCTCTCGGCAAACACGGACAACGTATTGGTGAAAAGACTCCTCTGACCGCTGCTTGCCTGTCAGCACTGTCTTCCACGCTTTATCCGGCGTCTTTCCGAGCGAGGCAAGCAACTCTTGCTTTGCTTCCTCGTAATTATTGCATCCAATACATATCCTCTCCGCTTTGCTACCCGCTAGCGCGATGCGCAATCGCAGCAGCTATTCGCTTTTTTCGAACTCTTTCTTGGAACAGATGTCCTCGAACAGGTCAAGGTAACGCTCCAATGGCTGGGTTCCATAATATGAGGGGATTTTCATCAACGGCTAACGTCCACAGCTGTGACTGGGAGCTTCCACTGTACCTCCCATCGCACTCTCACTGGCGGCTTTACCCTCACCCTCATACGCGTTGGCAATGCGCTCGTTAACCTCCTTGAGCGTTTTTCAAACTCGGTGCGGAGCGCCTCCTCTCGCCTTCTGGCACTGCGCTCCTCACGCTCCTCGTACTGTCGGAGCCTCTGCTCCAAATGTTCCCTCAACGCATCGCCAACCAATCCTAAGCGAATTCCATTAGCGATAAATCTGGCTTCCAAATTACTTT